TATTTAATAAAGCTAATATATCGCAGGATTGCTAAATTTTCATTTTAACAATGCTTTAAAGATTAAATATTTGTTAAGCAAAATTATTTACAATTATATAATACAGAATGAAAAAGTTTTATTAATCGCATGTATTATGTTTATCATTAAGCACTATTAGTTAATTTCATCTGAATTTCTATGACTGAAATATATGAGATTATTATATAATAATTATATATATATATATATATATATATATATAATTTATTTGTTATTATTAATGATTTTATTATCTTTTGATTGGAATTATAAACTACTTTTATGTCTTATTTATTTTTAAGGCAATTATTATTAGTTATAAAATTTATTAATTAAAATTAATATATATAAAATTATAATAATAATTATCGTAGTATTAAAATTTGTTAATTTATAATGATGATTAAATAGATTGAATTAAAAATTTCATAGAATATTCGTGATAAATAATTAATCTATAAAAGTTTAAATAATAGCCAAGTATCGTAACCATATCGGAAGAAAAATATCATAATTAAATGAGCAACATAAATTTCAAATAAAACTTCGTAACTTCCGTAACAGGTAATCCAACTGGCCCAGGATGTACTTGTAAAGCTACCAAGATCGATTGACTATGAAAACACAGAGAAGCTAATGGGTGCACACAAAAAACCTCTTGATGTGGTTTTACTCCAGGAGATAATACGTTATAATAATCTGCTGAAAACAACGCGTAATAGCCTCAATGACCTCTGCCGTGCAATTAAGGGTCTTGTGGTGATGTCGACAGAACTCGATAACACATTCACATGCATTTTGGAAGGTCGAGTACCTGCTACCTGGTCACGAACCTATCCGTCTCTAAAGGCCTTAGGAGCGTGGACGCGTGATCTAGTGCAACGTGTCGAACACTTAGCAATGTGGGCCGAAACTGTACAGCCACCATTGCTTTTCTGGTTATCAGCCTTCACATTCCCAACAGGATTTCTCACTGCCGTATTACAGACAGAAGCAAGGCGCTCCTCGATATCTATTGATTCACTTTGCTGGGAATTCAAAGTGTTTAAAGAAGGTGCCGAAAGCCGATTTGAGCAACCCGAGGTGATATATAGAACAATTAACGTCTCGTAATCATTTCCCTCACATGTAGAATTATATCGCGTGTATAATTTAGAAAAAGTAAATATTTTATCATAAACAGTTTATAATAGTATAGTGTATAGTGATAAATATCTCGAGCTATTATAAATCTCATTATATTTTATATTATAAAAATTTCTTACCATAAAAACACATTAATTTGTTACATATTAATATTAATATATCGTAAATCTTGGGCATTAATTCAATACTTTCCTTAAGACGACGTATAATTGCATAAAAAAAAAAAATTCATTTAAAAAGTACGCTAAGCAACTATAACTCTATTGATTTCAAATTTAAAGTAAATTAATCATTTTAATTTTTCTTTGATTAATAATTGTATTTGTATTATTGTAATTAATTATACTGATTTTTTATCAATTAATTTTAATATGTATATATTAGAGTAATGATTTTACCTTCATATATTAATTTCTTGATTCTAAGTATATAAATATAATAAAAAATAAAAATATTTTTATAATTGGTTTTTATTTTACTTCTATTATTTCATAATTATTACAGCTTGTTATAAAAATCAATATTACCTTTATAAAAATTTGTTATGCATAAATGTTACCTTATCCATTGCCATATGTTCGTACATTGCAGAAAAATTCAAATGGCATTCCTTTTAAAAAATTCTTATAAAATGAATTATCATAAATTTGTATGCGTTCATTCATTAGCATTTATTTATTTGACAATTTATTTGAATTTATATATGATAATGGTAAATATCATACGTTTTCTACATTATTTTAATATAAATGTCATTAATGGCCTTGAATACAGTATGTATAAAAACAGTTGATATTGTTCTAGATTGGTGTGTACATACGATCCATGTTCTTAGAAGGTGCAGGATGGGATTCAAATCGAGGAACTCTCATAGATCCAGCCCCTATGCAACTAATTTACAATATGCCGGTTATTCATTTTAAACCGACTGAACAAGGTCAACAAAAATTCAAGGGTAAATTCATCTGTTTTAACGAGAGTTAATGTAAAATATAAAATAATTAATATACATAAAATGCATAAAATATATTGCTCATATAGATTGAAAAAAGTTATTTTCTTTAATTAGTTTCTACATGAAAATTATATTATTAATAGTATAGATAGTTATAAAATTGCAAATAAATAGTTATAAGCATTAGTGATGAATACTTTAAGCAATAGTTGCTTTTATTTTCAAGGTTTATATAACTGTCCATGCTATTATTACCCTCAACGATGTGGAAATCAAGACCGATCGGCTTTCGTAGTGACAGTTGATTTAAATCCGGGAATGGAAAATGCTGATTTTTGGACAAAACGTGGTACAGCTTTACTTTTAAGTCTTGCCACATAATTTACATTCTTCTAAGACTCTTATTATTAGTCATTAATATGTTATAATATCGTACTTATTACTTCTTATGTGCCTTGTGTCTTATATTAACAACGTCTATTTGTGTATTTCAACTTTCTTTGTAAGACTCATAATAAAACATCATAATAAAAGAATTTTATATTTACATTGGTTTATTAAGAAAAAAAAAAAAAAAAAAAAAAAAAAAAAAAAAAAAAAATGAACAAAATCGTTTAAATACTTTGAACAAAATATATTTCGAATATTTTCTGCCAATGATCTATATTTTTTGAAACTTTTCTTCTATTAAAATTATGAATTTACATTTGCTTATAAAATAGTATAAATACAAATATATCACACTATTAAAAAAAATTTTTATTTTATACATTGTTAATATGTTTATAATTTTCTGTAAAATACATAAATCACGATGGCAAATGTATTTTTAATTACTTAAATATTAATTAATCATTTGTATAGATTAAAAGAGCAATGTATATAATAAAATTTCTCAATATTCAGAGTGCAGTTATATTATAAGACCTTTCTATAGAATTTAGAATAAAATAAATAGTTTAAATCAACATATAAATATACTTTTTAAATTTATGTATGAATAAATTTAAATTTAATTCATTAATATTTTAATAATGTAGATATAATAATTTTTAATTATATAAATTTATGTATTTATGCATATAACTATAGTAAGAATAATAATAAATATTATGTAATTAAATATGCATAATGATAATGAATTTTATTGATATTAAATATGCATATAATATTAATTAAGGAATTATGATTAAAATATTTTATCAAATTAAACCATATATGTATAAAGAATTCTTTATATTAATTTATATTTCTGCCTAACAAGTCGTGTATTGATATCACAATGGACATCTTTTTAATTATTTAAAATTGTCATGAAAAATTAATTTTATTTTTTACGATTAATTCCAATGTTTTAAAAAAAAATAAAAATAAAAAATAAAAACATTAAGATGATTTTTATATTAAATTAATTTCGAATGCGATAGTTTCAATTATAGTTAAAATTTCAGCTATATTTATATATTAATATTAATAGTTTAATTTTTATGTTTTTAATTTAATGTAGAACTAGCAACAAGAAATTATTCGTCAATGTCATTATTTTTATAGGATTTTCTATTTTTTGAACTATTCAGTTTCAATTTATTTTAAATTGATATGCATTGAAAACAATTTATTTTTAGAATAAATGCTATAATTGATAATAAATCAATTTTCAAAATTATATCCATTACTCTTACGAATTCTCTTAAAATTTTCTACAGTGCTCTATATACTATAATCTGAAAGTAGAATTTTCTTTCGTTAATATTAATTTCGTTAATATATTTACTTTACTGTTTATAATTCAGCAATTAAATACAAGTTTTTTTTTTGTTTTAGTTTTTTAAGTAATTTAAGCAACTCATCTTTATAATATATCATATAATATTGACATCAAGAGTTTTTAAATTACTGTTTTTATGTAATACAATCAATGAAGTTGATATTATGTTTTTAATTGTACCAAAAATTTTTAATCAATGACTTATGTATTTAAATTTTTTTTTTTTAATATTCTGTATAAATAATTAATTTTATCATTATTTTACATAGCTTAATGAAAGTATATTTTATTGTATATATAGAATGTTTAAGAATTGAAGAAGTTTTAGAATATAAGAATATGTTCACCATATTATGAATAACATCAGTTATTGTATATCGAATAACTAATCAGTATACTTGTGTACTTTCTGATTTTAATTTATTTGATTTTATTTCCATAACAAATATATATTATTGTTTTAATGGCTTTCCATTTTTTTTTAATATTTGATAAGATACTTTCGATTCATTTAACAGATTACAGAATTATTCAATTTATATCAATTTTATAATTAAGATAAACTAATATTATAAAATTATTATTATTATATATATATATATATATATAATTAAACAAATTGAATTACCGTACTATTAATTCTTTTGAGTTATCCAATCTGCAGAAATATTTCTCATTAACAGTAATTCTTGTAATTATAGAGGAAAAAAATGTTATTCACCTCTTATTTTATTAACTTTTTAATTAAATTTTTAAATACTTTTTTATACCTATAAGTAAATTTTGTAGTTATTCTTAAAATATATTTCTATTTATTTATGAAACTCGCAGATTAATCTGACAATCGTTACGTTACGATTTCTATATGAGTATACAATCAATAACAATCCATAGCAGTATTATTGATATTATTCTTTAATTGTATCCAATCAATAATTGAAACATTACTCAATTATAATATATTTCTTACAAGTAACTTTATACTACAAAAATCAAAATAAATGAAATTAAATTGTTTGAGTGTGAAATTTTGTAATCCAGAATTATTAACGATTATTACGATTAATAACGTAAATGTAAATTAGTCTTATTTAATTTTTTTATAATTTATTAATTAAATCCAGCTGATGCCGTTATGTTCTTTACTGAACTTATGCTTTTAAATAATTGTGGATAAAATGCAGTGAACTTATTTTTTAAATCGATAAATGTAATATTTATGTCGTTTTCAAATGTAGTCCAATCAAATGAATCACTTCCAGAAGATGACTTTTTTATCATGATTTTTGATATTACGTCACTTATTGTTTTGTTAATTTCATTTTTAAAACTAAGCCAAAATTCCCTTGGAATTTCTCCTCTCGATTCTGTAAAATTTGTCGTTTCAATTTTCCAAGGATCTAGAGAAACTGATGGTATATCTTCGCATGATATAATTGGATTATTCGGTCCAATAGATCGCATAACTTGAGCCTGTATTTCAGTAATATTGTCTGATGTTTCGCAAATTATACGAGCCAATGATATTTTTCTCAGCTCCTTTAATTGATCTATATAAAAAATTATTGTTAATAATCTATAAAGTATTTGCAATGAAAAAATTATGAAATTTTTATGGAACATTATATTTTTATAATAAAGTATAATTAACCTTCGTTAAAAGATCCAGATTGATTTGCTGATTCATACCAATATTTATCGCCCACTTGAAGTCTCTCAAACTGATCGGCTATTAAACATGTAAAAGTTGGACCGATTAATCCATCACTTTTAGGCAACTCCGCTAAAGCACCTGTATATAAATCTATATCGTCTACATTATTATAAAGTTTAGAGATTTCATCTAATGCTTCCACATCCATTTCCTCTTTCAAATCTTCAAAATTTAATATTTTACGAAGTCCGCAATATTCTCTCCATTTGGTAAAACCAGGTAAACCATGATCTCTACCTCGTTGAATATTCAATGACACAAGATCGAGTCCACATGGAAGTGTTTGATTGACCATTTTATCTTGAAAAAGATGTTTGGTTAATTGTGAAGTTACATGAGTGGATGTCTTTTGTATAAGATTTGACGTTGCAGTTGATACAGAATTTTCTACACCACCTACATCGTAAAAGAGAAAAAAAATATTTGTTTAAAAATTATATTTTACCAGATCAATATATAAATTACAGCACGGAATATATAATTTAACAGCATTATCAAAACATTAAAATAATATTTACAAATTTTTATATTGATTTATCAACAATATTATCACTATACATTATTATACGAACGGCAATAATTGATATTTTCAATAATTTATAAATGCATAACAATTTTATATTAAAAATTAACATAAAATATCATAAAATAGCTTTCTTAAAATACTAATAAAAAGACTAATAAAGGCAAGAAAATAATTGTTTTAATATTTTTTTTTACATCAAGGACATTAATTATTAAAATTGTATTCGCGTCTCGTTAAGTTTTTATTATCTTAAATTTTTAAAGAACGTCAAGAAAGTATAAGAAATAGACAAAAAAAAAAAAAAAAAAAAAAAAAAAAAAAACCTTCCTTCATTATATAAACTGTATGGATTGAAAAGTATCTTGTGTAACTGAATATAAGAAAATGTTCCTTTTTGTTTGTCGGTGACTTTCATTAATCCTGGTAACAGAGTGTGTGCAAATCTAAAAGCGGCTGAAGCGAAGTGATTAGCGATCGCTGGATTGACATCGCTGTTATTATTTAACAACTTGAATCCTTTGCTGAGTGGTTTTAAATTTCGCCTACTAATCTCAGTCTCGCCCAACACAATGGGTAAAAATTCATTATAAGTGATGTGTTGTAACTGGGCACCCACGATTCTTCTTGATTCTTGGTAAATCTTTTCATCATTCCACATAGGATTGAGTTTCGTGAGTTCGTTGGCCAATACGTTGTGCTGTCTTGCCCAAAGAAGATGCATAGTTGTCAAATGTAAATTTTCATTGGCCCTAGCATCACCTGTAGCAAAACAATACCGACCGCGAACAAATTCAGTTTGTCTATTGCATCCATCATTTGCATTTCTACTTGCTGGGAGCAGCGATCTTTTATCTGGAGTTATCTGCATCCGCAAACGTCCTCCGGAAAATTCACGCAGTGATTTTGCCGTATCCACGTCGGAGCCATAAATCACCGAGCCATCAATGAATGCTGTCACCTGTAATTGACAAATTATACTGTCCACGATACATATCGTAAAATGTTAAAAGTAACTCTAATTTACCTTCAACATTTTATGCCATTTTATAACATTTAATTTTACTACACATTTTTAATTATTTTCAAATCTACAAAATTATATTAATTAATATATTAATTAGAAATATAGATGTAAACATTTTATCAATTTATTAGTGATTACAAATTAATAATTAAAAAAAATATATGATAACCATAGATTTGTAAATAATTAACTTAAATTGAGAACAGATAATCAATTTAAATCAGTACATTGATTTTTCTAGCAAAGAAGCCTTCAAGGCATTTAATATGCAGATATTTTTCCTATTCATAAACTATTCGTAATTGCTATTTATAAGATTTCTTAAAATTATTTTTATATTTATATTTATAATCAAGCTATTGATATTTCATAATTATTTTTGTAATCATATTATAACGGACAAAAATGTTATTATTATAGAGACTTAATTCTGTTAAACCTTATATAATGTCTATGTCATAACAGTTCAATGACAGTTTTAATTAAAAATCTTAATACTTTTATAATTAATTTAATATGTAAAATAACATTTAATATGTAAAGAATTAATATAACTTATATATCTATTAAATAGAGCATTTTCAAAGTATAGTTAATATAAATGAATGATTATGTGTTAATATCAGACTCATAATTTAATACTTTACAAGTTAAAAGTAATTTCACTTCAAATATTTGATAATGAATTTAAACAAATTTACAATTTTATCAAAAATTTTAAAACGGATAATTGTATATATAAACAAAGTCTTATTAAATTCTTATATTAATTAACTAGTAGTAATAAACTTATAGATTAAAAATTTTCTAAAAATTACGCTTGAGCAATAAAATACGCATATAACTAATATAATTATGATGCATTTAAGAAAAAAGTAGTTATAAATCTATAAACAATAATAATCTATAAAAGTATAATATAATAGCTATTATGACAAATATTTATTTCGCATCATATTATTAAATAAACAATTATCTACAAATTTAAATACATGTTTTTTTTTTAATTTTTGTTAAAATAAATAAATATTGTGCAAATTATTGACCTTGAATTAAACTGAAATTATAACCATTTATTTTAAACAAAAGCCTATAAAAAATTATGAATACATTTTTTTTTTATTAATTTTCTACTTTTTATTATTTAATCGATTTATAAAAAAAAATAGAAATTATAAATAGAATCTAAAATTATAATAAATTTATATTCTTTCAGTATAAAATTGTATGACATCGAAAAAATTTATTATTATATTATAAATTTTAAGATGAATAATTTTATTTTTTTGTAAATATAAACGAAATTAAACAATATATTATATAATAAATTAAATGATATTGGATTATGACTTACATATAATATTTAACATTTTAATTTATGAATTATTTGTCACTTTAATCTGTTTTTAATTAATAATTAATAATTATTTTGTAAACTATAAAATCAATTAATCTGGCTTAACTGGATGGCTTATCTGTTTGACTTATCTTTTATAATTAGAAATTTATTGAAAGATTATAATAAAAATTTCAATGCTTTATAATTATAATTCTAAATTCTATTATGAAAGTGTATAGTGATAATTATTGAACAATTTTAACAGAAACATTAGATGAAACGTCAAAAATATATATTTGTTAATTGTCAAACATTATTCATAATAAACTATTTAACATAATAAACTATTTCGGTGTCTAATCATGCACTTATCTTGTGTCTTTTAGTGCAATGATACCGGCAATCGTTTACTTGAAAGAAGAAAAATCTCTTTCAAAGACTTATTAGTTTTGTAAAATCTATAAATACTAATAAAGACAGCAAATGGAAACAGAGATACGAAGCACGTAGAGATGCCTCTTACCTGATTTAGCTGCTGCCTAGGACCGATTGTGCACAGCGCTGCTGGCGCTGACCTGACGAATTCCATGCACGAGCTTCCCGCAATGTCGTACACCGGATCACCCGGACCCACTTTAACCGGAAAGCACTCTGGATGATCACCGCTTGGTGGGCAACAAGATAACGAACTTCCGTTCGTGCCTTGACTGATCGCCGTAGCTGTTATGTCGTGGTCCAAAAATTGTCCGAATACTGCAAGCATCACAGTAAACGAAGGGTTTATGCTTGGCGACGGTGGATGTACCTAGAATATTTTATTTTCTGGCTTTATATCAATTTAAATGTGAATTCGGATAATCAATAATTTCACACATGTCTGAACTTTATAAAATATCCATTTTTTTATTTTTATTTTTGTATTATTCGTATTCGTATACATTTTTGTATTATTATTATTATATTACCGACATCATCTTAAAATTCACTTCTATTGCCTAACCGATGTGTATTAATTTTTTATTTACTATCTTACTAATGCAAGTACTTCTTACAGGTCATTTACGGATAATTAAACCTATTCCTGCCAATAAAATATCTGAGAAGCTTTCTCACCTAACATTTAAATAATAAAAAAAAATATTTACATTCATATTACATTTAAATGTATTAGTAATCTTCTATAATACATTTATGCTTTACTTTTAATTTTATTATTTTCTTAAAATTCATTAATATTTATATTAGCAATAGCCATTAGAATTATATAAGTATATAATTTAATATAATTCCGTATTAAAAATTAGAAATTTTTTAAATATTGATAATAGTATTATACCTAAAAATTTATACAAATTTATACTTATATGCTTTTATTTTGTAATAATAAAATCAACAGCAATTAACTCAATTTAACGATAGAAAAATCATTTATTTACGTTTTTATATTAATAGCCCAAAATATTATACTATTCTTCATTCATACTAAATCTAATTATTTTTATTTAAAATGACAATTAAAAATCCTATTCTTATTCTCGCTAATTTAATAAATATTTATAAATTTCTAAAGTACTTCTAAAGTACATACAGAGGCGGATAATATTTTATGAGGATGAGCTCATCGTATGCTTAGTACAAAAATAAGAGTTGTCGTTTATCGACAAATATTACAACAGACATTAATTAAAATTATTTTCAAATGAAAGATAACAATAGAGAAACATTATAGAAAAGAATTGATTGGATTTACTTGAAGGCTTATCTTTCTGGCAGAAGGCAATGGATTACCAAATAGGCTGACCCTCGGAATCTCAATCCCGTCCGCGTAATCTGGTGGTAATACTCTACTGTAAGGCGTAAATGCCCTTCCTAGCTGCAGCGGATGATTGCACGAACCATCAAAAGTTCTATACATAGACGCATAGGATGGACACTTAATATTCGAGTAGGCCATACAGACGTCCTTCGGCGCCCATCCAGCATCTAAAATACTTCCAAAACTTGTTGGCTTGCCCATGAACGACCTGGCGCTCTCGACTTTCTTGGTGGCTGCAAGTTCCGCCACCCCAACAAGTGCTAGATGATCTGCTCGTTGACTTGTACTCATGGCGTACTGATGACGTGAATTGGGCGAAGGCGATGGCAAGGGCTTGGTTAAAGAATCGGCCAAACGTCGAACGGCGATTGCATCGTTCCCAGCCTTTATGGCCGCCGCCTGCTCCGATTCACTCAAAGTCATCACAATAGTTTGATTTAAAGATGGAATCAACGGCGCGAAAATATGACCCGACAATTTTAAGCGACCCGTAGACATTTCCTGCGCCCTATCCAATTGCGATACATTGATTTCCGGAGGAAAGATATCTGGATGACTTGCCGAGTAACTAATCGTTACTACTAATGCCATTATGAAGGTGGCTCTGGAATTAAATTTTTTTTATTACCTTTATGCTAGTTTTATTGGATCCTTATCCTATTCAATAAAGCCTAGCAATCTACAAATATTTCGAAAATAAATAATGTACAAATTTGGTAAATTAAATTAAATATTAAAAAGTTTATTAATTAATAATAGGTGTTGCATCGATACGTTGACTATCCTGCCTGTTTAGTTTAATTATTGTAAAATATACATTAAACTACGAGATAATATAATATTACAAATATTTAGTTAAAAATGCATTAAATCAAATATAGCATAATGTTACAATTAAAATAATGCTACAATTAAAACTTTTAATTTTAATAGATTAATGTAATAAAAATAATTTCTTTATAATTACTTTCATAAATTTTACTTCAAATTTACATTTATTGAACATTATTTTAACAAAAAAAAAAAAAATTAGATGTAAAAGAATATATGCGAGATGTATAATAAATGTATAAAAGCTAACACAAAGACAACACACAATTTCAAATTAAGCACTCAGGAATTTCTAGTTCGTCATCATCCATATTTTTTTTATAATTTCGTTGTATTTAAGATTTTTAATTTCTGTTAATTTAAATGACATTCTTCAAAAAATTACCTATTAAAGGTATATTTTTTTTATGTGAATGGCTAATTTCATCCTAATTTCATCCATAAGAAATTACGAATTTTCTATTTACATTATTTTATTAAGAGAGTGTAAGGATCACTAAAATGCGTAAACAATGACCAGATATTTAAATTTCATTTATATTTCAGTCTCTGTGAGTTAAGCATTATTTGATTTACTTATAATTATAAGTAATCCTAATGAATCGATACACACGATAATGATGAAAAACATGATAAAATACGATTGATGATTGCATTGCAATCCCAATATTGGGAATTTTATTCCCAAATTGTCAAAAAAGTGAATAAATGATTCCTAATTCTATAGTAGATGAAAAATACTCAATGCGCGTGAATAAATTAAGAAAAGACTAATATAAAATAAGATTAAAGTATTGCTCGCAATAGTAAAGAAAGAAAAAATATAAAAAGATAAAAAAAAGTAAGAAACAATGACATTCTTTTACATTAAATTTTCAACACATACTTAAAAAAATAGTTTTTTCTTCCAAATAATAAGTTTATAATGTATATGTGTAGACGAAAGTTGCTTGCGAAAGAATGCTTATTTATTTTATGAAATAGGATAATTAAATTACATTGCTTTGATTAATATTAAATAAAAAAGTAAAACAAAACAAAAAAAAAAAAACAACAATTATCTGTACGTTACGGATAATCAATGAGTTCTCAGTTATAGAAACATTTTGAAAATTTCCTATTACAAAAAAACTGGTGAACAATTGAAAAAAATAATTATCTCAATCGTACTTCGGCTAATCGGTTTTAAGTGCTATTATAATACATGCTATTTACGTTTAATAATAAAATTAAAAAATATCTTCACATGAGATATTCCTAATACGATATTTTAAGTTATTATTAATGGAATTTAGATGCAAACATAAAGGCCCCATACCACCCATTAATGGCTACAAAGAGGATAAATATTATTCGATCTACTTTAAAGAGTCTAAGCATTGGCCTCTAAGCGAAGCCATTCATAAATATAAAAACAACTAAAGTACTTTAATGGATAATTGGTAAATGAATTTTTAATTTGACGTATCATTTAGAATTACAACTGATTAAAGAATACAGTTTGATTGACATTTCTTTAAGCAATGAAATATTTTATACGCTACAACGTGCTTTTAAACAATATCACGTGGCTGCAATATTTTCATTAATGAACTATATCGATAGTTTTAAAATAAGCACAAAAAAAAAATTTAAGTTTTTTCAGTAATATCATGTGAAATGAGAGCCATATAATATAAGAATTTTAAATCAATTTCTGCTGAATTAATTTATGGAATAAATTTGTATTTGGTAGGCAAAATTTTGTTATCATACAATGACATTATATAAATGGATAAAAGTGCTGCTTTCATTGAAAAAAAAAAGGAAATATTTCAAATTGTATAATGACAATAATCAATGTATATTTTTTAAATTGTACATTAAAATATATGTACAAAAGAAATTTATAATAATGAAAAGATATAAAAGAAATTACATATTAACAATAGAGTTTAATTCACAAACAGAAATCTACTTTCCTTCTATCATGATTACTATTTAAGCAAATATTTAAGTAAATTGTCTTATATATTTAAAGTAAAATAAACAATTAAAAATTATTTTTAATAAAGGAATGGAAATAAAAGTGCACAAGATAAATTTCGAGATAATATTAATATAGATAATAGATCTAGATAATAGATAATTTAATATTCCAAATATTTTTTTAATGAAAATTATAAGGGAAAATATATTATAAGATACGAATTTGATTTTCATTATTTAATTTATTATTTAATTAAAAATAATATTTTATTATTTAGTCATTGTACTATAAAAAGATAATTTGAAGAAAAAAACCTGTGTTGACAAATGCATAGTAGCAGCAATTTCTGAAATAATGTTTTAAAAATTTGAAAGGCAAACCTCATACAGCTAACCAAAATTATATGAATTGGAAATTAAATTATATGTATTATAAAAGTTTTTACAATAAACCTGAAACATCCATTACTGCAATCATTCGCAAACGATACATTAATTTATGTGTTGTTATATGCTTTTATATGTTGTTCATAATAAAATATTTGCAAAATACTATTAAATAAATTATCAAAAACGGGACTAACTACTTCTATCATAAAAAATCTTTAAATTATCCGTTCAGCCATATTTAAAAATATACGTAATTTAATAATTATTTTAAACAATAGTATTTTAAACTATACGTAAAAATTCTACATTATAAAATAAATTATGTCAAAAATGATATTATTTAATAGAAATAAATATTTTACCAAGTAAGAAAACGAATATTTTTAAACTCTTAGCGAATAATTGAATTTATAGTTAAAACTTGGAAATGATTTTCACAAATATACGATATGATAATTAATAATAATCTAGAACATGTATTTAACTAGATATCTTGACATAATTAAATATATAATTAAATTAAAGACAAAATAAAATCTTATTATGAATTACGAAGCATTTTATAAAATATTATTTTTCACTTATTTATATGACACAGATAAATATAGCGTGTGTGATAAGCTTATATGAATAGAATTATACCTATTTTTACACGAAAGGACAATTTGACAAGAGCATATTATTAATTGTATAAAAGTAGAAAATGTATTTATAACGAAATAAATTCTTATAATTATTGATTCAAAATCGTATATACCTTCTTGAAAATTAATATGCACAATATACATGATACTCAAGAGAGATGATGTAATAGAACTTTTGAACTTTAGTTCTTATATAATCGAATTTACTTTTATAGATATATTTTTGGTATTAAAAGTAAAAATTTTGCTTTTACTTAAGGTTCACTAAAAGAATTTTTTATTTTTATTGAAAGTATATAATATTAGTTATAAAATAGCACGTGTTACATTTACCTGTAAAATTAAATAATTGTATATTTTAAACTATTAGTATTTATATTGTTTAAAATATATTAATTTATCGAAGAAACTGGTAGTAAAATACATTCTTATAAAGTCTCATAACTCAGCCAAAGCTACATAATATGCAAAATCAGAGGAAAAGAGAGAACGTTATAAAACTCACAGAATCGTAAAGAACATGATGCATTGTAGTTGGTATTCTCTTCTACGACGCGAATAAAATCGGTGAGTATCTTGGATATAAAATGGTATTGCGGGTACTGTACCCAATTTGAAATTCTGGTTCGTCAATGGCGTTTTCTCCGACAGCATTTTTTCGCACTCTTCTCTTTTATGGAATAAAGGGATAGCAATTGCTCAATTAAATACTTAATAATTGGCTCGACTAGCTACCTAGGGAATAAGATATTCAAAATATTGTGAATAGAATTTTGTTGATAAAATAAATGTTAGGAGCTCATTCAAATGCACACATTTACATATATTACTCGGCCAATAAATAATATTAAGTATATTAAAGGATAATGTAATAATTAGAAAAATATGAGATTCTATGTTATTTCGTTATATAAATAAATTCATTTATATTCGTCACAAAGTACTTTCAATTAGTAACTATTACAGATAATTAATTTATGCATTTTATTCTTCAAATTATCCACTAGCAATTACTCGAGTTAAATATAATATTTATACAATATTGACCATAACTAACCATACTTTAATTATTCAAAGTTGATAAAATTTTAAGCTATGAATTAATTTGTAATGTAACGGGCAAAACATTAAATCAATTAATTTTATTCGTAATATAAGCAAATTGATAAAAATTTTATTCAATAAAGTAAATGAGTACAAAGTAATTAAAAAACAATATTAAAAAAAAAATTAAAAAAAAGAGATATGTCTAATATGCAAACAAATACATAAAACTCTATCAGATCATATTCCTATCAGATTGGAAAATCTATTAATTGTTAGATGAATACACCATTTTAAATTAATAATAATAACATTAAAAAAAATTGTATATAAGTTATCGACTTTGTCAATCATTTTTATTGCAAAGCCAATGTATACGGCAGTTCCTAATAATGTAAAACGAAAGATAGAGGAGAAATTAATATTACCTATAAATAAAATTGATTACCCTCATAAATTCATGCTTTGTACACGAAAACGATGTATCGACTGACCTCGAACAAAAAAAAACAATGAAGAATTTCGTAATGACATCAGACTTCACTGTTATATAATACCATAAACAAGTTGCAACGTTGTGACTCGTTTATTTCTATATAAAATGACTCCTTTCCTCGCTGAGCCTCAGCAATGGCGCCATTTTACCGTAATACACATGCGTTTCTTTTTCTTACTGCAGTTTAATAACGAATGAAGAAGCAAGAATGAGATTATTTTTAAAATATCGTAGTGACATTTATCCTCACAATACGAGATAATATCATCTTATGCGATGATATTTCAATTTCAATAAGAAAAGTTTGGTAAAATATTTTGAAAGCGCACTTAGCACAATATAATAAAGAGATAATTCCCACGATATTAGCATATTTTCTGATATTTATAAAATCATAATCATCTAATCATATTGAAAATACACACCATATGCTTTCAAAATAAGACTATCGAATTAATGTTTTGTTGATTGTATTAACGATAGAATTTATTTTTTAAACCACAACTTACATACAACGGCACGTTATATTTGAATGAAAGCAACATAATTACAGTATACGTCTTTTAAAAAATTGACGAATTCCTATGTGATATGAGAATGCATCTATAGGTTAATATTAATAAAATAATTTTGAATATACTTTTAATTCTCCTGTAAAATATGAAAAAATTGAACATTTAGTTATGTTTAATACCAAGTTTTTATAAATATAGAGAAAAATATTATTTAAGGATTAATCAATAATAAAGGAAATAAATCCATTTTTAATGTAGACATTTTTTTTTCTTTTCGACACATATAATCCAATATAATTTTTGAATATGGCAAATAATCTTTTTACATTATAATCAATTTATTTAATAATATTCAATTCACATAAAAAAAAAAATTACTTTACCTTATATTATTATGGTTATCGTTAATAATATTTAGAAAATAATATTCATATTCAAATCATTATTCCTAATAAGAATGCCTTCTTAATTAATTTTCAATGTTAATACATGCATAATTAATATAATTAATCTTTTTAAGAGTATATTTGAAAAATTTCGTTTATTATCATATTTTCTTTTACATCAATGATTTCATGTAAAAATATAAAATTTCGTAATTAATAATTAAAACGATATTTTGAATGTCTGTTAAATTAAATAACATACATGGTCTTCATAAATCAATTATAAATATATGTTCATAAATAAATATTCTAAATTTAATGTTTTAAATATTATGTCATATGACACGTTAAAAAAAAAAATTAAATAAATTCGCAACACAAAACCAATATATAAGAAATACCTAAGACACTTCATATTGAAACTAAAATGTCTCGAGACATAATTAACGATAGAATTAAAAAGTGTCGTAAATAGTAATATTGGAGTGTTGATCTATAACAACATAAACACCCGAATAAAATATTTACCATTACTCACATAAAGGTAGCACAAACGCAACATTGAAACTGCCTGATTCTATTTTTCCGTCTGCGTAAAGCACTGGCGAATTCAATATGGCCTTGTTGCCCCTTTCCCAACGTCAATAATGTTCTTTCCGTAGGTTGCCGCATTATCCAAAAACTAAGTCCTTTTCACAACTGATAATAATATCAAAGTCCTATAATTAAATGACCCTATAAATTCTATAAATATAAATTTATTTACCGATACTATTGCTACATAATTAAAGTAACATTAATTTTTACCTAAAATTTACTTTTTGCTCAGTAGTAGACGACCTGTGCATTAAAATATAATGTATTTCTAAGAAATTTTCGTATGCCATGAATAATTTCCCCATGCAAAATGAATTAGCATATTATTTCAAACTCTGGTTATCAAAAAATAAATAGTTGAAAAATTATTGGAAATTTCAAGTTTTACGCTTTATTTTAGTTTTAATTTAAAGAAGTCTAATTTATTTATATATAATTAATTCAATTTATATATAATAAATAATATAATAATTTAAATAATTTAAAGAATGTACTATATATATATGTATATATATATATATATATATATATATATATATTTAGCATGACATGGCAACTTACTTAGTTAGTACTCTTAAACCTCTGATTTCATTATATACTTGAAAATATTTAAATATAATAAAGCTTTTAGTATTAACTACTACAAGTGTATAAAATTTTATATTTATTATAAAAATTTTAATCTATAAAGCATTGCTGTTTCCTTTCGTAATATAAATTTTATATTATATATAATATATTATATATGGATGAATGATTTTATATTCAGCTTGTTACGACGATAATGAAATATTCACTTTCTTTCTATTTAATTCAAAAATAATTAATTTAAATAATTAAAAATAAAATTTTTTAATAAGATAAAGAAATGTATTGCCAGTTTCTTTCTTTTTTTTTTCTTTTTTTTTTTTTTTTTTTTTTTATTTGAGAATCGAATGACTTCGTAATTACATAGAATTTTAATAATATAATTAATTAAAATAGTATGAAATTAACAAATAAGTAGATTTGAAATATATTTCTAACTATTAAAACATCATTTTAAAAAATTCACTGTAAGTTAAATTCAAAATATTTACGTCAAAATCTCGTATAATCCCATTTCACATTTATATTAATGGATATATTCATTGGCAACGAAATATAAATATTTGAGCATCGATATATTATGTAAAAGTAAAAAAACTCGTATTTACATAACACTTTTACATGTTAATTAAATATAATACATTCACTTCACTTACTATGATAAATACAAATAATATCTTATTAATTATGTTAGCAAATATTTTTAACAAATATTAGAAATTCATAATAAAAATCTATCAAACGTACATTAATTTACTATTTTATTTGTCAATGTATTAATATTAAAATAACTATAGTATATATAAGATATATACAAAGTTTTTATTGTCACTTTTTTTAATGCTAATGATAAAATACACTAGAAATGAATTGCATCTTAAAAACACTTTCATATATAACTTTTCAAATATCTTTCTAAGGGCATTAAATTTCATTAATCAAAGACAATGTCAACGTTTATTCTTAAAACACTTAAATTTGAATAAAACTAAATTCAACGCTATGTGTATCCTTGTACATAAATGACTATACTATATCTGTAACAAACTTTTAAACGGTTATTTGAAAACGTATGAATAATATTGTATTATAGATTTATTAACAAGTACTGTACACGGCAACTTGTACGCAATGTACGCACCTTCGGTCACAAGACTGTTTTCATTACGTAAATACGTTGCAGTTGAAGGGATAATGTAATACGAGTATACCATACTTTTATACTAAGTGTCACATAGGCATATATTACGCTACTTCTTTTGCGAAAGAGGTACTACAAGTATTGCTGCTCTCAACGTCATCTATGTATTTATTGATAATACATTTATAAAACACAATAAGAAAAACATACGGTTTTAGAATAAAAATATGATGTTTTACATAATAAACTTGATTATAAATATTTCTAGTTAATTCAAAATTTATAATATAAAGAATGAGATTAAAATTTTATAATCTTACTAGACAGAATGTAATCGATAATCTTTGCTTACATGTAAGATGATCGGTAGCTGCAAAGGGGCTTCGTTGGTACGCTTCATATAAAAAAAAAAAAAAAAAAAAAAAAAAAAAAAAAAAAAAAAAAATATTGAATATAAGCCATGGGACATTAAGTGATTTAATTGTTTTAATTGATAATTATCTCTTGCTTTATTACTATTTAATCTGAATTCTTACGAACAATATATCGACAATTTTTTAATACCATGTATTATAATTTTGCATACTAACAATATGTACTATTCAAAAACCTTGAAATATATAGTTATTAAAAATTATATAATTAATGAAACATCATACGATTTATAAGTAAGTACTTTGTAAAAATTTTCTATTTATTTATTTTTTTTTTTTTTTTTTTTTTTTTTAATTGAAAATTAATAAAAACATTAATATACTAATACGATAAACAGAAAGGAAAATTTAATATCAAATATTACCATTCAAATCAAGCTATTACAGTTCATTATAGTTTTTATTTACTTATCACATAATTATGATTAAATTGTTTTAATAAATTAAAATAATTTCTATTCCTATTACCTTAATTATTTTATTACTACTTAAAAAGTAGTTAATAAATTATTCATCAAAAATAATTTAATAAATTAAATTACCGATAAGTTGACTATTTTGTTAAAATAAATATGAATACCTTCATTTTATTTTATATCGTATTCTTTCTTTTTAATTTAAGATTTGTACAGTATTTGCATTATATAAAGACACTATATAATATCAAATATCAATGCATATAAATAATAATACAGCGTTAGAAAAAATATACGTATACTTTACTAAATATTATTTGTTTTTAATAAAATTATGCATCTCATCAATCGTATATAAAATAAATAATAATAATAATCCTAATAAAATGAACATCGTTCGATCCCGTAAACATTGCCACTATTATTCAATACTTTTTTTAATATGTTTCCTCATTCAAATATGACTATTAATGTAATTTTCCATGTATGAGCATATTTTTAATGTAAATTTCTTTACTCTACACTTTTAATATATTAAATATTTTTAACCTATCAAATTTACTTCTGAGAACGATCTAAAATATATTTTTCCAAACTTTGAGCCTGCAAGTTTTGTGAGATTTCCACGGCCTGTAAAGTATTTTTCCGACGCCGTGCAAACGTGATGCGAATCACATTGGTGAATGTGATTAGAGCATATTGGAACATATTGTACCCACGTCACATGTATATATATATATATATATATATATATATATATATCTATTTTGATGAGAATGAGTTAAACTTGTAATTACAACTAACAGTTTACATTCGCAAAACTAGAATAATCAATGCGTAAACTAGAATTTAAATAATATTGTTTGTTCTCAAAATTAAAATATTAATTCAAAGAAAAAATTTGATATCACTTGACATTTGATATCAATTACTGTCTGGATTAAATTACTTCATTGAATAATTTTAATGTTCACTAAATATTTACTGTATTTACGGAACTGAAGGGCTCTCGCTCGACTCGAAAATTAAGAATAAAGAATAATCTAGAATAAAGAGGAAAAAAACAGAATTATATTTGAATATAATTTAAAAAAAAAAAAAAAAAAAAAAAACTATATTAAGCCGTTAAAATTTGCAATCGTAAAATAAATATAATAATTCGACATATTTTACAAATTTTGCCTTTGAATAATTGTAAATTTGTTTGCTTTCATGCCATTGTTTACTAGGTTGTGTTAAACAAGGATAATAAAGTTTGTTTAAACATTGTTAACCCCGTTGAGATTTTAACATTTAATGTACAACAATAGTATGAAAGCTAAAAATATATTTTTTCTATTGATTTATCGTTATAAATTATTCTCCAATACAGAAATTATAAAAGAAAAAAAATATGATTACATATTATTTTATTTGAAAAAAAAAAAAAAACGGTAACTGATATCGATTTATTAAAATACAATATTAATAAATTGTAAAGAAATATTTATCATGTTGAAAACTCAAGCAACATCGGAGATCTCGTAATCATAATAGATTGGATTTTTTTTTTCCAAATTTACCATTATTGATTTATTGTTTTTGTATGTTTAATATAAAGTCATTTTTAAATGGTATAAATTACTTGATTAAATTTAGCATAGCCATGGAGCTATTTTTCTTACGTTTGTTATTTTGTTACATCTTTTGTTTTTTTTTCGTAATAAAATGTAGGTATCGGCTGCGGCTAGAAATATATTATAAAGAAATTCTATTACAGTATAATCATGAGGATTAAAAAAAAATTTATTCTTATTTCATAGTTGTATTGCTAAGCGAATAAGTATTATGTATTTATTCTTTCCTTTTTTATCTGCCACGAAGTAGTCACTATCTAACAGAGGAATCACTATTTTAGCAAATTTTATCCTCGTGTTCATAAATAAATCAATATTTTACTTTAAAAATAACCTTATCTCCATCTTGTTTAACGCATTACATTAAATCCTAATCCCAGTAAACATGATTTAGATGTTCGTATTGGCAAGGAGAACCGACTTATTATAATGTCGGCGATTATATAGACTATCATATCTTATACGTTAAATGTCATACATTTTCTCAATCCGCTCAGTTTTCACCCAATAGGAATTGTATTTTCTTACGTTTTAACATGCAAATTATTTCACATCTAATCATTCCTCAATCTTAATAAAAGTAAAGCAACTATAAAGTCATTCGATTTTAAAATCAAAATTTAACTCATTCTCATGTGTGTCCAAAGAAGTCATAGTTACTTTACAAGCAAGTTACTATGATGTATTAGAAATGTTATATTGAGCTAATTCTTCATTACTTCATAAACAATAACTTCAGCATATATGGGGCTATGTTTTGATTGGAATTTCCTTCGTACGTATAGATTATCTTTAAATAAAAAAGCATATAATATAATATATGATATATATATATATATATATATATATATATTGTATTGTTATCTGATTTTATCTGATGTCGTCTTATGTGATGTGAAGTAATGTGATTCGATGTGACGCGATATCATGTGATATGATGTTACATAATACGATATGAAGTATTACGATGCGGTATAATATCTTATATAATTACTATAATGTGATGGGGTATAATATGATACATGATATAATATTTATATATAAAATAAATTTATAATATAATAATCTAAAAAATAAAAATAACTAATTACATCATATTATATCTATATTATAAACTCGTAAAACCTGAATTTAATTTTAACCCTTTCATTTTTATATTTTTTGTGAAAATTCATATGTTTACACGCATGAATTTAGAATCTCATGTCCAATCAACTGATATTATATGAAGATAAAAATGTTTGTATTTTAAATATTAATAATATATATATATATATATATATATATATATTATAATATATAATTATATATTATAATTTATTATTTAAAAAATTGTAAAATATATTTCTCGCAAATCCAAAGATAAGTGAATTAACATATAATTTTTATTTATAGTTACATTACCTTATTTTATTAAAATAAATAAGTCTATTGTTTCAAAATAGAATTAATTCTTAACGTAAAATTAAATGATTATAAATACTATTATAGACAGCAAAAATTAAATCGCTTTGCTGCTCGAAGCTCCAACCATTGTTCCTGATTTGGAACGTACATTTCAGCTGGCATTCTTTCAAGTCCAAATGATTCAAATGATCCATTTTGCGTAGTTTTTTTAACTAAAATTTTAAGAATAATATTTCAATTCATGTACTGAAACAATTCTCAAATAAATATGTTTTAATTTACAATTTTATAACTTTATATATAGTACGTAATTAGTCTTTTTTTTTTTTTTTTTTTTTTTTTTTTTTTTTTAAAATAAAGAACTTACGAAGCTTTTTGTTCATTGAAATTGCCTCCCCTGGGTGACGAAGAAGTAAACGTCCGACTCCTTCACACCTGCGTAATACTTCATTTTTTAATAAATGCGGTCGAACGTTTTCAGAAATTATAGAGCAATTAGTAACCCATGTTAATACATGAGCAAAATCAGTAAGTAATTGCAGTGCTCCCCATTCGCTGAACATATGATTAATATTAACACTTGTCTACAATTATTTAAATACTTCGATAAAAAATTCTTTATTTTATTAGTACCTAAATTTTATTTTATGTAAATATATATGATCTAACCATGCTTCACACATTATTTGAAGAATCATATTTGATATTTCAAAATCTTCAATGACTTTCAGAACTGGAAGCAATACTCTTTCTAAAAAAAATATACAAATAGAAAAACTACTCCATTAACAAAAGTTAATATAGTTCTTTCGATAAAAAACGAATGAAAAAATTATGAATATAAATGGGATATGAGATATGTAATTAATTGTATTAAATTACCAAAATATGTTTCAACGTAAAAACTGGTCGTAGATGGAGCCGTAGATAAATTTTGTCTCCAATAATTAGATTTTGGAAAACACATATGAAGATTAGTGAGACTGATGACTCGACCAATTTTTGCCAAAATATTAATACATAAAGTTGGCGAATCCTATAAAATAGCATATTTTTATATAAATTATAAACATTTTTTCATATAATTATTCTCAATTTTTATATACTTTTAATAGTTGAATATTGGCCATAACTTCTGAAATAATTTTTGCACGCATTTTTGCACAAACATAAACTTGAACATTCATTATTTTCTCTTGCAATTTATTACTGTGATCTGCAACCTAATATGTTTACTTTAAAATCAAATTTTGTATAAATATTTGAACTTTTGTAAAAATGAATTATCGATGTAATAACAATGTTCCATAAACAGTCTTAATATTAATAAATAAATTGAAAATTCAATTTATTTAACTTCCTATGGAATCAAAATACATGTTAGAATAAAAAACAACATTTATTTATTTTTATTTTTCATTTACTTATTTTTTATGTAACCTTTTTAAAAATTCTATAGTCGGTCAAAGGTATTCTAAATTTAACTATGTATAAATTAATAAAAAATATGTAAATAAATAATAATTCATTATAATTTACTTATCTAAAATGCAAAAATAATAAAAAAATATAAAACTATCATTAAAATTAACTATTATTATAAATCTGGTTTGTAGAATTATTATTTATAATTATAAATAAATAAATATATATAATATATTGAATTAAAAATTAATGTTCGTTTAAGTAACACACCCAGATCAAAGAATTTAACTTTTCAAAGTATTAATTTCTTTCGCGTCATATTCGATTTTATATATTAAGAAGCCGTTTCTTATATTATCCTCAAGAATATAACTGATAGAACCAGCCAATATATTGATCGAAAGGAATAAATCTTTTATCTCACACGTAGTTATTTACGAAGTTTCAACTCTTTATAAATTATCTGTAAATTTATTTATAGTTCCCAACAATAAAGAACTCGATCAGTGACTATCAAACCTTTATATTTACCAAGGAGGATTAGCCGGATCGTTTTCCAGTTGAAAAGAAAATCGAAACATCTTCGATTAGAGGTTATATTCATTAATTCAGTACCAAAACTGCTAAATCAATCAAATATTTGTACCATAAGTGAATATAAATATTTTTCTGTAATTATCTCCCTCAAATTGTTTCAAGAACTCAGAATTACGATAGAATCTGTTCTTATTATTATACATGAAATTTACATTAATTAAAATACGTAAAACAATTATTTTTCAACAATAATTTGATTATTTTCTGCTCTATTGATCAAATAAATAATCAAGGGCAATAAAAGACTAAAAATTCAAGATATGATCAAATATTTTTATATTGATCTATTAATGTAATTCCTGCTATAGATTTTCAAATAAATTCAATTGATTTTCCAAAATAAGTATGTACATTTCTTTATTTGTAATTTCATTATTAGATACATTAAATTATAATAAAAAGCATTGATTTTGATTTTACTTATAAAGGAAGAAATCGTTAAGAAAAATAATATTTGAAACATGATTCTTTCAAGAGTATCTAAATATTATATATTATTAAACTAAAATATAACATGCATTAATTGTAACGAATTTAAGCAACCTTATAACTATGAATAATTTATTAATATACAGACTTCGTAGAGCTTTAATTAAAAATCTGAAAATGTAGATTACTAGTTTTGAATGAATAGTAAACATTACACATATCTTCATATTAATAATCAGCCAGTAAAAGTAATATAATACTTAACATAAAATAAAAATATGCAGGCAGAGAAAAAGCTGAAAAAGAGAAAATAGAATATGGAAACAATACACAGTCACAGGAAAAGAAAATAAAAAAGACAGCCTTTCATAAAGGGAAATAGAGAATAAAATATTTAATTCACAAATCAGAGCTTAAATAATCCAGACTAAAATAATAATTCTGTATTTCATTAAACGATCGATAATGTACATAAGCTATCACGATGTAATAAAAATATCAATTTCTGATACCTGAATTTTTATTCAACTATTGTTCTACTTTTAATTGAAACGATATATTGTGTAATTTGATTAATTCAAAACATGATTAAATTCTCTGAAATTTAAAGCTTTAACTATTTCTTTTATTAATAAATATATGCATTTATTTATTTCGAATATACAATTAATTAAAATTATACATTCAAGTTTCAATGAATGTATTCTTTTTCCATCTGAATATACAGTTATATTTTAATATAAATACATTGATAAAAAAAAGATCGAATAAAATTATTCGTTACATTTAACATCACATATAAATGCATATGAAAGCACTCAGAAATTCTCTTTTGCAAATGTACAAATCAATAATTTAGTACTTTATTTAAATATATTTAATTAATTCTTATATATTTATAAGTTAAATCGGCTTTATTAATACTTGAAGTCATCGCTTATTCCAGTGAGTTTTCACATAACAAACGAGAAACACCTGTCACATAATATTTTAATACACCTTGTAAATTTATCATACTATAACTATTCACAATTGTTATAAATATGACAATGTTTACATTGAATTCCAAATAAATAAAATATATTTAATAAAATTAAATTAAAAAATTCGAATTCACTATAGAATAAAAAAATTATTTTTTTAAAATTGCTTTTAAGGTCCAAAAATACTTTTAATTAAATTTGTAAATAATATAATTAACTCCAAAGACTATTTTAATAATTATTCATATAATTATGAAACTATATTAAAATTAAAAACAAAACTTATTATTATTTTACCAATAAAAAAGATTTAGGAGAAAAACATTTATATAAAAGTATCGTATTTTCTACAATCGCATTTCAAATAGAAAAAATTCATAATTTTATAATAAAATAAAATTAATTTACTTTTAAATTAATAAACAAATAAATAAATATATATATATATATATATATATATATATATTGAAATAATGATAATGAAAATTTACAAAGTTACCTTTAAATTAGACAATACATCTATACAATTGACAATATCCCCTTTAACTAGTAAAAAAAAAACTTGTAGATCCCAGGTATGAGCTATCATACGGGTCTCCTGCATGACCCAAAGTCGCATTGTGTGAACCGAATGATCCATTCGATGTAATACAACAATTTGTTCAGATAGTGGAAGCTCAATTAAGGGTGCACCAACAATCCACTCGCCATCCGTCTCGCATTCATTACTTAGAGTCATCAGAAGATAGAAGACGTCGACGAACTTTTGTCCCGTATCGGTTCCCTTTATCGTGCATTTCTTCAATTTTTTGAAATTGTATCAAATATAAAATACTTTTAATCGTTGGCTTTTTATATCGAGGCATTATTGTTTTAAATAACTCATTATACTCATTAATTTCTACAAAACATTAGTTTTCCTACTTGTTAACATTACTTAACAACTTCATATATTTTTTGTGAAAGTAAACATTTTATTAAATAAATTTACAATATTCAATTACAATATAACAAGAAGACTAATTGATAATAAATCCAAAGCATACCTCGGAAACTTCGGATGCCGCCTTTGACTGACACTCAAACGCATCAATATATGCTAATCGAAAAAATTTATCCCAACCCGTAACGGTCATGTGAGATCCGAGCGCATCACATAGAGTTTGAAGAGCTGGCCTTACAGTAGATGGAACTGTAAACAATTTTGTTTTAATCATACAACTATTTCAACTTATAGTATATTTTAAAAAGTAATAATAGTTCCATTTATTAAAATAATTGAAAATAGTTAGTCATATACGTAAAATAATGCACAAGAAGCTAATATGAAATATTGAATTGTAAAATTTATTTTGTTTTTTTTTTTTATTAATTATACCGTCTTTTTCTTTAATAAATTGTTGTAACCAATCCTTCAAATGCTTCGATCCATCATCGTGTCGAACAGCTAAAGCTTCGGGTGACCACCAGAGAACTACATGATCTAATATAGTTGATACTGAACTCCATGCCACCTCTTGATAAAATTCAATTATTTTTGTAACAGCAGCTCGTCGTATTTTGACTTTATCTATTAATAATACAAAATCATTTGTTTTATAAAAATTAATGTTTTTTAAATGTGTATAATATAGTAAAGTAATGAAATAACTACTGGCAATCAAAACTAAATTATAATATAATTTATTAAGAACCAAATTACTTAAAAACTTTACTTTCTCTTATTTATTGATTTAACTGAGATCATAACTACATATAAAAAATATTCAATAAATTTTGCAATATTATACTTTTATTAATTACATTCATTAAATTGAATAAATCATTAGTTTCTAATTAAAACAAATATTTAATGTAGAGATAATATAAAATATAATTATTTTTGAAACTTTAAACAGTATTTTATAACTACCTAAATTAATCCACATATACTTTTATAAATATAATAGGTGATCTATCTGTATAAACTAATAATTAAAATTACGAATATTATTAATTGAACATTAATATTACATATTTATGTATCATTGATGAAAGTAAAAAAATTCTATTTAAAAATAATTTCAACTTATATAATAATTCAAAAATACTTTTAATCCGTTTTATTATATATAAATATATCATAGATATAATAATATAATACTAACATGCAGTTTAATTTTAGATAATAAAATATTATAAAAATATTTACATATTCATTGTTAAATTACCATTATTCATTTTTGTTGTATCAGGACCAAATAAATATGGAGATATTATTTTTATAATATTGAGTAATTCAAGAATTTCATCATTTTGTGTATTTACTAAAGCCTGTATATTTTCTACATTAGAGTTTGCTTCTTGAGCATCAGCAATTTTAGCAATCGGAAGCGTCAAATGTTTTGTTAAAGTCCTAAACAAAAATATATCAATAATAAGTAGACGCTTGAAAACAATTTAGTTTATTTTTACAAATAAATTCTAAGCACATTATTTGTCAAAATAATAAAAAAAAAAAAAAAAAAAAAAAAAATTTATTTTAAACAAAATAAATAAAACGCGATTGCATAAATATACATTAAAAAATTGTTTTATATTAAATTATTATTATTAGATATTTTAATTGAAAAATAATTGATTGATTAACAAAAATAGATTTAGCAATCACCGATAAATTTCAATACTTGAATTATCAGAAATATCCACATCATTAGGGGTAATAAATCTTGTATCATCCTTATCACAAGTGGATCGATAGTTTGATAAAGCGCAATCGATAAGCTCATGACAATATTCTTCGGCTCGATTCTTAGCTAACATCTGTGCAGTGTAAAATATTCCAAAAACTTTGTAAATTCACACATGCAGGCGTACCGCACGGATACATATAAATATATATATATATATATATATATATATATATACAATTATATACTTTACCTTTAATATGCGAGTAATTGAAAGTTGTTTTTCTAATACTAACATGTTTGGACAATCATTATGAAATATATTTATAGACAAATCTGAGACATCGTGATCTACATTTAATAACTTGTTATAAACATTAACTAACCTATATATTTTATATTTTTTTATTTCAAAATTAGCTATTATTATTTAAAATAAAAATTGGTGCTTTTTTTTTTTTAAATAATTAACATCTTACCTAAAAACTATCCTTAAGTTTTCTTCATTTGCACAACTAACTAATTCATTAATTAGTTTTCTCATAAATCTAGCAATGGTATTAACGTTCTTTTTCAAAGTAAATGTTAAATATTGGATTTTATATTGAAAAACAAAATTCTGCGGCTTAAATACCTCCAGCATAATTTTACATTCCGGAACGGCTAATTCTAATTTTTCAGTTAATATTTTTAATTTCTATAAGTAGAATTAAAAAAATAATAGTATTAAAAATATTATTGATTAAAGATTAATAAAAGAACTCTATTATTTAATTAATTAATTCGAGTATATTAATAATTATTTAATATGAATATTTTATGGAATGCCTCTAATAACAAATAAATTTGATATTTTACGTATTATATGTTAAAACTAACAGTTTTAAATATTTTTAATTATACGTTAAATAAATTATAAATACTAGTAATATTATATTTATAATTTATTTTTAAATATCTACTATTTTTACATGTTTTATGTATATAATAAATAAATATATATTATATCAAGAATTTGCTATTGAGATATTACAGAGTTCCTTCATTAATAAATCACGCATAAAGTTGTGCGTTGCTGTAGATAAAATAAAAAGCAATTCAAATATCAAATAGAAAGTATCAAATAATAGAAAATATCTAAAATATAAAAAAAGAGATTAAACATCAATGAAATTATAGGTCCTCTAATTATTTCCCTAGTTACCACATTTGTGTGATGTAACTGAAAAACAAAAGAACTGTTTCGTTAGAGTAATGAAATAATATTAAAAAAATTATTTATTTGAATTGAAATATATATACGTTGTAAAATTCTAAATATATCTAATACGCATAAATGAAAATCTGTATTATAATTTCTCGAAAGCTTTCTAGATCTAGACAATTTCTACAATGATTTTTATTATGTAATTACATTAATTAATTATTTATTATATTACATTAATATTACATTAATTATTATAATATCTATATTATTAATATTATGTAAATTATCGTTCAATATTATATAATACATTTAAATATAAGATTTTATTGTTAAATTCTCTTACTTTTGTAATCTGTAAAATTTGAGTTTCTATGGTATTTGAGTTTCTATTCTTTCGTTTGATTATGGTGAGTCAAATTGATAATATTTATATGAATTCTACTATAGCGCGAACTTCATTTTAAGCATTATAAAACATTATATATCATAATATTACGAATTTAATAAAATATTTATATATCAAAAGTGAAATAACAGTAATTTTTATATTAATTGCAGTAACATTACAATTATCATTTTTCTTACAAATAAAAAAAAAGTGATATATTATCTGATAAAACTATATGATATTTGAAAATATTATTAATTTAGATCTCGAGAATGTATAAGAATAATTCTCTCCTCGTTTGTTGGTAGTTACATTCATTACATTTCCACATTATTGTTTGACTGCTATTATGTATTTTCATTATTAAATAAGTCGAATGAAAGAGTAATATTTATAGATAACAAACACTTTTATACAAAAGCGATATTAATAAGATATTTAACTGAACATTTATTAGAATATAAAATTATATGAAAATTTTCTTTTAGTATTACGATTTAAATTAAAAAAAAAAAAGAGCAATTATATATCTATACCGATAATTAAAATGTTTAAATATATAAAATGCAAACCATATTTTTCTGTGCTTATGAAATGTTATAATGAAGTACGAGCATAAAGAAATTGAAAATTGTAAAATATATAATAACTTGGAAGAAATGACATAAACATGAAAAGTTAAAATACCTTATGATGAAATACAAGAAATGAAGGGGAAAAAATGAAGAACAGAAAGATTCAATACATACAGTTTTATTGTAAGAATCTATTCGTATATCATGCTTCATGAGTGCAGCTATCTGGCCCGCAAGTCCATTTATTGTTTCATTGAACTTTAAAGAATCTGCAAAGCATTTCTCAAGGGTAGCCGATGCCCGAGGTAACCATTTACCAACATTCGCTCTATAATTACTATCCATGTGTTTATTATAAAATCGTCGCTACACACTTGCCCTTATTTTTTAAAAAACGATTTCCTTCGTTTGCACCCTCTCTATAATTGTAATAAGAGTTTCTACATCAAATTGAAACAATTTTTAATATATATATATATATATATAATTTTAAAATAGATTAAATAATATATTTTTATAACAATATATTATATTTGTTTACTGTAAGTAAAAAAATTAAACATTGTAATGCAAAAAATATGCAAATGAATTATTTTTGCACATTGATACTCAGGATTTTAAAAGTATCAAAGTAATATTGAAATATAATTATAAATCATTATATATTATACAAAATACATTATATCACAAGATTATTGAATAAAATAAAATTATTAATATCTTATATAACTTTATAATTTCTATTTGTATAAAAACTTCCTTTGATAATTCAATTGTAAATGATATTCCGTATAAATGATACTGATATAATAAGTAATAAAATCAATGATTCTATTGTGAAATAAAATGACATAATTTGATATTTTAATTTTAACGAATAATATCATATTTACTAAAACATGAAATTTTCAATAAATATTAAATTATACGTAAATAAATGAGAACATTTTAATCTCAATATTTATATACAAAACTTAATTAATTTATTCAAGGTCATTTGTAACATCAAACATTAATCCAAATTAGTAAGACAATTGATATATTTAATTTTAAGATTCAAAATTTTTCATTGTTAATGAATTTATAAATAAATAAGATGAAATGATCATTCATTCATTTATAAATAGTAATATAGGTCAAACAATATTTAATATGGTCACTTATTTGAGAATTATGTTAACAATATGCTTTAATATAATAAATACGCAATGATAAATATGTCTCTATAAATCACAATAATAATTATAAAAATTATGATCTATAAATAAGTCACACTACTAAAAATTTACATACATATATATGTAAAATGTAGTTGATTAAAGTGATTTTTATTTAAAAATTTCATTGTTACAATTTAAACAAAATTAAAAAGACAACTACTTTAGCAAATACAAACTGTAATTATATATTTTTTACAAAAATGCTATATAGTAATTATTGTAATATATTATTATTAAAACGTACTATCATATTGAGAATAGCTTTTACAATAGTAAAAAAATTAATTCTAATATATACACAGAAGTCGATTATTAAACAAATTAAATTTCTAAAACATATTAAAAGAATATATAAAAAATCATCAGTAAATAATTAGATCTTTGCACAGTGTACAATGATTAGTGATTTTTTTAAACAATGTATAAAGCTGGTCATTAGTATATAAATATATTTTTTTATAATAATCTGATTATTTTATATAATCGATTATTATATCTTATTGATTTATATATAATAATCTGACAATGAAATATGTTCACCACTATTTAATACCAATTATTCTTCATAATAATAACATTCTCGCACACTTTTTTCTTCCCTTCACTTACATTAATATGTAATATTAAGTACTCGTTAACTAAAAATGACCTTCGATAAATAATATATATAATTATTGTATAACTAACAAATTTGATCGTTATAATTATTATATAAACCATTTATTCAAAATACTATATAATAAAATATATAATTTAGTAAATAAATGCTCTTTGCCTTTTCATAATTTGAAATATAAAATAAATATAAAAGAATTATTTCATCGTTTAGTTTTATATTACAGCAAGTTGTGCAACAATTGAAAACTAATAGAAAAATATTTTCAAATTTAAAGCAAATTTCTTTTACCTATATTGAGCCCTATCTTTAATATATTAAATATAAATAACATGAAATTACTATGCATAAAACATTGAAACATTAAATAGATAGTAACTTTATTAAGTATTGAAAGACTAACCTTTTATAAAATATTTTATAAATATAGTACAAATTAATAATTGGTTACATTATAACATAAATTTATACCCTCTATACAGAACTGTAAAATAAATAGAAATAGATATCTAAGTGAGAGAGAGAGAGAGAGAGAGAGAGAGAGAGAGAAAGAGAGAGAGAGAGAGAAATAAACCAATAAATAAATAAAAACTTTTTTAATAATCAGTGCAAATATACATACAAATATACATACAAAACAGCGTAAAAAAACTTTACTTCAACTGACCTCCTTATAATTGACGACAAAAAATGTTAAAGCACCTCGAACAATAACAATTTATAGATTCAATACAATTTTGAACAAATACAGAAAATTTAATTCTTATGTAGAAATCATTATTAAAGTTTTATTAATTTTCTATGTATCCTTTTTTTAACAAAATTAATATAAAGTGTTATTACTCTGTAAATAAAATGTGACTCAGTACATTACTCGATAAATACATCACTCGATGCGAATTCATGAACAACAAAATTCTGTTTTGCTAAGTACAGAAATATCTTTTACAGGTAAATACTTTATTTAGACTTGTGACCTTACTGAAATAAACGAATGAGCGGTTGTCAAGGAAATGCGTAAACATGTTCAATCCGTCACGAGCTCATAAAACACAGTAATTATCAAAATATCCGTGAAAATATGTAAAGCTCCAAACGATTTGCGAAGTAAATGGTTATTAAAATTATCAAGCATTTACACAAAATAAATATTTTCGATAATTCCAAATTAATGTTTTATTTAAATATAATATAAATTTGAGAGTTCTACACACTCCTATTAAAGGATAAATATTATATTCTTATAGGACTTATTATTTAACTAAATAATTTAATCCAATTATAAAATAAATTCATTTCGATTGATTTATTAGAATATTTGCGAAGAAAAATTAATTTTATACAAGGGACCGAATGTGCTATATAATAATTATATGACAGATCGAACCACAATCATTAATTAATTAAAATGTTAATTGAACAGTTGTCTAGTTAAATATTAGTATAATTAATAATTTAATGTTAACTATAATATGTTTAAAGTATTTATTGAAAATTTTAATATCCAATTCAATTAGCGTATTTTTACAGACAAAACTATTTCGATAAAATATCATTTTTACTGCTGTTATTATTGTTGTGGATGTTTTTTTTTCTTTTTTTTTTTTTTTTTTACTTCTTCTGTGACAAAAACTTATTCCATCGGCTAAAATTAAGAATCATCATTAAAATTCGTAATTATTTAAAAATTAAAATAATTTATAAATTTCTAATTATTGCTTGAATATTAATAGTTTTATAAGTTGTTTAAAATAAAAATGAAAAAAATTATATCTACTAAGTTTATGTTAAATGTTGGAAATGATGAAATCATATTTAAAAAATTTTTACTAAATGGTAATTATAATTAAACCATATTAATTTCATATACCTGTATTTAAAAACTATAAATTCACTAATTCTGAAATCCAATAAAAATCTGTTTGATATTCACATTCATACTTTTACATTTATTACATTGTACATTAAAATATTTTCTCAACTCATTCATAAACTTAGCGCTTTCTGTTTGTGTTTGAATCAGATCAGCTGATGGGGCCAGCGACGGTTTAGCAATTTTTGCAGAAAAAAGTGTAAAACGGTGTACATAATAAATAAGCCAATAATTAAATTAAGAATTATTTCCAAGTGCTAGATAAATTAATAACAAAATGCTAACATTTCTTCGAAAGACTTGTAATTTATCGGTATGTAAAAGTTATAGAGTATATCGATAATGAATTCCATAATTATAACCTCAATATTATGTAATTTATAAAAACATCAGCACTTAATAAAAAAAAAAATAATATGTTTTTAGTTCTTAATATTAAAGTAAATATTATTTCATTAAAATAATAATAATTTACTTATCTTCTATGGAGAAGAATATAATTTTATTAAAAATATCTTACAAATTATTGCATTTTGATAAATTTTTCATTTTTTTTTACTGTATATGGATTATTTACCTTATATTGCTAATATTTTATTAAATTTTTAGTGTCAAATTGATTTAATTTTTATAAATATTACCTTATTTTATTTAATGAAAAAGAATATATAAAATAATAAATCTTATGCAAATAATAATTAAAGCATTCGTATTTATTGATATATTTTCAGTAATATTACATGAATTTGTTTAACATTAATTAAGCAATAATATCATGTATTAATATTTTATATTGTAGGTACTACAAAATATAAGAAATTTACAAATATCAGCTATTTTATCTTCGGACACACTATTTACTGTAAGTTACAAATTGGAGTATGAAAATAATTTTCATTCTTTATTATTTTATCATTAGTAAAATTTTTTTAAATTAAAAAAATTAATTTATAAGATAATTGAAGATACTATTTCATAAATATTTCACTTACACTAATACTAAAAGATGAAAACAATATATTGAAAAGTGAAATTTTAATAATAACATATTAATATTAGCAATCTTATATATTATATTAAAATAATCAAAAAAATTAATGTATCTGATTTAATATTTAGCACAGAGATACAGAGTATAATAATCCTAGTACCCCTTTCGAATTCAATGAAGCAAATAAAAAGAGAATTGAAGCAATATTAAAAATTTATCCAGAAGGGCATAAACGAGGTGCTATGATTCCTCTATTGGATCTTGCTCAACGGCAGTATGGTTGGCTACCCATTTCAGCAATGCACAAAGTTGCAGAAATCCTTAATGTATCCAATATGAGAGTATATGAAGTTGCTACTTTCTATACAATGTTCAATCGCAAACCCATGGGAAAATACCATGTTCAAATCTGCACATGTACACCATGTTGGTTAAGAGATTCTGATTCTATATTAAAAGTAGTTCGCGAAGAAACCAATTGTGAAATAGGTGGAAATTCTGCTGATAATATGTTTTCTGTCTCGGAGGTAGAGTGCCTTGGTGCATGTGCTAATGCTCCAATGTTACAAGTTAATGATGATTACTATGTACGTATTTGAATATATGCTTTTTCATGAAATATAATATATATCTTATAGTTATGAAATGATTTATAAATACATACATTAAATGTTTTAGGAGGATTTAACACCTGAAACAACCAAAGCTATTATTGATGCACTTAAAAATGGAGAACGACCACCGCCCGGACCTCAATGTTGCAACAGATATGCAGCTGAACCAGCTAGTGGACTTACTTCGCTAACTTCTCCTCCACCGGATCCTACCTTTGGAGTGCGATCAGATTTATAGATAAATAAACTTTAAAGTATTTTAATGTATTATCACATTTCATGTATTGATCACAGAATTGGAACAATTTTTCGTTCTTATGTTTTCAAAATAAAAGAAATAAATTGAAACTTATTTCTATTTAAACACTAAAAATTATAATAGTATAAAGTTAAAAAACTATTATAAATGTCACTCAATTAAAAAATATATTATACAATATACTATATATTATTTATTATATTCACAAATATTATATATATATATATATATATATATATATAAAATTTATATACTGTTTTAATTCTTTCTAAAATTGCTATAATATTTCAGAATCATTATTGTCCTGTCAACATACCTATTTTCATATTCTTATATTTATTAACATTTTTATAATACAAAGAAAATCTTTTGTCAAATCAATTTCATTACTATAAAAATAAATATAAATTGTAATATACAAAAATAAGGGCGTTCCATGTTTTTAAAAAAAAAACTTAATATTAACATTCATATGAAATTTTAAAAGCTAAAACAAATTAAATAGAAAATTTTTAAAAATAACGATTTTATTTATAATGAAATTAACGCGTTTATATCCAAACATTGTTCATAGAAAATCTTATTCAAAGCAAAGTAGCATTCATTGTTAATGTTTCGAGTCAATTTGGTGCTTTGTTTCTTCGCCCAACGGTATCGTATATTTCGACTTACATAGTACATCAACTTTAATCATATAAATTCAGGGTATTGCATAATATACTTTACCTATCATTAAATTGAAGTACGCAGCCGCAATATCAAGGTTCGTATTTGACCAAACTCTGTGAGATAACTACTACATCTTATCATTCATAATGTTATTCCATAAATATATACTACCAACATATTTGAATTTATGTATTTCTCCTATAATGATTGTCGTAGATACTTTAACAAGAAGCTTTTGAATTCACCGCCCCTACTATTAGTTATTGTCAATCTGTATCTTAATATAATATGGTAATAAATAAATACAGTCATTACAGATTAGGTTTACAAGATATTTCTACGGACAATTACTAATGTTACACCATTTCTGCTCCCTTAGTCAATTTTACCTTAAAGTTTTATTTGTTTAGATTTACTACTTCATTAGAATTTAATTGAAAAAATATTATTATAGATCATCTACACATTACTCGAGTAATTCAATAACTATATTATTATATATTACAATCTAACGGATCATTAATCGTGAATTAAAGTGAATCGAAACAAGCTCTCTTCTAATACTAGTGAGATCCCTAATACAATTTCCTTAAATTTATTTAATACTTCAATAATGTAAATTTATTGTATTTCAAAGCTCACTTTGATTAATTTATGCAAAAAAAATTTTACATGAACTTTTGAAGATGTAATATTACAAAGTAAAAATTTCACATCGCTCGATCACGCTATCCCTACTACTAGCGAACGTTAGAAATAGCCTTTTACGAGCACCCATATAAAAATAATATCTGATAATGAATGCAAGAAAGCAATTTTAACGGAAGCTGCGGTTTTAATCTAATTCGCTATATATTACTAATACTTTGAAAATAAATCTTGCATTAAAAAGAAAAATATCCATATGTAACGCATCAGTCAAAATAATTTACTAGCCGATCACCTTATTCAAGCAGAGACAATATTACCACATATAATTGTAAATTTTTTTTTTCTTTTTTTTTTCATTATATCCAATGACCGCTGTCTTATGGGTGTCCTATATTATATGTATGCATAATATATGTATGATTTGGAATTCGTGATTATATTATTGCATAATAGAATCCGAAATTCTAATTGTAAAATTGTAACAAACTTAATAATTAATTATTTAAACTCTCTAAAGGGTTATTTATTTATTAAATGCAAATTTTAATGTTAACTCGATTAATTACTTTACAAGAAATATAACATTGACTTAACATTGGCTGTATTTAAATAAATTTAAGTAAATTATGTTTAAAATTATTATAAAAATGTTTCAAATACGTAATTTTAAAATTAATATAACAAAGAATACTATTTATTTATATATTTTTTATGAATATAACATAACTATTATCAATCATTACTATTATCAACTTTAACATATGCTATTATCCCTTTATTAATTGCATGCTGAAAAATTATCAAAATAAAATAAAACGCAAAATATGAATAAAGATCTGTATTACGTTACATCTACAATAGTACTTAAGTATTCTATCTTACCATATTCATAGTTACATTAAAATTGTCATAGATTTAAATATATTGCAACAGAATCCCTATATCTTTTTATTGATTTAAAAAATTTTATACTACGATTTTTTTATGATTTTATTGTCTTCGTACAATCTCTTTTCTCGAGTATTTTGAACAGTTTTTTTTACCTCAATATATCATATAAAAGTTTTTAATTTTACTAACCTTAAATAAATTCTATTTATACATATATGAATATCTTTATATAAATTTTTTATATTACCGTTATTATTATTGAACAATATTGTGGAAAATAATCGTATAATATTAAATTGATTAGTGTACTGAGAAATGATCGTATATTGCAAATTCCAAATGAATATAAAAAAAAAAAAAAAAAACATCTAACAATAATTTATTTTATTTATTTGCTGAACATTATAGATGAAACTGATAAAGTCATGCTTCACTAACAATACCTTACATTTATTATTCCTTAAAAAAATATTTTAAACATAAGTAAACATTGAATAACGTTTAAATTTCTAAAAGTATATATTATAATCAATAAAGGAGGATAAAATAAATTTTTCTTTAAATTTTTAATAAATTTAATGAACATAAATAACAAATACTTTATTATCCATAAAACATGCTTTGAATTAGATAATAAAAAAAATAAATAAATTCATATAACATGGACATATGAAAATTGATAAAAATAAGTGGTTCAGTCTTCATATATTTTATGCGCTGTAATTTAAATTATCAAAATTTTAATATTTATTAATAAAATTCCATAAAAGTTAACGAAAGCTCTACTTCTACTGTCTGTAATTTCAAATGATCAGTTATCTTAACAATAATACAGAAATTAACTATTTATGATTTCAATAAGCTTTCAATAAGTTTATTTGCAAATTGTATAATAGACCGGCATTTATCAATTTAAATACAATCAACTCTATCAAATATAAATACAATATAATACCAAACTCTTGGTGCATTAAATTTGATAACTATTACTAATAAATGAGATGAATTCAATAAAATATTTTGAAAAACCACCTTATTAAAATTTAACAACTGATGGAACGAATTTTTTATTTTAAAATAAACTTATCATAGTATTCTTTCACTCTTTTGCTCATGTTCTTATGTTCATTATATACCTTCTGAAAACTTATTTATGTATCCAGCCGGTTCACTCTATTATTTTCACGAATCGTACAATAGAGATAATTAATTAATCCTTTAAATTTATATTGTCCCACAAGATTTTATAAAGCAAAGCAATAAGCGAAAGACTATAAATATTTTATGCAAATTATGAATATCGATATCCAATTGAAGTTGCTAAAAACAATAAAATTAAGTCACTCGAAATTATAAACAGAAAACTTAACTATCTATATACCTCTGTGAGATAAAAATTTATTATTTATAAATAAAATGGATCTATGTAGAACAAAAATAAATTCAAAAATATAAAAATTATAAATTATATTATTCAACGTACACACATACTCAATACATAAAGTACAATATTAAAACTAAAAGTCAAGAAACTACCTTTCATTAAGAAAAACACAGCAATGTCCTCAAATTATTTTAGTACATAAAATGATGTTTTAATTATTTATGACCTAAAAATAAATAAATTATTTTGTTAATTATGCCTACAAAGCATACAATTTAAGTGTTATTGATTACTTCTTAAACTCTAGACATAAAGTAAATGAATTCATAAATACAAACTAGCCTTTAATCGTTATATATATTTTAGTTTTATAGATTTTACAAATATTCATATAAAACAATCACTTCAAAATTAATGAATCAGAATTTTTCTATAATATTAAAAGCAATTACAATGTAATAAAATATTAATAAAAATTTGCAATGTTAAATAGTATGAATTAGTAAAAAATTAATTATTAATTAGTACCATAAACTATCAAACATAAAATTTTATGATAAACAAAAAATTTAATCTAAAATAAAATAACACTTATAACAAAATAAAAACTATAGCAAATATATTAAGTCTTAGAACAAATATAAATCAAGTTCTCAGTTATCTTTACCAATGTTTATTGAAAAAAGGTAAAAAAAATTAATTACAAGTGATTTAATATAAATATTAGTTAAATTGTCAGTATTTATATTCTTAGTATAAACAATATTAACAAATTCTCATGAAAATTGTTAAAAAAATTTGATAGAATATTTATTGTGATAAGCAGTAACTAACTAGAATTAATATATTTGTAACAATAAGTTTATACGTATACTATGTTTTTAAAGTCTTACAGTTCAGTATCATTTATAAGTAATAAATATAATTATTTTAAATTTCTGTTAACATTAAAAAAAATATTACCGCATTTGTCTACAAACATAATATAAATTAAAAGCTTACATTTAAAACTTAAATTAATATATTCTTTTAGATAAAATTTATTAAAATAATATTAGTTTTAAAGTTTTTATTTTTTTTCTAATAATCTTTTACAAGAATATTACTTTATATAATTAATGATAAATTAAAAATATTCTTGTAAAAAATTATTATGGCAAAAATAGATAATTTAAAAAAAAAACATTACTGTATTTTTTATATATTGTAATTAAAAAATTAATCTTTATGAATATATTACATCGATGTTTTGGAATTTATGAAGACATTTTAATTAATTAAAATAAATTTAATAAATATATTTAACAATTTTAATGAAAAACCAAAATCTTATGACCGTAAATAAATAATTTTATATAAAAACTATATTTGTAGATTAGTGGATAAGATATTATTAATTTAAGGCATAAAAATGTTTTTTTTAAATAATCGAAAATTACTCATAATTTTAATTTATCGAAGATGAATATAAAAATGTATAATTTATTACCCTTTATTTAATACTGATAATATACTATATAAAAATCTATATAAATCTCAAAAAGTGGAACAACTCTTCTTTTAAAAATATTATTAGACAAAAAGGAATTATAAACACAATAAGAGAAGCGAACCAATGCATCTGTAACTCTGAAGGAGAAACTCTATTGTATATTATTTTTTCATACATCCCTTTTTTTATTTTAAATACGAATTTATGTTTGATCGGTAGTACGGTGGGGCATGCGCATATATATATATATATATGCGGGTGTGAGTTTGCGCGCGCGCGCGCGTTCGTGTGTATTTCGAAAAAATAATTTAGTTATATTAAATAGTGATAATAATACAATTTCAAATAAATAAAACTATTAAATATGCTTAACAGTAGTATTAATTTCATTTGTTTAAAAAAACTATGAAAAATATGTATTTTAAGCTATTTATTCTAATATAAAATTCATAATAATAAATGAACTGTTTTAAATATATAATTACCCATAAATTAAGAAATATTTCATAATTATTTCTTGAAATAACATTCTATTTTTGATATCTGAATAACACGTAAAATATTGAAATTCCGACTATTTCATTGCGAATAAGCTTAAATTTTCGTTGCGCATGCCTCCAATGCATATTTTATCTCTTTCTTAAATCCAATTATGTTTATCGATAATCAAATATGTAAATAACTTTTACCTTATTTTTATGTAAATAAATTGTTATAAATATGTGTATAAATTATTTTTTTTTATTCATATTATCATTATTAAATCATTGTATCTAAAATGAATGAATACTAATACTTCTTTTATGCTCTAATATATAGATTATTTATGTTTTACATTTCTTAAATTTTAATTAAAAAGAAAAATTTACACATATCCAACAATATAATGTATGTATTATTTAATATTTATTTTTTATTATAAATGTGTAAATAAATTGTACAATTGTAATTTTTTCCTTTTCTGCTTGTGACATTATTATTACTTCCACAAAATGTCATTCTATTTTATGTACATGAAATTAATTGTTGATTATTATTACTTATAAAAAGATAAACAAATTTTACAAAATGGATGAATCAATAGCCATAACAGAAGATTCAAAACAAATTTCTGCCATTAATAAAGAAACAATTCATCGAATTTGTTCTGGACAAGTATGGAATTGTTAATTACAAAGTTATAATAAAAAAATATTAATTTTCTTATCTGAAACAATATTTTTATATGTAATAAATTATTTTAACAGGTAGTACTTAATCTTGCTATTGCAATTAAAGAATTGGTAGAAAATAGTTTAGATAGTGGTGCAACGTCAATTGAAATTAAATTAAAAGAGTATGGAAAAACTTGTATTTCAGTGATTGATAATGGAAGTGGAATATTAGAAAAAGATTTTGAAGGACTTGGTAATAAATGCCTCATTATTAGTCATTTTAAATGGAATTTAAAATAATAACTTAATTTTATAATCTTCTTTAAGGTTTAAAGCATCATACATCCAAATTGAGACAATTTTCTGATTTATTAGAAGTAACAACATTTGGTTTTAGAGGTGAAGCATTAAGTTCACTTTGCTCTTTATCAAATCTTAATATAATTACAAAACACTCTTCAACACAACATGGTTTTTATTTACAATTTGATAAAAATGGTATTTTAATTAAAAAAAAAGAATATGCTAGACAACAGGGAACAACAGTAACTATAGATAATATTTTTAAAAACTTACCTGTTAGATTCAAAGAATTTGAAAGAAATATTAAAAAAGAATTTACGAAAATGATTCAAATTTTATATAGCTATTGCTTAGTTTCCATTGGAGTAAAAATAACTTGTACAAATACTTTGGGAAATAAATCTGCCAATGTCATTGTATCGACAAATGGAGCAAAAAATTTGTTAGATAATATCACTGCTGTTTTTGGAAGAAAAATACGAGAAACTTTAATGGAAATTGAATGCCAACAACCAGATAAAAATACCTTGGAAGAATATAATTTAACCGATCAAACATTAGTAAATTTTACCTGGAAATGTTTTGTGAGTAGTTGTAGTCATACTTCAGGACGATCTTGTCCTGATAGACAGTTTTTCTATGTTAATGGCAGACCTTGTGATCCTATAAAAATTATTAAACTAATAAATCACATATACCATAAATATAATAATAAACAGTATCCATTTATATATTTAAATATTGAATTAAAACAAAATTGTACCGATGTTAATGTAACACCAGATAAACGAACGATTTTGTTTACACAAGAACAAGTAATTCTTGCAACTATAAAGTCAAATTTTGAAAGAGCTTGGAATAATATACAGAGCACATTTGCTATAAAAACGTTAGAAGAATTAAATTTCACAGTTCAGAAAAGAGGCATTTCTGATTGTTCAGAAGATTGTTTACCATCAAAAAAACCATTCATTGAAGGAGTAAATACAAACGCTAATCATAATGAACAAAAACATCTCATAGAAGATATAAAAACTAAAATTAATACATTACAATCTAATGAGCAAAATATTTCTCTTAATAAAAATAATGTAATTTGTAAAAAAAAAATTGAAGCCAATAAAATAAAAATTGATATTATTGAACCAAAGAAAAATAGTCAAATAAATAAAGAAAATTTGGAAAATATAAAACAACATATTGAAGGAAACACTTTCATTAGAAATCAGTTATGGAATGTAAAAATGACAACAAGTATTGAAACTATAAAATCTAAAATGTTCAAATTACGCGAGATGCAATTATCTAAAAGTAAAACAGAAAAAAGAATTAAATATAGAGCTCAATTAGATTCTAAATCGACAGATATTGAAAAAGAATTAGAAAGAGAATTAACAAAAGAATCTTTTAAAAAGGTCTCTATTACAATGTGAAAAATATGCATTCACATCATTTTTTATATTTATGTTTATTTACAGATGCAAATCATTGGTCAATTTAATTTAGGATTCATTTTAGTAAGACTAGATAATGATATTTTTATTATTGATCAACATGCTAGTGATGAGAAATTTCGTTTTGAGAAATTATCAGCTGAAACAAAAATAAAAACTCAAAAACTTATTTTACCAAAGCCTTTAAATTTGGCTGTTTTAAATGAAAGTATTCTTATAGAAAATCAGCATATATTCGCAGACAATGGCTTTACATTTTGCATAAAAGAAGAAGGTAATTCAACTTTATTTTACTTTTTTATATTAATTATAATAATGTAATTATTATTTGAACAAGTAGAGGATCCTGGGCATAGAGTAGAACTTACAGGTATACCAGTCAGTTTTGGATGGCAATTTGGTCAAGAAGATATAGAAGAACTAATTTTTCTTATACGAGAAGGAAGTGTTGATGGTAACAGTACAAAAAATATACCTAGACCCAGTCGAGTAAGAGAAATGCTAGCTTCAAGAGCATGCCGTAGTGCTATTATGATTGGAAAGGCCTTAAATGTAGTTGATATGAATCGATTAATAATCCAAATGAGTCAAATGAAAAATCCTTGGAATTGTCCTCATGGAAGGCCAACACTTCGTCACTTATTATCTTTGACACTTTTAAAATAATAGAGATATATTTTATAGAACTATTTTCCAAGTATAGTAAGAAAATAATTAGTATTAGTCAGTTTGATAAAATTATAACTGAAAGATAAACGAAAATACATTTCGATGTTAAAAGTATGAAAAAATTTGATGGAAAAATAGTAAATACAATAATTTTATACTTTATTTTATTATACATATTTAAGTTTGTAACATTTTACATTTTCTATAATAAATTCTAAGAAAATTAAAATTATTCTAATTTAGTTCTTAACATTATTAAAAAATTTTAATAAAACACATTAAAAATTTAGATTGTAAATTTATTAAATTTATTAATTTTATAATATACATAATATATTAAACACTAATGGTTCGAAATATGTTGAAACCAGAAAGTGCAGTAGACACAATTGTACCTGGACATTGGGGATGCCAATGCAATTCCTTTACATCAGTTTGTCCTTGATGAATAAAAAGTAATTGAGGTGGTAATTTTGCTAAATTATCATCTTCATTTTCTTCACACTGATCAGCTTCAACAGATAAATCCCATTGTGTGATTTGATTATCAGCTCCACTAGAAGCAAAAACTGTTGGTTCATCAGGATGCCATTCAACTGATGTTACTGGTGCCAGATGCTGCTTAAAAGTTGCCACTGGAGATGCCCCATCCGTGCTTAATTGACGTAAATCCCATACACGTATTATTCCATCATCACCACCAGAAAGTAGAAATTGTGTTTCTTTTTTATTCCAAGATATAACATTAACATCTGTGGAATGAGCGTCTGTAGCAGTTAGCATGCAGGAAGATTGAGGGTTTACTCTGGTATCCCAAATCTTTATACTATTGTTTTTAAAATAAAAAAATTTATATGAATTTATAGAATTGGTTACTACTATATAAGAATAAAATTTGAAATTTATAAATTTAATATTATTAAATAAAGACCAAAATATCAAATTTGGAAAACATTATTTTACAATAAAAAATTATATTTTGTACATATTATAGTTACGAAAGGAATAAATATATTAATAATTTTAAGAGAAATTTATTTTATAAATGGTAGTTAATTAATATTTCACATATCCAATTATTTTATTTAAACAATTTACTTTCAGGAAAGTTATTATATATCTAAATGTTAAATTATAGATCTCTGATAAATGCTGTAGAACTTAGGCATTTGAATTTTTAGAATAATACGTCATAATGAATCATAAATGTTTTTAAAAATTGCTAAATCTTCACAATTATTAATAATAAATAATAAATAATTAGTAATAAACCGTTAAAAAGATAATTTTCGTTTTTCACAAAAATAGATAAGTCAAACAATCCACTAAGCAACGCTTTTATATAGTGTTCAGAAAACTTCGAAATGTGTATGAAAAAATAAATAATAAATAATAATAGTAAATAATAGTAAATAATAAATTAATTCCTTTATCTATATTTCATATATTAAAAATACTTTAAATTACATGTTTACATATTTGGTTTTTAATAATGGTTTATGTAACGTTTTCAAAATTATATAAATAAGCAATATTATTGGATACAATTATTTATATCTTTCATAACTTTGTAAAAAAGTTATGTTGATTGAATGTTTTGCATTAAGAATTTTCAGTTTGTTTCGAAACATTTACAGCTAAAATATATATTTTTAAGCACCACACTGATAATACATTAAAAACTTAATTTATTCATATTTAAGTTTTAAAAATTGGTTACGTTCAATCGACTTCAAAAAAATGTATTAATCGATATTTAATCTACACAAGATTTATATGTTACAAATGCTTTGTAGAAAATTTTAAAAACTTGACAATTTCTACATCTGTACTTACTTCTATACATTGCTATAAGGAACATATAAAGTTTAAATCCTTAACTTTATTAGTAAATAATTTTATGAAAATCTCTTAAAAGGGCTACAAACAATAAAATTTTAATACCTTTTATCTACAGAGCAAGATGCTAATACGTGTCTCTCATTAGGTGACCATTGAAGATCTTCAACACTGTGTGGCGCATGAGAATTATATGGTCTTTGATCAATGTGCCAAGTTTGACTTCCTCCAGAATCACTGTAGCGCCAAATATGAATATTACCTTTACAATCACCCGAAGCTAATGTACCTATTTCTGTTGTACACCAATCTAAACCATAACCTTCACTTAAATGTCCTTTAAAAGTAAAAACAGGCTTTACAGCATTTTCAGATTTTTGATGAGTTTTTTGATATGTAGATAAATAAGCAGAACTTTCTACAGCTTTTAATTGTTCCTTTAAATCCCATAATGTTACACGGCCTAATTCACTCCAACTTGCAGCAAGAACAGTACTCCCAATTTGAGTACATCTAAATGAAAGAATTATATTATTTTGAATATATAAGTATAGAACATACATTTTGATTAAGAAAATTAAATAAACTACCTTACTCTATTAACACATCCTTGATGTTTGATCGAGGCTACACTCATTGCAGGACTCTTTATCTCGTCCTCTTCTTCAGAATCACTTGATTCATCTTCAGAGTTATCTTTTATCTTTGTTCCATGAAGATTAGACATTTTGATTACAAGTAAATTATTTACATGTGCTTTTGTAGCTTGTGTACCAGTTACAAGATACATTGTCAAAGGATATGTTTCCCTTGAATTTCCAAGATCATCTTTAATAATATCAAAACTAAGGCACGGTGCACCTGTTTGTGCTTGATGAAAAATACGATAAGCCGATTCATCCATAACTAGTTCTTCTCCCGATTCCATCTTTGTTCCTGGTAGAAACACTTTTTTTGTCTTTGTTTTATCCTCAACCATACTATCATCGCTTTGATCACTACTGCTTACACAATCATCTTCTATCTCATTATCTTCCATTTGATCTACTTCTGACATTTCTTAACATAATAATAATTTATTAATAACACTGTCTTCCTTTCTCTTTATACTATAAATATATATATATATATATATATATATATTTATTTAAATAATTGAATAAAATTACATTAAGGGTATTATTATATATTAAAATTATTTTCAATTGGCTAAATATAGAAAAATATATATAAGTATAGATAATTACTATTAACTTGAATAAAATTACATTAAGGGTATTATTATATATTAAAATTATTTTCAATTGGCTAAATATAGAAAAATATATATAAGTATAGATAATTACTATTAACTTGGAGGCAATAAACATTATTATTATTACTAGGTTAATATTGAATTTTATCTTAAAAAGTTCAAGTATTCTCAATGTCAGAATTCAAAAACATCTTACTCTTAACCTCAAAATTGTAAACATTACTCTTTATTCATTATTTTATAAAATTCATTGTTTCTACAGAGGTAAATCGATAAAACTTGAAATTTGTTTAATCGATAAGAACACTTACTTTGTAATATATTAAAGGAATATTTGATCGTATAAACCTTCCAGTTCTTTTAAGCTACATGCACCGATGTTTATTTCATATACACGTGGTCTCAACAAGACGCATGCGCAATTTTCACCAAGTAGATACGAATATTTTAATTAATCGTGTATCCAGATGTAGTGGTTAGCGGGATACACTATCCATAAAAGATATTGAATACTGGTATTATAAATGGATAAAAACGAATTTAACTTAAAGTATTTTTATAAACCTGGTATACCAGAGAATAATGAAAAACATCCATCCATTAAAGTGATATTTTATTTATCATGGCGATCGAAGGCACCCAGCGCATATGTATATATATATATATATATATATACAAGACGCGCGTATTTTCGATAATTTTTTTTAAGGAAATAATTATAATAAGCGCTTATCTCACACACGATGGCAACACATTCTGATTGCGTAATCAATATTTTTTATTTGTTGACCAATAAAAGAAATTAAAATTGGAATGGAATAAAATGCTTTATGCAAAACTGTATTTGACACAGTAAAGAATTAAAAATAATAAATAAATAAAAAATACATGTTGCTTGTAGGAGCTTTGAATAAAGAGTCATGAAACTGCTCCTATATGGACCAGTTTATTAGTAATTCATATTAATAATAATTAGCATAATTAATATAGTTATATGTATAAAATACAGCAGTAATAATTATCATAATCCTCACAAAGGACTGATAGGAGACAGCAATCAAGATTTGGTTGAAGATGCTTGTTTGCCAAATATGATTTGATGATACTTGAATTATTAGCTGTGCTTGTTAAAATGAGGGCTGCTTCCAGAGTTGTTAACCAGCTGGATCGATGCCATCGGACTATGCGGATACTGCACCAAAGGCATACTGGAATTATTTCGACGAGGATTTGTATTATGAAGACTGTGAATGTAAGAACGCTGGACAGGTTTGTGCTGCGCAAGTTGAAGTAGAGCCTCTGGTATAGAAAACCACTTACGTTTACGACCTATGGAACGGGAGTCTTCCCACTCTGGTAATTCCTCAGTAACTCTCATTACCCAAACTTGAGTTCTGTGTTTGTGTTCAACGTTCTGTTAATGAAATAATTATTCTGCTAGAATCTTTCATTTTATGAAAAGTGAACAAATCGATAATACAAAAAATATATACTTCAAAAATACCGAGACATCTGCCTAATTGTCCAAGCACACCAGCCTCTTCTCGAACTTCTCGCAAGGCTGTTACTGCAGGCTCCTCTTCTGGTTCGACTCCTCCACCAGGCACAATCCAGCTATCGGGTCTTCGACTGGATGTCACCAGTAAAACCTAGGTTAAAAATCAAAATCAATTAAAAGATTGATCTCTATTAACAAATAGAGCCACTTTAAGATACCTCTTCCTCGAGATCGTTTTTAACACAAATACAGGCCGCCCTACGCCTGTAGCCTTCAGAGTCATAGATTCGAATGGAATTTGGCTTCTCCTTGACCATGTTTCAATGAGGCTAATGGTGTCAGCAGATGAACCAGAGGTACCGAAGGCACCAGAGCATTCCCGAATGCGTGGAGCCGCGTAAATGTTCGTCAAACGGCTAGCAAGGTCGACCCTCGCTCCCGCACTGTCCCACTTGAATTTACAGCTAGCATATTCATCGAGGCACCAGGAAAACGAGCTCCCTTCTCAAGCCTTTGTCCCGCGCTCGCAAGTCAACACCGCTTGAAGCGTCGTGGTTTGCACGCGACGCTTACTTCCAACTCCGAATAGTTGAAGAACACCTCTCTATACCCCCAATCCCTTTTCCCTCTCCAAACAAATTTAGATGCCGTCTCGAATGCACAACCCTTCGAATTTTAGCAGACCACTTAACCTCAAAATGCGCGAACTCGTAGGCGGCGCCCTAATTCTACGTATCTCCCTTGTCTAACCACTCTTACTCAATGGTGAGACTCTTATTTCCCTTGTCAAGTCAGCGATCGACAACGACTAGCCGTTATTGGCCTTTAAGCCAGCACACACTTTTGCCATGCCAAACGCCCTTATACACACACTCATCCATATGTCTCTCGCCTATTTCGTGTGTTTGTGCATACGCTATAAAAATTTGCGTACCCGGCCGGGCGACTCGAACTCTAAAATACTGATGCACTGATGCCTCATTCTGATATTATTCATTCGTAGCTTGTACACTAGTGCAAATCACAGTTGGCAAAGTCAAATATATGCCGTGTTCAGTAATTGGTTTCCTCGTCTATCCTTTCACTCTCTCACTCGCTCGCTCACCCAGAATCGTCGTCCCACACCTACTATATCGTTAAACTATGAATATGTATGAAGTATATATAACACTATAAATGGTAGCCTTCCTATACATTATCAAGAATTATTTAAACATTAAATTGATTCTATAATACTAGAATATGTATGCATATCGAAACACAACAATTTTTGCAATTTCAGCCTCGTGTACTCAACTGGTTTTTTTTTGCTTTACTTATCGATTATCGTAATAAATGCGATCTCTGTAGCTCTCATTATTTATTTATTTATTTATTTATTTATTTATTTATCTATTTCATTCTTATATATACATGTTTGGGGGAGGGGGCGGGGGTGGTGGAGGAGGAGGGGGAGGGGGAGGGGGAGGGGGGAGGGGCAGAGAGGAGGCGGTATGGGTGCGCGCGCGCGTGCATATGTGCATCTATGTATTTAGAAAACCATTTACATATATATCAGTGCGTATCTTTAAATATAACATCATTCACACTTCTAAACAACAAACAAAACTTAACTTGAATCTTCTCAAAATTATTTATTCTTGATCTTCTACTAATTAGGTTAAATTTATTTTTAAAGATATATTTGAATACAATGTAATCAATAACGGTAATTTTAGCAATTGATTTTAATAACCAATAATGGCAGTTAATTCATAATAAAATTCATAATAATAAACAGAATGTTTAATATGCATCACCTAAACATTTTATTATAATACTAATTTTACCTACTTTTTAAATATTATTTTGTACACCCTATTTAAATATAAATTACGTCTTCGTCTATTAGAATAGATTCTATTATACAAAACATACTGTATACAAATTGCACTTATTAATTGCATATTTATGAGTACAAAAATAATATACAAATATTAAAAAATATATAATATTGATTTTAACACATTTTTATATGATAATTACTACATATATTAATATTTACTTAAATAAGCTTAAAAATGTAGGAATATTTTTAATAATAGATGCAAAAATATATCATTAATAAAAACTTACTAATCAAATTTCTCGAAAATTATATATAACGTAGCTTACATTTGTGTTGGGACATCATAATAACTTAAATTATTATAATTTAATGTAAAGTTATTCGAAAAAGTACTATTACAATAAAAATCAAACTATAAAAAAACAAATATGATTTATTTTCTAATATGCATATATTAGAAAAATAATTGAGATAAAACAGCAATTTATAAGAAAGTAAAAGTAAACAAGAAGTAATAATATAAAAAAAATTAAGGAAGTAATAGAAGACGTAAAACTATCCTGCAGAAAAGAAACATTTGGTCAATTTCAATAGGCTTATGGAATGTATAATTAATTTTTTTTTCTCATTTGATTTCTAATAATTAAATTCAATTACATTATAATCAGGTATTTACTTACCTAAAGAAGTATCTTTTACTTTGCAATCCTACTTCTTTTAAATCATTGCAATCTTTTACAGATTTTCAAATATTTTAGCTTTTTCATCTATCGCACAAATTACAAAATTTAGCAGATATTTTGTTTAAATGAAAGTGCAACGTTAGTTACACGTCCGCTGCTTTTATATTAGGGCGCATCAACAATTCAATTTACGTATCCCATCATACCATTCATTTATTGTATTTCAAAAACTTCTTATATTTAATAACTCCTCAAAATGTTTGTCAATGGACAATGTTATATATTGTTCTTTGTATACACTTTTTGATAATTTCTTAAACTTTATTACTATTATTAAAGTTCAAAAGCAAAATTTAATCCTGTTTTTAGTATTATATAACCATATATAAAGAACATTGAAAGGGTTATCTATTTTGTATGTATGAAATTTTAAGTTTTATTATATAATAGAAATGCCTTGTAAATATAATAATAAAAAAAAAAAAAAAAAAAAACCTGAGGATAAAAGTTTTTTGGTTGTAATTTTTAAATTTTATCAATCATTCAAAATGACAAAAAATAAAGACAATTTTTTAAGTTTGTATTGCTCAAAATATAGGAATATTTAAAAAAAAAAAAAAAAGATGTACTGTTTATAATTATGGTAAGGTCGATGAATGCCCATGTAGCATAAGCAATTCAGAAAGTTTTACGAAAACAATTTCAATCATAGACATACATCACATTCTAGACTGTATAAGGCTAACAATTAAATATTAATATTCATTAACTAATCAGTACAGAACATCTCGAATTAACTAGATATGTTAAGGTTCAATTAATCATTAATATTAAGATGATGAAAATAACTTATTGCGTATTCTCGCAGAAATTCATAAAAGTTAAACGTGAAAAAGAAAACGTTAGGCAAAGTAAGATATTATATAAGATATCGTGTAGCAATATAATAAATATCAATTACGAATAGATAACTTTATTTGACAGAATATAAATATAATCTTTAAATCAAAACCGGGGTTTGAAAAATACAGAGAAAAAAATTTATGTAGTTTGGAAGTAAGATTAAGGATATAGGAAATATTTCTTCTGATTATAGCTAGTTTAACCAAGAGCGACAATTTAATTAGTTTGTTTACAAAATAAGCATTTAGCGAAAAAAAAAAACGAAAGAGAAACCTATTTGAGGTAGTGATAGATGGAGACCTAAAGCATTATGCAGAACATAAAAAATCAGTTTTTAAAGATCTTTTCGAGAGCAAAAAATAACATAATTTTACTGAATGATAAAGAATTTTTCAAAACGAGCACGTTATAAAATTCTAATTATTTTAACATTTTTTACGAGCTACTAAAAATTTCTTCATTAGCTTATTTTAAATAATAGCCAATTTAGCAAATAAAAGCACATTCTCCGACATTTTATTATTGTTATAATAAATTTAATTAAATAAAACATATAATAAATATAAAATTACCTATAATTCTAATAACCTAGTTGTTCTTCTAGTTATGTTGAAAAGACGATAAATATAAATAAAAATCTATCATTATCAAGTATGAACACCTTTTAATTTTAGATATGCAATATCAAATGCATTTAAAGCCATATGTTTTATTAAAAGCGGATTCATATTCTCTATAACAATTAGAAAAACATCCGCTGATTAAACAAGAATGTACCTTATCCAATTTTTAATTAATTCATAAATTGAGAATAATTCTTAAACATAACACTCACAAAAAAAAAACATATTAATAATAAGAGTTTATTATTTGATAAAGTACGTTACTAGCTAAATCATATAATTTATTACACATATTAAATATCGGAGTATATTGCTTTAAAAATATTTAATATATTCATTTATTTTTGGAAACTTAAGAAAATTATTCCAGTTTTGTTATTATTGTATAACTAAATTTTCACTACCTAAGAAGAACGGAACAGACAACTATTGGACGGATAGAATTTCACTGAATGTATAAAAAATGATTTCTGTAAATCTCAATAACAATGACAATTATCATTTAAATGAAAATATGTCAAAAGTTCTTACATGTAAAATTAAATTGTCCATAATCACAAAACTCATTGAATAATCAAAAATTAAATATATATCTCCTTATATAAAAAAATATATCCACTATAATTATTAACAGCATCTATCCAACACAAAAATAAATAAATTCATATGAATATATATTTTTTCTTTATTCTCTTAAATCAATTTTTATTTTTCTTATAAAACTTTATTTTTAAATTGAATCTTTTTCAAAAAATTAGGTTTACATTAAAACTTAAAATTGTATTAGTACTATATGAAGATAGTCAATAAATATTTGACAAAATATAATAATAAAATAGTAAAATATTTTAATTAATGTTGTATACTACAAAAAACTACTAATGACGATAATTAAGATTATAAATAAAAAATGTTTATTAAAAAAGTACATATTTATAATAATTTATTAATAAATAATTATAGTTAACACTTAAAAATGTTAAATTATATCAATCTTTCGATAAATAAAATTTATTTTCCGTTGTAATTTAATGACTTCGTTCGCATAGTAAAATGAAAAATGTCAATGACTTTGTAAATGTAAAAGTAATAAAAGTTCGATTATAATTATATCGGTTTCATTATCGTTAAAATCAAAATTCTTGTAAATATTTTCATTAGAACAATGACATATTTTAAACTATATACTAAATTAATAAATCAATATATTTATAATAAATTTGCCCTTTTAAAAATTGTTTGTATTCTTTATATTTTTTTTTTTTTTTTTTTTAATATTATAATAGGAAAAATGATAAAATTTGATCATCACAAAGTACATGCATGTATGAGTAGACGCAGATGTACACACGAACGAATACATATCTATCTATCCACACACCCATCCGCCGCACACAGATACAATGAAAAATAGTAACGAAACTTGACTTAACGTACAAAACTTGAATTCCGTGGCGAAATACTTAGCACACACGGATTTCTTTAATCACATAAATTTCAAATTTAATATTTTAAGTCGCAACGATTTGGAAAACAAATTTTAAATCAATAATTATAAACGACAAAGTTTATTAATTAATTTTAATAACCAATACAATAATTGCACATAGCATTCAACGTTTCTCATGTAAAATTATTTAACTTTTTCATTATTTAGTAGTAATGTCAATAATTCTCGATAATTTTCTAAGAAACGTAAAGAGCTTTAAACGAGACTGAAACTCAATGCACTTAGATACATTTTTAAAACAGATTTTATTGACAACCCATCGAAGTTTACTCGGATATATGCGGCATTTGCATAAAGAGAAATGTATTTTACCTCATCTGCACTTTTATTTGTTTATTTCTTTTGTTTAATAATAATGTACTTAAAATTTATTATGTACACATCAACTTTTTAACAATTTTATAATGGTTTTCTTCCTAGAAGAAAAGAAGAAATGGGGAAATATTTTTACATACTCTTTTTTATAACGCCATTATTAGTAGTGTCTTTATATATTGAATATTTAGAAATAGTTTAACGAAAATTAAAAGCAAAGAATGTCTACTTTTAATAAAAAAAAAAAAAAAAAAATAACGCACAAAATATTAAATATTTATAGCATCAGCACAGCATCTATTCTCAAATCTCGTGCATTCTGGCCTCTCGGTTTATGAAAGTATCAAAAATATCCCTTAGTACTCGTGTCCAATAGATAATAAAAAACGACACATTATCTTGCTGGTAAAATCATTAAAAATACAAAACTAACTTATTCTAATATACAGTGCTCACCTCACCTGATTACTACGTACAGTCCATTCTTTTAAGATTCGTCCTGATTCTTCTTTTCTCGTCATAAAAAAGAATATAACAATGATCGCAATAATCTTAATAATAATAATTAATAATTAATAATTGATAATAATAATAATAATAATAATAATAATAATAAAATTAATCAAAGTAATGGTGATAGATATATACGAGTAATCGCTCGGAACGCTAAATTGAGTTTATCCACAAAATTGTAAAATTAAGTCAGATTTTGTTTGTTTTTTTTTTGTTTTTTTCTTTTGTTTTTTTATAAATATAATACAATTGTGAATGATTTTTGTTTTCTATTTTGTTAAAGCGATAGCAATAAGAGGATAATTAATAATAGATACATATATATAATGACATTGTATCATTCAATCTTATGGCGATTTTTTTTAATGTTCTTTAAGATTTAAGAGAGGTAGAATTTGAGATTTCAAATTCCTACACATTTGTTCTCTCGTATTTCTTTCAATGCGATCACATTATGTGTCGTTCGAATATACACCGACGAAAGTCACATCCTTGTCGCATGCTTTAAATTAGCACTTTGCAGACTAGCGGCCACCTTGACTAGCTTGTTTTCCATAACCACTGCTTCATATTCTTCATTTTCAGTACCAATACCGTAGCAACGGTGCCGCGACTGCGAGCATTTAGTCAAATTTTATGATGAATTATTTCAATATTTCATTGCTTTCCCAAGCGTCCAGCGCATATCAATCCCCAGGATGCTCCGGGCAACTGCGATTCACTTGAAACCATTTATCGATACAACTAAAACAAATGAGTAATTTCATATTTCTTAATTACTTTAATTTAATTCAAATTGATGTTGACTCATTTATCACTTTATTATATCACTATACTAAAACAAAAATTAAAAATTATTAATGAAGTATTTTTTTTCGAATCAAAGATACTAGCAAATACCAAATACAAAAAGAACAATAAATGCACTTACGTGCGTTTATCCAAAAATAGTTTTATATTTAGAATTATAAAGATAATGAATAAAATATAATACTGCGTGTAACATGACACAAAAAAATACTCTTTAACATACAATTTGCAATACATTGTAACTTATTATTTTTAATTATTATTCCATTATAATAGTGAAATTAATTCAATGATACATATTATTATATAACAAATAATCTATAACATGTAATAATAATATACAATATAAAATAATATATATACAAACAAATATCTGAATTACAAATAGAAACTGTATAATTGTGAAAACAAACTTGAAATGAACATAAATTAGTAAAATATTAGTGTAGTAAAATAACGATGTAGTGAACGTTTTCTCAGCCACAAATTAATTTAAATATAAATAAAATGACTAGTTTCCAAAAATAAATTGAAATACTAGCATTTACAAATTTTTAATTAAAATGATATTTCAACTATTAAAATTGTATTCTAACGTTCTAATATACATTATAATGTAATACGTTATATAATGAATTTATCATTATATGAAATTTTTCATGTCATAATTTATTAGCTAGATAATAAAATCATTTTTATCGTGCAATTCTTATTGCGTTTACGCTAGTTAATTGATAAATTAAATAAATTTTCAATAAAATCTTAAATCAACATGTAGATTTGTTTAATTACACTTTACTACGATGAAGCGCATATAAACACCAGTCATTACATTCATTTTGAATATATAAATATCTACATTATACTTTATACAAAAAAAATATATATTTTTTTAATAAAATCAAAATACAATATTTAAAATTTTTTAAATAAAAAAAATAATTAAAATTATATTAAAGAAAAATCTCATATATATATATATATATATATATATATATATATAAATCATACAATATTATAATAGAAATATCTTTAATGCAAGTATATTAAAAAATATTCAATTATCTATGAAATTAGAAAATAAATTCCTTAAATTCATTAAATGCCATATAATTTCGTAATATATATTAAAATCAAAATTATAATTATAATGTATTCTTATAAATTAATGAATTAACTTAGAAAAATTATACCCCTCAATAGCGAGTTTATAATATCACTACACATAATATTAAACATTCTTTACAATTTCCTAAATTTTAATAAATTAATAGTAAACTTTTCATATAATTTTAACGTAAAAATATAAATCAATTACTCTAAAAAAATATTACGAATTATTATTTAAACATAATAAAAAATAACAAACCCTTATAATAATAGTTATGTAAGAACATCTACAGTATGATGTTAAATATATATTGACTAAAAAACTTCCTTCCATTAAAAATATAATAACTCATGATAATATAAAATTTATTGCTAAATTAATCACTTCCTTTAGAATGATTAAGAGTCAGAAAAATCTGCTCTTCAAATTTGTTAATATTACTGTACGAATATGAATGTACTTGTACTTTTCATTAGTCGATGTATAAAATATATATCGAATGAATATAAAAAGTCAATTTACTTTTTATGGTATATGCAGAGACAGGGCAAGCGGGCTATCACGTCACCAGGTTGTAGATCCTCCAAGCAAATCACACATTCACCTTTTTCATCCGCGAGTACGTCTTCTACAAATAATAAAATAATTACTTACTTTTATTTAACAATACGAATGATATTGTATTGAATTACCATTTAAGAAATATCATTATATTTTTAAACAAAATAACTCTTCAATTCTACTTAATACTTTTTAATTATTTTTTTATTATTTATAAAATTCTATTATTAATACTATAATATAAACTATGATAAATAATTAATGAATAAAACGTCCATAATTTTTAATAAATAACAAAGTGTTGATAATATGTCGGTAATTATTACATAAAATAATAAATATTTATAATATATAATAAATTAATTAGATATAAATAAACAAATTTTTTTTCGTCTTATGAAATGTAAGCGTAAGAAACAGAGTATATATATATATGTTATATATTTAACAAGCCTTATACATTATATTATACAAATTTACATGCAAAATTATTATACGATGAAGAATCAAATATCTTCCTAGCAGGTATGATTAAAAAAAATAACTTGACCTTGATATTTCACATTTAATATTTATTTTTAGAAAATAATACTTAGTAATTATATAATCTTAATATCGACTTAATCAATTTATTCAATAATTGATACATTTTTGAAGTTCTATTAAAAAATCTGATCATTTTAAAATGAACTTTAATAATGAAATAATAATAATATAGATAAATGTTTCTTAATTTAATAGTTATATTCAAATGAATCTCATAAAAAAACTTGTGATAGCGTTGAAATATTCCCGATACACGATACTATAAAATATTTTTAATTTTATCGGTTATGTTTTTTTTTTATTTTTATTTATAGCTAAATAAATTTAAATGAAATTGTTTCGATTATTATGAATAATAATTATTAATTATTGTTTATTAGCTATTATTTACAATTTAAAATTAAAAATTTTTATTTTAAATGGATTAAATTCAAAATATTTCGTAGTCAGTATTCAATTATATTCTTCATTATTTATATTAATAGTATAACATTTAAACTACATAATTGCGGTATATTTCAGTATTATCGGACGAATCAGAATTTAGAATTTATTTTTAACGAATCACAGAGAATTTCTATGATTTGTTAATTTGAATACGTAATCTAATATATTATTAATGAGCTTTTTAAGTAAAGTAATATACTAAGAACTAAAGAAATAAATTAACTAATATAATTATTAAAGTTATTATTATCACTTTAATATACTCATTTCTCGCATTATATCTTCCTAAATAATACTTTAATTATATTAAATTGAAGTAGTAATTAAATCGATGTTAATTTTATTGATAAATTTTACGGTTTTAAGTTTTTTTTTGTTATTCAATAGTCAGCCATTTTATTAAAACAAAAAATATAATATAACGTTAAATGTTTGCTTTAAAAATTATTTTAAAAAATTCTTAAAAAATATGGAAGTTTTACAATTTTATTAGACTTTACGAAAAAAAATCTTCCGAGATTTGTCATGAACTCGATAAGAAATGTTTCTCAATAAAAATTCTACAGGTAATTAATTGTATAACAAAAGTCTTAAACAATACTACGAGCAGCATAAGCGAAGAAAATATTTTCATGACGGTTAGGTACTTGATCATCTCTACAAAAAATACCATCCCTAACCGTTCGCCAGTCACGTGAAAATAAGAATTCATTAAAACAGCAGTATCTATCTTTCCTACCTTTTAAGTATTTCACCAAATTTTTTTAAAGACTACATTTACATATACCGAGCTTACATTCCAAAGAAATCTAATCTAAAATCGATGTCCATTTTTGCAATTAAAAGACTAACGGAAATCGTATTCATTCAAAGCATCAACAGTATGCCGAATTGAGCCTCAACCTGTATAATAGTAAACTATAAATCTTCACGACTGAGACGATCAAATGAAGAATTTGAAACTCAACTCTACTGCAGTATATGCAGTATCTACATCACTAAATGACTGTCTCTCCTCTTACTAAAATAAAAACGATGGCAAAACTTCACCTTGTGCAATTACATTAATGAGCTTATGGCTTCTTTTAAATGCAAAAGATGCTCAATTGATAAATCAATCTGTCATATTTAGATATTACTATTACTCCTGGCCTCACTATTATATTAAAACTAAAAGGGCTTGTTAATTACTTCTAAGATACAATCTGATTTGAGAATATCAAGAGCCAGTAAAAACGTCGCGATTAGAGTAATCACCTTCGTAAGAGTTTATATAAAATCATATTATATCAACTTCCAAAATACTTTTATTCAGAAAATTTTTATAAATCTATCCACCATAACTAGTTTAATTGTTACAGTCATTATTTTGTTAATGAGACTCTCCATAAATCATTGAGTACATTATTTTTTATTTAATTATAAGAATAAGAGTTTATAATTTTCAAGTAAAATGATTTCGTGTTTTCATTATTAGCTTTATACAAAATTTTGCTAAAACGTTATACCTGTTCATAGATATACATATATATATATATCCATGCGCATTTACAAACAGTCACACGGATACACAGATAATTATAAATAAAAATATTATTAATATACCAATTATCAGTATATTATTGTTAAACTTTTTAATTTTGATTGTTAATTATATTGATTATATTTATTAATTATATAAAACAGACTGAAAGCCCAATAGAACGTTTTAGTTATATCAGTAGTTGACTAATTTAAATAATTAATAGATCATTATGATTATAATTTTAAATTAAAAATGATAAATCTATGCTATTAAGACGCTTTTTATGTAGCGGATGACTTTCAATTGTTAAATTTAAGAATTTGTTTAAATATATCTTTATTTATCCATACTTTTTATCGGCGATTTGAAATAATTTATATTTTATAATAACTATAAAATTTATATTTAGAAAAAATGTTTGAATAAAATTATGATAAATTTATTAACTTAGAATAACTTATTTAATTTCATATTAATAGTAAAGGAAATGGATTCATTTTCAAATCACTCGACATTTAATATTTAACAATATTTCGGTATTAATTTGATTTATACAATATAGAATTTAAAAATAAAAAGACATTTATTATTACAAAATTTCTTTTCATTTGAGTCAAGCACTTAAAATTTTTCATTGAATATTTCTCAAAGAAGTTACTATTTTGTCAACAAATTATTAGTTAAAAAAATTATACATAATGATCGCAAAATATCTACGCACATAATCTCATTGAAATGGATTAACATTTTTAGAAATTCTATTAAATTCTATTAAATTCTATTAAATAAAGCAAAACATTTTGGAAATTATTAATGCATAAACATTGCAATTAAATCATTGTGCTTCTACAGAGTACCAATATATAGTATTGGAATTTAAAGAAACAAATACATTTTTATATAACACACCGCTTATCATAAATGTAATATTTTTATTTATTATTTAATTTATTTACCAATGTCAATGATTCTGTAACAATTAGTATTTATAACTTATAACTTTATAAGAAAGATGATTAATCATAAAAATTAAATTTTTATACGAAAACGATTCTTTAGATATTCTTTTAATTAATATATTCCTTTAATTAATTGGGTTAAAAAATTAATTATTAAAATATAAAATTGCTTATTAATATGAATCAAACATTTTGTAAAGTAAATGTAAACTGACTATTTTCTATAAGACATAATATATTTTAAGCAAAAAGCTAATTAATATGAAACGTTATTTTTCTATTTGACAACTTTTAAAAATTTTTAACACTAATTTTACTCAAGTAAAAAATATTGTATATTATTAAAAGATTCTAAAAATAAAAATAAATCACAAATTAAACAATTATGTAAGTTTTCTAATATAATCTAATTTATTTTTTATTTAAACAATTTTAAACAAAAATGTATAGTAAAATCAAGATTATGTATTAATCTATTTTATGTTATTTCCATGGACAACCTAAAGAATTCGTTAATAATCAATGAAATAAAAAAACAATTTAATTACAAAGATGACAAAAACTTTTAGCAACTAAAAGTTAATGTTTTATTTATAATATTAATTATGAATTACTGCATAAACCCAACTTAATAAAAAAGAATTAAATTTATTTGCCAATAAACAGATATTATAGCCATTATCGATAATATAATTTTAAATGCAGGTCAATAGACAATTCAATGACTAAATTATTCTTCAAGTTAAAACAATAAAAAATTACTCACCATTATAGCTAAGATGTGGCTTAGTTAAACATATAACAAGGTGACATTCTATGTCATCTGGTAGAAGTAACTTGGAACATACCGGACACTTTAAGCCTTCAACAAAAGGAAAAAAGTTATTTCAATCATTGACAATAATACAGATTTAAATAGTATTATGAGTATCGCTAATAAAATTTTACCATAAAAAATTCGCCTCGCTGCATGCGTAGGTACTACTTCAGATTGAGAGTCATGCAAGCATGAGCTTACTATTACTCCCATAATAAAGTTGACTAAATCTAGCACGATCCATCAGGATATTCAATCGAAAAATTCTTTTACTATTCGCTATAGACTTTACAAGCAATACTTGTTGTACACAATGCAAACTAATTAAATATTAGAACTTGCAAGACCAATGTATGTATAACTATCACTATGACCAATTAGTCATCGATTGCACGCGGTTGCCGGTTACCAAGCCAACTACCTCAGTAACGCATGTCAAAACAAACGCTCTACGTAGTTCTTATTCGACCCGTAACTTTCTCTTCCTTCAGCAATGCTGTTTAAATCGGTCGATCATACATGCTGATTCTTTCAAACACTTGGACTTTCGCGGGTATAACCTCAACCTTGCTCTTTAAGCTTGGTTGGTACAGGTTAGATTCAACCACGAAAGTTGTATTGTAACCTCCTGATCATATAATGTACATGCGAATAGTTAAAAAAAAATTTCTGCCTTTGTTATTTTTTTGAAACTGGTTCCCGCGATTGATTTCACGCTTCCGAACAACTTCTATAAAATTCTTTTTATAAACGAATGTTTTAACACCACAAGTATTTTCATAAAAACAAAAAAAAAAAAAAAAAAAAAAAAAAAATTATAAATAAATTAATAAAAAATGAAAAAAAAAAAATATTAAGAATGGCTTTAAGCAAGCATATTGTTTTATTTTCTATTTTCTTTAAAAATTAACTTTTCTTTAAAATAATTGTAATAAATCATTTTATCTTAACACTTACCATTTAAAGACCAAATGTGAGAAGGCAAGCTATGTGCAGCATAAACTCTACTGCTTTCTTCATCTAGATCATCTGTATCTAACTGAGGTAATCCTAGAACTTGACCAACACCTACCCCTACTGCGGAAGCAAGAGCACCTTGATCCGCTGAAATATCAGGTACAGAACTCAAGGATCTTGCTCTCTGTCTATTATCTCCTGCCACTCTGGAAGACTGTGATTGATTAGCCTGTTGGTGTTGATGTTGGAGCATGCTGACGCCACCTGGTAGTGAACGTAGCGTTGGGAAACCTTGCATTGCAGTCTCATTTGCTCCTGTAGAAGACTGGTTATTGCCACTGGCATTCTGTGTAATGGTGCTGGTCTTTGCACCCATTCCTTCTTCCGAGCTCAAATTCTATTCTAAGCTCTATTAAATGAAACGAAAAGCTTGTAATAACTTCATAATTTACTTTTAAAATTATCTATCAAATTATGCTACTGCATACTTTTTAGAATCTTTATAGAAGTCTTTCATGCTTGCGTTTAAAAATAGATCAACTCATTTGGAGTTTAGCATTTTTAGAAAGTGGAAAAAGATAATTTCTTGTAAATCAAGTTGTAAAACAACAATAATTTAAAGGAGCGAAGACTAAAAGAATATTTTATATATAATATGCTTTAACATTATAAAATGTTTCAATAATTAATCACTTCAGATTACAAAAAGTATGCAAGGTTCCTCTAACCTTTTCAAAGATGACGATCTTAGTCAATATTTATTTTCTTGGCGAAGTCTGGCGCGCTGTAAATGCACTGCTAATGAGGACAATGACGTCAAAAACGGAGAGAAGAGACAACTGAAAATAGCCGCTACCTCTTGGAGCGAATCTCGCGTAAAAGACTGGCAATCAAAATGTGCTATACGCACTTCGCTTCAGTCTATATTCTCTCTCTCTCTCTCTCTCTCTCTCTCACTATTCATTCGCTCGTTCAATCACTCGTTCACTCAATCACTCACTGACTTACTCACTCACTCACTCACTCACTCGCTCACTTACTCAGCCACTCACTCGCTCGCTCGCTCACTCACTCACTCACTCACCCACTCACTCACTCACTCACTCACTCCCTCACTCACTCACTCACTCACTCACTCCCTCACTCACTCACTCACTCACTCACTCCCTCACTCACTCACTCACTCACTCACTCCCTCACTCACTCACTCACTCACTCACTCCCTCACTCACTCACTCACTCACTCACTCCCTCACTCACTCACTCACTCACTCACTCCCTCACTCACTCACTCACTCACTCACTCCCTCACTCACTCACTCACTCACTCACTCCCTCACTCACTCACTCACTCACTCACTCCCTCACTCACTCACTCACTCACTCACTCCCTCACTCACTCACTCACTCACTCACTCCCTCACTCACTCACTCACTCACTCACTCCCTCACTCACTCACTCACTCACTCACTCCCTCACTCACTCACTCACTCACTCACTCCCTCACTCACTCACTCACTCACTCACTCCCTCACTCACTCACTCACTCACTCACTCCCTCACTCACTCACTCACTCACTCACTCCCTCACTCACTCACTCACTCACTCACTCCCTCACTCACTCACTCACTCACTCACTCCCTCACTCACTCACTCACTCACTCACTCCCTCACTCACTCACTCACTCACTCACTCCCTCACTCACTCACTCACTCACTCACTCCCTCACTCACTCACTCACTCACTCACTCCCTCACTCACTCACTCACTCACTCACTCCCTCACTCACTCACTCACTCACTCACTCCCTCACTCACTCACTCACTCACTCACTCCCTCACTCACTCACTCACTCACTCACTCCCTCACTCACTCACTCACTCACTCACTCACTCACTCACTCACTCACTCACTCCGTTTTAGTAGCTCCAAAAAGCATAAGAATGACTTGTATCCGTACAACCGCAAAGACCTTTCGTCTTTCTCCAATGCGTTTCGTTGTTACACACACACACGCATGCCCACATCAAATTTCCTTGATCCCTTCTTTCGTCGGCTGTTTCGCTATGCTAGGGTTGTGCGTAAAATTTTATATCCTCCTACACTGATAATGACTCTCCTTGTCTAATTTTCATACTCGTATCGATGTGCGTTTTTGACTTTGCCTTGCAAACATCAATAAAAGAGCACATAGTACAAACTACAAAAGCACAGCAGTGCAGAAGCGATAAGAAAAAAATTCTACGAAAGCACCTTACAGTTTTTCACCACAAGCACTTGAACTTCAGTGAAATGATGCGACAGCAACGATGACTATTTTTCGGTGTAAAGAGATTTCGGCTGTCCAGTCCGAAGTAGAGAAGGCAGTTGAGATTTATACTTCAGCTGGTGACACAAATGTATAGCATTAGGCCTCGATGAGAATGCCGCAAGGGCTTGATGAGAGAAGAAAGGGAAATTCATCGCACGGTGAAGTGCGTAGTATCGTCCACACATTCCGCAAAACATCTCCCGACATCTTGGCGATCTGCACGCGATAAGTCGTCCAAGTGTGCACGATACACCACCAACCATGTATTACTGTGTTTGTGCTTGAATATACGTGTGCTCGTCTGTATGAACTTTTCATGCCATAACCAATTCTCTTGTGTGTTAGTACGTGTAAGAAAAAGAAAAATAGAATGGCTAAAGATGCGTTTGGTATGGTGGGAGGGGGGAGAGAGTGAGAGAGAGAGAGAGAGAGAGAGAGAGAGAGAGAGAGAGAGAGAGAGAAACAGACGGATAGGCGCAAGTATGTTTTGTTTAGTTGCTTCGTTAATATGTATACATAATTCTTTCGGATGCGTCAGATTTTTCCCTTGACTTTTTTTTGTTTCTTGTATATATTCGCTATTTTCTCGTGTTCTGTTTTCTTAAATTTCACTTTGAAAATAAGCATATGACAAACAATAAATCTTTATTTTACATCAAATCGTAATGAGAAAAAGTAAAAATCAAAACTGTTACCTTTAAATTTAACTCAAAAAGCTGTTAACAGGGGGCGCGATGTTTTTCTTTAAATCTAAATCCCTACACCCACATGTGCGATTATCATCATTTTCGCATCAATTACAAATATATTAAAAATACCTATTTTTTTTCCACTTCCAATGAAAATTACTCTAATTAAATGCACGAATATATTTGTAATAAAAAATTAGTTTCATTCAGCAAATGCATATTAAAATCTATATAAGAATGGCAATAATATAACTAATAGTATAACAGGAATGAGAATTTTTGTTTTTAAAATTATTTTGTTCGAATAAATTCTGAATTAAACTTATGCCATACAAATAACCGTTCAAATTTCATAATTTAATGATCAAAGTTTACTAATCATTAACAATTGACTTCTTTTGAATTATTTGAACGATTGTTTTTTCTAATGAATTTCTAAAATCTTATGATTGAATTTAATATAGAAAAATATAAAAATATTACATGTATATAAAAGCAAAAAAAAAAAAAAAAAACAGTGTAAATATATATATAATAAAATTCGGCGAATTTATTTATTGTAATTTTTTAATCAGTTAAATGAAATTTATAAGTAAACTAATCAACTACAAACTTTTATATTACATTCGCGCTTTAATCTTTAATACAAGTTTAATTTATATCATTAGGAAGTAACGATAAATTCATTTTTCAACAATAAATTATTAAAAACAAATTTAATCATAGGTATGAATTTAACATGATTTTTTTATTTAATAATCAATTATAATGAAATTACGTAATTGCTTATTTGTAATTAGAAATCTTATATTATTTTATATTTATTAACTTGGCACCTTCGTTATAATTTTTTATAAGTAACAATAGCACCGTTCATCTAATTTTTAGAAACTTTTGGATTTACAGAGCCTTTACAAATTACTTAACTCTTTGATAATGTACAAGCATGGCCATCGATAACGTAGGCGTCGGAGAACAAGATAAATGGTTGAGCAGGATTGTAACACTCGGAACAAATTATAGGAACTAGCATTTTAACTTCAATGAAGAAAATATGCCATTTCCAGTAGTAAATTGGCTACGGGGAATAAGATAGGTAATGAGAACTTACGTCTAGATTACGATAAAATTACTAGACCTAACTAAACAACTAGAAAACCTGAATGTAATACAGTGTAAATACAATAACTAAAAAGACAATAATAATGATTTTTTTTTTTTTTTTTAATTTTATAGACAAACGAATAACCCATAAAACTACTGTAAAATAAAACGGAATGGAAAAATTCATGTTAAATTGTACGAAGATTATGATAATTCAAAGAAAACTTCATTGACTATGAAGAACGAAAAATAATGTTTTTTTTATTTCATTTTAATAATTCAATTTTTTAAATCTCAATCGTTTACCATGTAATCTCATATTGTAATTCTATCAGCAATGCAAGATTAATTATATTTTGAATTTATTATATGTCAGTTTACAAACCATTTATTATTTGCCAATCATTTCCGTTTTTACGTACAATGCCATCAAACGGCTTAAAATACCTACATTTCAATATTTTAATATAACATTATCGTAATTATTAAATTGAACGAGCTAAATGATAATAACAATTCATAATCTCTTTAAACATAAGGTTAAAAATTTAATTTAAAAACTTAGAATAATTTGATGAAATTAATTGATGATAAATAAATTTAATATTGTAATATATTATTAATGTCTTCATATTTTTATTTGTAATTTAAAAATCCAATAGAAAATAATTGAATTATTTCAATTATAATCATTAAAATAAATATAAAATAAAATTACATAAAATATGTATCTTTCAACAATTTACTTTTTCCTTAAATAGCATATTTTATATAAAATTGTATCATATTTAACAAATCAGTTAATTTATTATATCATGAAATCTCAATTATTCTATTATATTTTTGAAATATTTAAATTACACATTTTCACGTTTTAATTGCAATAAGTTCAAAATTGCTCTCAATTTAAGTAACTTTTTGTATTATGTGCACTGTAAATAATAAAATTAGATTTAATAAAAAATAGAAAAATCAATTGTAAAATCTATTGACAAAAAAATCACTTAAAATTGGAAGATTAGTAAATAATAAAATTTACTCCAATTATTTAGATTAAATAAGAAAATTGGGCGATATGAACTAATATCTTAAACTTTTTATTATGAAGGAATAAGGACACAATTGATAGTTATTTGTACAAAATACAAGTTTCAGATTAATAATTACTATAAATGAAATATTAAATACAGAGAATTATATCATTTATAAATAAAAATTCAAAAAACTTTGTTTAAGTTATATTATTGTGTAATAAATGTAAAATACTATAAAAATTTATAAATCAGAACAATTTATCAAATTCATTTATTTCAACTTTTATAATTCAAAACATTTGAGTAACGTATCGCACTTGCAACAAAGCTTTTATAAATTCAATCGTGCCATATAAAAAAAGAATTATAATATCTAAAAGAACTTAGTCAATATTTACCTTAAAATCACGTGATAATGAACATTATCATTTATTTTGTAAAATGATTAATTATTTTATATAACATATATCTTAATCATTATAAAATGTTGATGTATAATCTATAGAATATAAATAAATACTCAATAAATAATTATATTTAATATGTATTTGCTTTTTCTTTTTTTTTTTTTTTGTTAACAAGTCAATATTTGGAAGTGAAACTAATAAATGGAAAAATTGAATTTAAAACAATTGGAAATCATATTTTAAGTAATTTTTTTTTCTCAGTGCTAACGGATTAGTCATTATTATTAATTAAATAAGATTATTTTTAATTTAATTTAACTATCATTTAATTTTAAAATTAATCAATTATTATTCATAAAAAATTAAAAAATTGATAATTTCTTTTGAATGAATTTTTTATTGGATCGGTTATTGTGTTTAAAATTAAATTAATTGTTTTTCCATTTTTACCAACAAATAAGTTTATTTTTTCTACTAAACTCATTCGGATATTATAATTCGATATATGTATAAAATTTTTATTTTTGTAAAAATTTCTGTAGATTAATTCGTTAATTATTAGTTTCTGTCATATTAATTGATCTAATTGTGTTTACATACATAATATTTAAATGAGTAATGAATTTAACGATTTTATTTTAAATATATAATAAATTATATAATCTGCTATTATCAGAATTTAATTTTGACAAGAGTCTTTAAAATCGTGCCAGTGTATCAAGTTTTACGAAGTCAAGGAATACGTAATACATTAATTTAGGTATCGATCGATCGATATTTTTTAATAACTATTATTATCCTAATGCTTTTACAAAAACTTTTTGATAATCATTGTTACTTTAATACTTACTATTTATTATATATTGCTAATTTACGATTGTACGTCGAAAGTAAATAAATATTATTAATATCAGAGCTTAAGATTTACAAAGTTTATGCCAAGAAATAGACAAATCAATGCAACGATCGGTGAGTCGAAATGAAATTTCATAAAAATTTTCACTATAAATTTGATTATTTTCTATTTTGTTTTTTATAAGTAAAAAGGTAAGAAAGCGATATAACCCTATTAAATATTTAATTACCCATTTAAAATTTGAAAAACGTCCTTTTAGTTCCAATAATTTTAATCACATTAATTGCAAATAACGATATACTAATACAATCTTTATTATCTATATATTGTAAAAGACATTACAATTTACGCATTGCATATAAATAATAATCATCATCATACGTACAATACTGTCTTTTGTCATTGTCATGAAATGTATACACAATTTTTTAACATTGATTTTTAGCTCACGACTATGACATCAATTATTTAACGACACCATTATTAAAGCAGTCTTAACGATTTTATAAAATGAATATAATGATAAGATATTTAATGAATAAAAATCTTGCAAGTTATAAATTTTCATCTCCAATTATTTCAAATAAACCAAGTTTCATAATTTATCATTGAAATGTATCTATTTACTTTGTTTGACGGGTATTTATTATGAAAAATACGTGTTATTTATAATATATAATATATGTATAAGAATTGTGATAAGATTTGTCTAAAACATTGATTTATGAGTAAATACGGCCGACAAAACCTACAAATAGAAAGATAATATTTTATCAATTACTTGACTTCGATTCTATTCATCTGCCATTCTTATTTATTATATTTATTCCAATGAAAATTAAGGTAAAAATCGTTAAATTATAATTGAAGAAAGAAAGAAAAAAAAAAAAAAAAAAATTCAACATTATAAGCTTTAATACGATATATTAATAAATGAAATGTTTAAATTTTTAAATATAAATTCCTATTGAATGTTATAAATTTCGCACGAGTAATATAAATAAAGCAGCAGTCGTTCCTAATTAATCGAGAGGACCTGTTTCACTTAAATATCATAAAAATTCTGAACACGTTGTTAATCGTGCATAATTTATTCGTATTTTATTTTTTACAAATGACAGTTATTGATAAAATTTATTGCAAAATAAAATAATTATAAACGATTCTTTAAGAAATATGTTTTTATGGTAGGGAATAATCACATGAAATTATAACGGGAATATTATATTTTTTTTTTTCTTTTTTTCTTTTTTTCTTTTTTTCTTTTTTCTTTTTATTTATTTAACTATTTAATATACATTTTTGACAGTGCGACTGTTTTATTATGAATATCTTTTATTTCTTACTTTACGTTTTTATACTCGATGTCTAGTTCTTACTCGCAGGCTTAGAAGCTGTAATCGGTGATGAACCCATCATCACGTCATTTCCAGTTAAAATACAGCGATTGATTAAAGTGACAAGCGAAGGGAATCGTTGTCTTTATAGAAATAGAAATTGTCACGCTTTCTGGAAGGAATAGGAGAATTAATTTTTTTTTTTTTTTTTTTTTTTAAATACGAAGCATTTTTAGTTCTTCGGAATATCTCGTTCAATATGGACCTACGTTCATGCATTTAAAAATAGAATGTGCGTACGAATGAAGAATCGTTGAATAATTGATTATACGAAATGGAAAAATACAATATTAATAATTTTTTAAAATAATAATAATTCTTTTTGTAAGATTTTGTGTTGACACGTTGCATCAAAAATTGAATATAAAAATGCATAAGTTCGTTAATACAGCGTAGCAATGGAATATATAAGATTAACTTGAAATAATTATTTTTAACGTGAAAAAAAAAAAGAAAAAAAGAACAATAATAATATGTATAATTTAGGACTATCGTTCTAACATTTGACGAGTAATTTTATAAATAAATTATAATAATTCAATTACATAATTAATTATTAATCAAAATATAAAATCAAAATTATTATTATATTAATAATAATAATAATAATATACGCGTGATATACGCGAATATGCAATACAGCAAGTAGCGAATGCAATTGGAAAATTAAAGCTCCTCAAATGAAATTGCTTTTATTTTATCAGTTACTACTTCCAATTACTTATTCGATAAATTTAAACTACTTCGCAGGTGCCGCATGCTTGTGCGCATCTCTAATTGCCATACCTAACATACATTATAATAATGGCTACTGCGGGAGACGCCGCAACGCCGCCGCACAGGGCGCAGCCCTATTGCCTGAACCGTACGTTCTCGCGACATGTTACCGTGGGTGAGTTCTGAGCTCAAAGATTTTAACCGAGTTTCACGTTAACACTTCCTCCTCGACAAATAACATTTATTATTTATTAGAAGAGAAAGAGAGAGAGAGTGAGTGAGTGAGTGAGTGAGTGAGTGAGTGAGTGAGTGAGTAAGTGAGTGAAAACGAGATAGAAATAGTAAGAGAAATAAATAAATATATATATATATATATATATATATATATATATATATATATATATTTTTTTTTTTTTTTTTTTTTTTTTTTTTTTTAATATATGTATGCATATGTGCGTGCATATATATCTATATGTGTATATATGCATATGAATATTCATGAGATATTATCATTAGTTATAAATATGATAATCGTGTAAGCAAATGCATTCGTCTTGCTTTATTTTGATTTGTTTCAATGCAAGAAGACACGAGAATTTTATAATTTCTAATCAGCGATTGGAAGCTGCAAACTGATAATTAAAGTACATTCGAATAATAAATTTAGATGGCGGATAAAGGGCTAATGAAAGTGAGTTTTTTTTAAACCTTCGACTATATTTAATTAATTGATATGAGGCAATTTGTAAAATTTAACCTAAAATGAATATGTTCTAGCAAATTGCTGAGCAAAAGCTCAAAGCATTCTCTATTGGCACAATGGGTAAAAGATCAATGAGCAAAAAAGAAATTGAGGAACAACGAAAGAAAGAGCAGGAACAAGCTGCAGCTCAGGCCTTCGAAGAGTTCGTCGCAACTTTTCAAGAATCTTCTAATAAAAATGCGAATAAAGTCTGGGTTAAGGCTGGTACTTATGATGCAGGCAAAAGACGTAAATTAACATACATATTTATATGTGTTCATTTAAATATTTATCCATTGTTTTCTTTGTTATGGTATAACGATTCGTGTATATTTATAGAGGAAGATACAAGCGAAAAAGGTAAACTTTATAAACCTCAGCCAAAAATGTCTGATCTTATCGAGAATCGATCTTCGCAAGAGCAGGCTCAAGAATTTGCTAGAATTCTTAGCTCAAACGAGCGTAAAATGGATAGACTTGGTAAAAAGAAGAAAGAAGGCGAAAAGAAAAAAAGTAATCTGGAATTATTTAAGGAAGAATTAAAGATGATTCAAGAAGAAAGAGAAGAGCGGCATAAATATAAAGGAGCGGTTAAATCTATTTCAACATCGCAGAGTGAAGATCCGATGATAGCTGCTCTGAAATCAGTCGAAGGTAAATAAGCGTGAAAAGTATATTACTTATTGTTTCGTTATAATATTCTTATTAATTTACTGAAAATTTTCGTATTTTTCTATACATGCTTCCATCAAAAATTTCTATGTACTTAAAAAGTTTGGTTTATATCTCTCGCAATATTACAATATTACAATGATTATTATTTTATGTATTTTAGATGGGTCGTTTGATAATGGAGATCCAAATACCACAAATTTGTATTTAGGGAATTTGAATCCTAAAGTAATCACTCAATCAATCGCTTAATCGTATATATATTTTTTTGTTTGAATTTGTTTAAAGAATAACGGCCTCGTTTTTAGATAACCGAACAACAACTGATGGAAATATTTGGAAAATTTGGTCCATTAGCTAGCATTAAAATAATGTGGCCCAGAAGCGATGAAGAGAAAGCCCGACAAAGAAACTGTGGATTTGTTGCATTCATGAGTCGGAAAGATGGTGAAAGAGCCTTGAAAAGTCTCAATGGTATAAGAACGATAAAAAGCCTTGCTATAATAGAATATATTAAAATTTAATTCGCTACTTTTGTGTTTACGTAGGTCGAGATATTATGCAGTATGAAATGAAACTCGGATGGGGTAAAAGCGTTCCTATACCACCCTATCCAATATACATTCCACCTGCGCTAATGGAAATCACACAACCGCCACCACCGTCTGGATTGCCCTTTAATGCACAGCCTCATCGGCGTGACAGACATAAGGTATACCTTTCGAACCACATAAGGAACAATAAGAATATTATAATCGATAAATTGACAAATCATCTTATAATATTTTAATTTTGTAATTTAATTTAATTTAATAATCTAATTGACCTGTGTGCACAATTTTGTCTAAATTCTAACGAAATTTCATTCCTCAATTTGTTATAATTTGTTTTATTTATTATTTTTATATATTTATTTTATTTACAATTTATTTTAATTTATAAACATTCTCTGACCAAATTTCATCATGTACGCATGAATATGAATATGAAAATTTATTTATGAACAATATTATAGAATTATTTTATAACGAACTGCATAACCATGTTTTTGAAACGTAATCTCAGATACCACGTATCCGCAACCTCCAGAACGCGGACATCCAGGAGAAGGAAAACTTTGAAAAGGTAAAATTATTCTTTTCCTTTAGCAAATACACAATTTTCAATCGGCTGACACCGACCTGCAATTGCGGTGTCTTTCGCGCAAGTATAGCGAGATGACGAACAACAGGTTTCTTGAAGTCGAGAATACATTCCAGTATGAGATTTCACTTACTTTATAAAACTATAGTTATTACAAATAAAAGACTGAACTGTAAGGACTTGATAAAGACAGTATTTTCTATATTTTATATCTTTATGTTCGGGGAGACTGACGTGTTCTTTTGCGAACATAAAATTCGAACACTATTTATTAAGGAGAAAAAAGTCAAGAAAACTAATTAGGGGAAAGAATGTTTTGACAGTATTGAAAACATAAAACTAAGACTTTTTCATAAATCTCATGTGCTGTAAATGTAATTTTGTTTTTCAAACAAAAAAATAAACAATAAAACTTGTTCAAATGGTAACTTTAATGGAAGTTTAAAAATTGTGTTGTGTTGACTTGTCGGCGTCCTTTCTCGGTGGCGCATTTTGGCGTTTGGGCTGGATTCATCTTCTATCTGTCACTCTAACGCACTGTGAACTGGACCCTCACAGATTTTGCAGAATGCCGTTGTCAAAGTGGTTATTCCAACAGAAAGGTATTTGATTTTAGATTATCACTGTGATACTTTGTAAGTATACCTAATTACCCTACAAATGAATCCACCTAGTTAATTGAGAATTAATTGGCCTTTGAATCTATCATCCTTTTTCCTATATTTCTTCTTCTCACCTTTACAAGTCCAAGTGCAAACATTTCATATATACTTGCGCGTTATAGGAACTTGGTCATGTTAATACATAGAATGGTAGAATTTGTTGTTCGAGAAGGACCGATGTTTGAAGCAATGATTATGAATAGAGAACTAAATAATCCTATGTTTAGGTAAAACAATGCTTTCATTCATTTAAAAAATTAATTATTTAAAATTTTGAAATATTATTAATCCCGTTTATATTTCAGATTTTTATTTGAAAATTATTCTCCAGCACATACATATTATCGATGGAAATTATACTCTATATTACAAGGAGATGCTCAAAAAGAATGGCGAATGGAAGATTTAAGAATGTTTAAAGGTGGCAGTATTTGGAGACCACCGCCAATAAATCCTTGGACTCAAGGAATGCCTGAAGAATTAATAGATGTTCAAGACAAACAAGAGCCTCGTAGAGGAAGCCTTTCTAACAGGTACTTTAACACATATTATGCACAGCGTATAATATATTAATTAACTTTTGTATAATTAAGTTAATATTTCTTATTTCCTTTAGTCAACGAGATCGATTAGAGAATCTACTAAGAAACATAACTCCAGAGCGAATAAAAGTTGCAGAAGCTATGATATTTTGTATCGAGCATGCTGAAGCAGCTGAAGAAATTTGTGATTGTATAGCAGAATCATTATCAATTTTACAAACTCCTGCAAATAAAAAAATTGCTAGGTTATATTTAATATCTGATATTTTGCACAATTGTGGTGTTAAAGTAACAAATGCTACTATTTATCGGAAAGCGTAAGCATAATTTATTTAAACTTTTGAATTTAAAATTACAATAAAATTTATAAATTTATAATTTTCTATAAACGTTATTAAAATTTAATTATTTTTAGATTTGAAGCACGATTATTAGATATTTTTAATGAAGTTCAGCAAGCTTATAAACAGTTTGACAGTAGACTGAAAGCCGAGGGATTCAAAGTACGAGTGATGAGAATGTTTAGAGCATGGGAAGATTGGGCTGTGTATCCACGAGATTTTCTAGTTAAACTTCAAAATACTTTCTTAGGCTTAAATCAGGTAACAATGAAAATTAATTAAAAAATTTTATAATGAACTTTATAAACCTTGATCCATTGAAAATGATTGGTAATTTAAGTTGCATGATTTTGAAACCATATTATTCAAATTAATTCATTCAAATAAATTGTCCAAACAAATATGAAATATCTAATTGTATTATATATATATATATATATATATATATATATATATATAGTTGTACATATAATGAAACTATGTGTATTATAGACTGACGAAGTTGAACAAGATAACGAAGAAGATATAGACGGTGCACCTTTATCAGATGTTGACGGTGATATTGTAGAAGATTTAGATGGTGTTCCACTTGATGGTGCTGCTTTATTAAAGGGAGCAATGAAACACGGTCTTACACCACAAACCACTTCCAATTATGATGATATCGATGGAATTCCAAGTAAATAAAAACAAAATTTACCATAGACTAACAAATAAAAAATTTAATGTTGTATTAAAATATTTTAAAATTATAGTGGATGACGATATCGATGGAGTTCCAATGGAAGATGAAGATAGTATGGGTTCAAAGGGAAAGGATGATAAAAAGCTTACTATACCAGCAGGTTTTGTACCATCAAGGTGGGAGACTGTAGATCCTGATCAAGTCGAAGCTCAGGCAATGACTACGAGTAAATGGGAGGAACTTGGGCAAAATGATGACTCAAATTCACAAGATGCCAGTATGGACTCCAGGTATGCAGTATTATTTTAATTCTTAAAATAACTCAATAGATTTGAGAAAAATTGATTTTTATTCAAAAGGGATTATAATGAAGAACGGCGAAATAGATTACGGGAAATTGAAGTAAAAACTATGCAATATCAAGATGAATTAGAAAATGGCAGAAGAACATTAAAACCAGGAATGTCGATACAAACTCAAGTAGAACATTATCGTAAAAAGCTAATTAAAAAAGTAAAATTATTTAATGAAAATCACAACAGATATTTTATAAAATGTACTTTTATCATTATCAATGAATATATAATTTTTTCAGAGTGAAAGAGATGTAAAAGATAATAAAAGTGAAGACAGAGATGAAGATAGGCGAAGAGAGAAAAAACGAAGTCTTTCTCCAGATTCACCAACTTATTACAGAGATAGAAGACGTAATTCACAAAGTCCGCCCGTCAAAGGAAGCAGTCGATATAGGTAAATATTATAGTTTTTATATCAAAATATAAAAACATAAAATATTATAATATAAAATTAATGTGAATTTTATAAACATTTTTAATGATATATTTACAAAATACTTGCATTAAAATTAAAATGAAATAATTCGAAATTATAAGATTAGCGATTAATGCCTATAATAAAACTCCTGGAGACCATTGACTGTATTTGTTGTTCACATAGATCGCGCAGCAGATCTCCTCGTAATAAGCGAAAGTCGCGGTCACCGCACAAAAAACGAGCGCCGTATACGCCCTCACCACCACGAATTCGACGTTCACCTTCACCTGCCTTTTCATCAAGATCCTCATCCCGTAGATCACCTGGTGTTGAACGGAAGAGACGAGCCCGCTCACCTTCGAGCTCGCCTACACCTCTTTCCAGATCCTCCGTTAAACACAGGGCGGCTAGTCCAATGTCGCCTACACCACGAAAACATCGCCACAAACATAAATACTAAATAAATTTTGCTTTATTTTCTCACAATTTACTTAAAATTGTATGATAATCCAACATTAACAAAGATGTATAATTGCAATCAAATTCTGCTAAGTCATTTGAAGCACTTCGTCAATGTTGAATTGTTTTATTTCTTTATACTTTATAATATTTTTTTTTATGAAAATCTAATTTTATAAGTGAAAATGATTGTATAATTACCTACCAAAATGTAGCTCAAACCAAGTTTATAAAATGATTTTTTTACCGAACTACGTTATCTTGTTTCGCCACTATTTTATACGCTGCATAATTACTGTTGAAATCGAATTTTATTCACCACGTAAAAATGTACATAAACCTCAATTTGTAACCATCGATTCATTCACGTTTTTAGTAATTTAGTTTCGGGATAAATATTCATAAATAGAAAATTACTTTCAGACGTGTGTCAAAGTATTGTAAAATTCAATTAGGTTATATAAAAACCGAATAAATTTTGTTGATAACAACGTATATTTGTTTTTTATTTAATAACTAATATCCTTTTATTACAACCAAATAAGTTTTATGCCTTACACATATAAAATTTTTGATCAATACTTTAATTAACAAAATGCAATAAATATATTGCTTGTTTAAAATGTTTAAATAATGATTACCAACGGTCGTTCTACTTTCAATACTAAATAATTTTTCTGTATACTTAATCGAAAATACATTTATTCTATTTAGGCGTTTGCTTTATACATATAGTGCCATATCAGGTTTGTCGAAGCTTTTATCAAGCAATTTTATTGACATTAATATTTTGTTATGCCGTTTATTAAATTTAAATTAAATATGAATTAAATAGATATAAAGCGGTAAATCAATAGAATTAATTTGTCTTTATAAACTGATAATCAATCGGTAATTAGTCCAGTAATTGATAAATAAAAAATATTGTTCCTTATTTACAATTAGTTAAATTTAATAGTAATAATCATTATTATACAGACATATCCATATATAGACGCACATTTACATCATATACATACTTTATATTTTATATTATATGTTTAAAGGTATGATGATCCGCCGCAAAAATATAATTTTTACAAAAAATTTTGAACAACTATTTTTAATACTTAGTCTACCATGAAATAATATATATCGTTTACATTATGTTTACATTAATTTTTTATTGCAGATATCTACTTTAACATCAACATTAATTCATTTCTATTATTATTTAACAAAGTAAATTAATATTTTAAAATTATCTTTCGATTTCAATTTTGCTCACAAAAGACTATTTCTTTTTAAATTTTGAATTAAAATTCTATATATACATTTATATATTCACATGTAACAATATAATTGCTTTGTTTAAACATGATTATAAAGTATATATTTAATAATCATATATTTAATATGCTTATTTTATTTTGCATAAATAATTACAGATTTTTCATACATTATTTCGTATATTATTTCCTAAATTATTTGTAATATTTATATTTTAAATACATCAATATAAGAATTGAATGTTTTAAAAGCATATGTTATCGTGACGTATTATTTACGTTTCTTTCCAAATAACTCATCTTTTCTTTCATAATTTTTTGCTTCTTTTTCTTCACTTTGTACGCCATCAACAATTTCATGCCTTTCTTTATTTAATGTTAGATCTGATAATTTTCCATATTTTTTATCCAGCTTTTCTATTAAAACACTGTTGTTTATATCTTGAAATTTCTCTTCCTCTTCTTCTTCTTCTTCTTCTTCTTCTTCTTCTTCTTCTTCTTCTTCTTCATCCTGTTCTACATCTTCCTCATCTTCCTCCTCCTCCTCCTCCTCCTCCTCTTCCTCCTCATCTTCTTCCTCGTCTCCTTCATTATTTTCCAATTCTTCGTCGTCTTCAAATTCTTCATCTTCATCATAACTTTCATCATCTGTATATTCACTATCCTCGATACATTCTTTACTATTATCTAAATTTTTAACAATATAAATAAAATTAAATTACAAACTAAATTTAATTCTACAATATATTCATATACTATTTAAAATAATTTTCAATATGCAACTATCGTATCAAATAAATTTATCTTGATTATATGAATAGTTTTATAATATTTACTCACATTCTTTTAATAGTAATAAATTAAAAAAAAAAAAAAAAAAAAAAAAAAAATACAGAATTAAAACTTAATCAATTATATAGTGAAGAGATAACTAATACAGTGAAAATAATATACAGATATATTCTTTAATACCTTTACCGCTATTACGTAATTTCATATTTTTTTCAGCAAAAATGTCTTCAAAACTAGATCTGTTTTTACATCCAATTTTTTTATATGTGGAACGTAAGTCCTCGTAGAGTTGTTTTTCCTTTTTCAGAAGTTGCTTCTTATTCTCGTTCTTGGAAATGATTTTTTTAATGTGTACAGGCGCAACCAATGTATTTCGTCGTGACAAATTAATTAAGACCTCTTCATTTCCTATGAAAATATCATTTTATCAATAATTATACTTTTTTTTAAAAAAAAAAAAAAAAAAAAAAAAACATAGTTTTAACATATAAAGTAGCATTATATTTTTATGGACTATATTTCAATTGGAAAAATCGATTTTTTTATGATTCACAAAAGAAATACTCATAATTTTACAAAATAACAAAGAATTACATATAATGACCTTAAATTATTTGTGCTAAACGTTAATGGCTCTTTCTAAACATTGTAAATGAATATTCCAAAGCTAATTGATAGAAATAAAAATAATAAATTAATGAAAATATTAATTACTTTTACGTAATTGAATATAAAAAATCGTAATACATGAGTAGGAACTTAGATCAATTTATATAAAATATCTTAGCAAAAGTCGATAATATTTGTTTGGAAAACTAAATGATATTATAGATACAAAATAAAGAAAATAACATAAAATTAATTAAATTTATGTAATATTATTAAATATTATTAATAAACTATTTGTTCATCCATAAAGGTTATTTTAGCTTATTTTAACTTACACTAGATTGAGAAAGGATGTTTTTAAATGTATTTACCTATATTTATATTGTAGATATAATGAACATATATTATGTTGTTAAATAAAATTAATAAAAAATATTGAATATTTGTAAATTATCAAATAATTTATTTCTTCTATTTAAAATATTAATTTATAGATAATATTTTTGGATGCTTTCTATTTCATTGATATTTACAATAATTTTTAAGATAATAAGTTGGATTAAAGCAAGTAGAATTCATCATTTAACTATAATATTTAATAAATATACATATGCGCATCCACTCTTAATTTAATTTTATCAAGAAAAATACAAAAAAAGAATGAATATATCTATAAATTTATAATTACTTATGTATAAATTGTCTGCTCGTTTCTACAGAAGAAAAATTTACAATAAAAAATGAGCAAATATTATTTGTGTGATGAAAGAATATCGTGACAAGTAATTACTGGCTAAACAAATCAGCTATTGGATTTTTATTAGAAGAAAAAAGATTGAATAGCTTAGATAATATATAAAAAATATACATTCTTATAAATAAAATATCATATGCCAATTGATCAAAGAAATTTAAATTTTAAACTTAAAATGTTTTCCAAAAAAAAAACATTTTCTCACCCAAATAAACTTTATTTTAATAGATTGAATATTGATGATAATTTATTATATAAGTCAGTATTTGAATAATTATTTTCAAAATTCAAACAAAATACTGTAATTATAAAAGCAGATATAATGCTGCAAAGTACGATTTACAAAACAAGACTCAAAAGGCAAAAGAAAAAAATTTAAACTCAATATAAAATATGAATAAAATAAATTCGATAATTACTAGGATATTATCAAAAAATGTATTAAAGATATAGATAAAATAATAAATCCCTGTTAGCAAGAAATTGCCGTCATTTAATTTAAATTAAATATAACCGTAAAGATAGATTAGGAATTGCATGAAAAATAAAAAATGAGAAATTTATTGTTAATATATATTTTTTTAAATTCAAATTAAAAAACAAAAATAATAAAATTAATGAATTATTATTATTATTATTGAATAGTGAATTAGTGAATTATTACCGATAATAAAAATAGCAAGAATAATGATTATAATATTTATTAAAGACTATAATATTAGAAATATTATAAAATATTTAATGAATGTGAGATAATGGCACTGAATGATTATAATCTAAAATAATGAAAATAAGTAAAATTAAGATTCATTGGCTCACTAAAGTTAACAAAAGAACTAAATAAAAAAAAAAAATACTTGAATGGAGATCCATTGATTAAGAGATTCTATAAACTTTCGCTGAAAGAAATAACCAAAAACTATTAGTAATGTAAAAAGAATTATTTCACGGACCAAAAAGTAAAGAAATTACATGTTGAAGACAATACGACGAATTCAGTCGTAATAGAATAAATAAAGGAAAATAATATATTAGAAAAAACTAATAATATCATTTAAATGGAAATTCGATATTTAATGTGCACATTCTAACTATTTATTGCAATAAAAATCTAATACAGAAAAAGTAATATCAATGTAACCTCTCTAAATTGTATACTTTTTAAAATATATTTGTTAATGTCTAAAATAAAAATTTTATATTGTCCGACTGTTTGAAGTCAAAAACACCGTATAAAATATAAAAATTAAATAGAAACTATATTTATTACTATATTTAATTTTTTATTGATTAAATTATGTAATTATATATATATATATATATATATATATATATATATATAATTTAAATTATCTTAACTTTTGACTAAATGTCTCAGAAATATATTTATATAACTCTTTTAAAACAAATGTTATCACCTGTGCAAAAAATTCAGAGATTTTTATGTACTGTGTAGTTAGAGTAGCCACTTGAATGCCATTTGAACATATAAATCAAAACATTAATTGTCTGCGACTTGAGTTTTGTTAACTAATGACGTCTGTACTCTTGCAATGTGAACATTTTTGAGATGTGGTGAGAATATATCTTTTAATTTGTGACCTTCGTATGTACTGAAAATGATATCATTAAAATAATTGAAGTAGTTGGTAAAACCATAACGCGAATGAATTAAAACTAGAATTTTCTGTCAATACGAAGCACGACGGTACACTACATTTTCCATCTAACTCCCCTTCAAGTTTTCCCACTAATTTATTGAAATATACTACGAAGAAATATGATAAACTTAAAATTGAAGTTCGCTTTTAAATAATAATGTCGTTTCTTATATCCTCTCTTCATTTTCATAATTTTAATGTTACATATGAAATAATTTTATTAATAATGGTAAGAAGATAAAAAATAATAATCACACAATATATAAAACAATTAATTTTGCTTAATTTAATTTATGAAAATTTTAACAAATAATTATAAATATCAATTTCAATATGAATTAAGAAAATTTTTTTGTTTTTTTTATCGTTAAAATATCGTTAATAATTAATCAATGTTTCGATTACTATATATATATATATATATATGATATATATATGATATATATATGATATATATATATATATATATATATATAATTTTTCTTATTTACATATAATAATCGTAACAAAATTTTATTCTATTACATATTAGTAAGTTTTTTTGGATGTAAGGAAATTTTATTAGATTGATCAACATTAATTTAAAGAAATATTCGTTAATAGATATTAAAATATTTGCTTAACTATACATTAAATATACTTTAATTATTCATTATGTGTATAAGCTACATAATAGAACCAATTATTTGTTAATATGATACAATATCTATGTTAATATAAATATTTAATAAACATGTATTATTACATATTTGCATTAAAAATTTTTATCCAAATTTAACTATTGTTATACTCTGGTAGAGTAATTATATCAAAGTTATTAAACAAATTTAATTTCAGAAATAATACTGTCAATTAAAAGAAAAATCTGTCTAGAAAATTAAAAAAAAATCAATTATGTATTCTTTTAAATTTTATTTTGAATTTACTATAGGATCACAAAGATAACTTATAAGCAGTTCTGATTTCATAAATACTAATAATGTTGTTTATAATAATATTGCCATAAATGTTACATATAAGAAAATACGTAAAACTTTATAAGCATTTTTCTTTACAAAATCTTTTTGAAGCTTACATGCTTTGGAACATGAAATTTTTTATTTACTTTAAATTTTAAAAGTATTTTTTGATAAATTTCTAAATAAATATGAATGAATTTTAATTTGCATAATTTGAACATTTTTTTCTGTCAATTTACTTAAAATTTGAAAATATAAATTTCTAAATAAGTTTAAAAATAAATTTTAATTTGTGTAATTTAAGCCTTCGAAGTAGCCTTATCTCTATATAAAAAAAAATTTATGACATATATAAAAAATAAAGTAGTGTTTGCAGAATATAGAATATAATCTCCATACCATTGTTCCACCTTCTGAGCAAGACGTAACGTGCAGTTACAATAAGTGCGATGCCAATTCCAAACTTCATTGCCACTGAAAATAACATAGCTTAATTATATTCTTTTATATCTATTGTCTGAATAATTAGAATATTATTTATCGTTAATTAATAAACGATGTAAAAAAAATATTTGGAATTATAATATTGGATATTGGATAGAACGTATTGTAGATGTGTATAATTTTATAATTTAATCGTCTTATGTTGCTCCATTAATTTCAACATACCATTTGTTGATTCCTCCTCTAATTCCTCTTTAATTTCATCCTCAAAATGAACTATTTTATTTATAGTTTCTTCAGATTCTTCGCTTTCAATCTGTAATTAATATATTCTTCTATAAATTCATTTGGATTTAAGTAAGCTAATATTTTTTTATCCTGCTACTGTCGACTAAGTAAGTAAGTAATTCAAATCTATTAAACGTTGACATTATTAAAAAAAATTTATTGAATATTTCATACTTCTTCTAATGGTTCAGCACTATTGTTATCCATTTCATTCGCTTCAGAAATATCATCAAAATCTTCGATATCCTCTTCGTTAAGTTTATTATAATCGTTTTCATTATTCGTCAATTGGACACCTTTAATATTAAGATCATCGTTTATATTAAAATTCTTTATTATTTTATTCTTAATGTCATTCTTATCATTACCATATTCTATTTCTTCTAAAGCGCCAAAATCTTCAAGATCATTATTAAAATTTTCCTCGCTGTAACTTTCATCATCGTCCTCTGAATCTTGACTATCATCTACCTTATCTAAAAAGGTACATTCTTAATTTCCAGACTTTTTCTATTAAATAAATGTACTATCTGATCGTAAATTAACTAAGTAAATTAAGGTATCGTTCGTACAATTGAAAGTAGTATAAATATAAAGCGGCTAGCCTTCTATTAATATTAGATAAAGAGAAAACGTTGAAATGTTATACTAAACCTTGAAAAGTAAAGAAAATGGAATATTTTGTTCATTCAAATATTAATAAAATAATTAAATAAAAAATAAAAATAAAATAAAAAATTACAAAAAACTATCACAACAATTGGTAATATAAACAAGCCACTGGCATAATAATTGTTTATTATACGCTATTCATATAATATTGTATGTTTAAAACATAGTTAAAAATTGATATTTAATCAATGTTTTTAAAATATCTTATTTACAAAACTCCGATTGAAACTCCGATTGAAATATTTACAATCTTTATAACAGTAGTCGAGTTTTTGTAAAATGAGCTTATTTATTTAAATTTAAAAATATGTCGAATTAATTTTTTTAAAACTTACAATTTTTACACAATATTTCGTTACAAATAATTATAATATATGTGATTACAATATTATTTGAAAAATCGTTAAAACTAATATTATTTTCTAGGCGAATTTATATAATTAACTATAAATATTTCTATAGGATTATTTATTGCTTCGAATATCAACGAATCTTCGAACATCAATCATATTAATGTAAATTGGAATTACATTTTTAGCATTCATTTAAGATTAATTTAATGCAGAATATAATGTATAATGTAAATAAATTTATCAAAATAATTAGACTTTAAGAAGTATTCACATCTTTCTACGAAATCTCACACGAAAAAATCACATATGTAAAAGTAATATCGATAGATGCTATTCATGTATTATTTAAAATTGAATAAGTATTACATTTTTTATTATAAAAGCAACTGTTTTATTATTGAATAAACAGATTTTGTAATCGAGGATTTAGATATTTTTAGTGAAATACTATTGATAAAATCATTGCAAAAAAAAATGTATTATTAGAAAAAATTATGAGGGAACTTTTAATCAGTTAAAACAATAAGAGCCGTTAAATTACATGTATTTTGTATATTTTCTACCAAATCTAATAGTACATAAATACGCAATTACTATATTTTAATAATTTATCTCGAAATTTATTTAATACGTTACACGTCTATGGATATAAAACAGATTGGGCATATAGTCAAATAGCAAAAAAGGAAAAAAGAAAGATGTAAAGCTCAGATGTAAAGCTGAATTATTCTCAGAAATAATTGTAAAATAGATTTTGCACATTTATTAAACATTATATATATATATATATATATATATATATATATATATTATGCATTTATGTATAAATTATTGATATCATGCACCTTTTTCTATGGCAACGTCATCGAACTGTTGGTCTATAGAGTCATCGATATATTGATTCGATTCTGTTTCACTCTTCTCATCATCTTCTAATGTATCATCATCACTTTTATTTAGCTCTAAGTTGTCGTTTAACTCTTCTTCGGTAATGCTCTTATCCTGAAACAATAAGGTTTCTTTTTCTTCTACCATCTCATCTAACTCAAAACACTCATTATCATCTTCGTCGTCGTTCTCATTATGTAATTCTTCAACACTTTCTTCTTCTGTTTTATTTTCAAGACTTTCATTTTCCTTTTCATGTATGTCGTGAGCATCCCCTTCATCATCATCATATTCATGATCATTCTTGTCTTCGTGAGAAATAATGGCTTTCTTTGATTCGTCTTTCTCTTCATGGAAAATTGATGTTTCGTCTATCCAACCTTCAAAAGTTGTTGCCCATGGAGATGCTTTTACAAGACTACCCACTATAATTAATCAAATTATTTCATTACTCGTCGATATATTCTTAACTTACACACCAATAAATATAACTGATAAAAATCACAAAACTTGAAAAAAAAAAAATTGAAATTTACAAATGTATCTTATAAGTTTTCATGCATTTTTATAAAAAATTCGCACGTGTAATATAATCAAGAAATAATGAGACTAGAGAATTTAATCAAATATAAATAACGTATAATGAAATATTATAAAATGCTCTAAAATAAATTTATGTGTTCAACATATTTTATTTATTAATATGTGACTAATATCTAGATTTTAATAAATGCTGTTCGTTTCAATGATTCTTTAAATCACATTTTTATTTAATTACATAATAAATTACGTTAAAAACTTTAGGATAATGTGATTATTAATATATGTTTATTGTAATATATTTATTATCTACTAACGTATAATTTATTACAACTATCTAGTTCCACCTTAAAATTTAGGTATTTAGCATTACTTTATGCAAATTATATATATTTTTATTTTTACTTACAGTGTATAAAATATATATCAAAACAAAAATATCGATATATGTTTTAAAATTAACTTAATTGAATAAAAAAAAATTTTTTTTTTTTAAATCATATATATATATATATATATATATGTGTGTGTGTGTGTGTGTGTGTGTGTGTGCATGTATATGATTCGTATATTTTACATTTAAATAATTAGATACAATCATTTATAAGGCTTGAATAAATTAGCAGTAGTCGGGTGTTCAGAAAATAAAAAGAAGCTTAAAAAGTTCAATTCGAAAATAAAATAATCATACCATCGGCAGTGCCCCTGTGTTCAACGATGATGAGTCCAATAGTACCGAGAAGACCAGCGAGTACGATGAAGAAGATGATTCTTGCGCACCAATGACCACCTGTGCCAGTCTCCTTGTGAATGTGAATTGTCTGGTTATCCGTGTGATCCATCGAGGCACCTCGTGTCACCGACATCAGCGGCCTCTCCTCCTCGTAATCTTAAATTCACATTGCCAATCCTTTTGTTTATAATTTTTATCAGCCATCAGCAACAGTGCAATCGCGTTACTTTCCCATGGTAAACGACCGCTTCAACTGTTTTCTCTTTATGCTTTGGATGCTTCTTTCTTTCATCTGTATTAGGCAACATATTTTATATTTCCGCGACGTTCAATAATCTCGACCCCAAGTTTTTAATCTTGGACATGTTTGAATAGATTTTTATCTGCTGAATACAGACTATTGGAATAAATATTAATTAACAAATTGGCATACATTTGCCAATATAATAATAAGTTTCGCGCGTTAGCTAATATATAATATCTTACACCCATATTTTTCCGCACATTTTTTTTTTTTTTTTTTTTTTTTTTTTTTTTTTTTTTACAACTCTTTATCGCAAATAGTAAATGTAAATATTATTTATATTCTAAATAATATTTATTATTCTATATTTCGTTAATGAATACAGTTTTATATTTCTTAAAATATGTTATCATTAAAAAATTTGATTTTAAAAAAGATAAAAGATGGTTAGAGATAAAACTAAATAATATATGCATATTTAAAATAAAATAAACAAAATAATAAATACATGTCTAATAAATGATGAACGAGTATGCTTTTATTTACAATATAGAAATAAAAGTATGAACGATCAGTGATAGCGAAGAAAAATTTATTTGCTGTATAATTTTGAGCACTGGAAAACGGAAAAACTAGAGATGAACAAGAACTATTTTCAGGAATTTATTATGTAACATTTCATAAAAATAGGAATACTCTTGAATAGCAAAATTCAACTTTCGACTACTAGGATTTTTTTTTTCTCATAAATTTATTTTATGAATAATTTTATTTTACGATCCTAATTATTATGATAATAAACTTATTGGAATTATTTCATTGAAATCAATGTTAAATAACTTTGATGTAAAAATAAAATAACACATCGGCAAACATCAGTAAATTACAATTTGAGCATTTATTAAAACAATAATAGATAAGCACAAATGGTCATTACAATCAAGTCAAATAATAAGAAAGTTTTATTTAATAAAAAAGTTTAAATAACTTTTTGATATTGGACATAGGAATAATGCATAGATATTTGAAACGTGAATCGTCTATTTAAAGAAAAAAAAAAAAAAAAAAAAAGAAAAAAGAAAAAAAAAAAATATGATTAAAATACAAGTCAAAGCATTGGTTCTGGTTCCATGTTTTGCCCATTGTTGGCATGTTTTTGGCAACCCATTCTGAAATAGAGATAGTTTCAGATGATGCACACGGCGCATATAACTTGAGCAATTTTTAAAATAATACGTACAAAGTATTATTTAATTTAATGATTGAAAAAAAATGTATCGAATAAATTCGAAAAATTCTGGTGTTGATTAAGAAGGCGCAAAATAATAAATACTTTTAATGCAATATAATAATGCCTTAACTTATGCACTTGCAGTTTATTTGATCTTCCGTATTAAATATTTCAATACATTTATCTTTGTGATTTTAAGATAAAAGCAACCATACAAGTACTTAATTACTACTAGCTAAGAAATATTTTATTGTAAAGGATTCAAAGTACTTCGTTTATTAATAATTCACCTATATCGTATACCTATAAAACATTGATTGAGTGCTTTAATAGAATTATAATAATATATTGCGTAACTATGTAATAAGTAAGGAAGATGTAAGATTCTCGCAATTATATTATATTATTATATTATATCATCATATTATATTTTGTGATATATTACAAATATATAAAATTTATGTTTTTTCGTATACCGATCATAGTTGGCAAATAATCATAAATTAGTAGATCAATGAAATATCATCGATGGCGTTTTAATCAACAGAAAATAATGCTTTGAATGATAAAATTTATTAATAAAAAAGTGCCGATATTGTTGAAAAAGTGCCATACATCACATTACATTAACCATAACAAGGATGTTGAAATTTGGAAATATAGGTGAACTTGGAAAAGTGAAGATCGGACATGCAATAACGTCGGTGTATGAAATTGAATGGATTTCTCAATTACGGTATCCAACAGTCATGAACGCATTAAGTAATCTGCATCGTTGAAGGGCGACAGAAATAAGGAAAAAGTGCGACGGGTATAAACGAGCAAGGTGGTCTAAAAATAGGGCAAGTTTCGTCGAAACACTGCCGACAAGTTCGCGGGAGACCGGGTTTTGTGTTACGTTGTAGAAAATCACTCACCCCTCTTCCGTCTCTTGTCCTTGCAATTTCTCGGCTGCACGTCGCCGGACATTTCAACTTGGATTCCCTAAGCCTCGACACTTCGATAACCGCAAATACCTCAGGCAATATTAACGAACGGCAATAGAACGTAGGGGTAGGGTAACACTGTCGGAGACGCGAACCTAATGAATTTCAATTCATAACCCGCCGGCGAGATCTACGATCCAAGTGCGCGTTATTCGTTCGATTCTTCAAGCGTGAATAAGAGTTAGCGCGGATTCTGAATGAGCACGCCCTTGCGCCTGCGCGACCGCGATCCGAATTCGCACGATCACGTTTAAGAAGTCTCTTTCGAAAATTTCCACTTATTTTCACTCGCTTTCGGCGATACTATTCTTTCCAAATCTACCAAGTCTCACCTTCCTGCTACCTTGGCCTCAAAACTCTATCTCAATTTAAATGACAGTAATTACAGCTGAGCTTCTAAGGCGATCGCGCACTCCTCAAATTTTCAAGCTCTCGGACTAATTTAAAATTAATTCTTTCATTTATTCGTACTTATTTGTGATAACTGTCGATGGCAATCAGCGTTACTTCAATATTGATCATCGACTATTATCGGCTATTACCGAACACCTTAACATTCATCGATCTCTAACTTACAAATAATGCTAATAATAATTCATATATTATGAAAACATTTAAAATTAAAATAATATTTATACGCATATCAACATTATGTGGCTGATTAAAAATAGGGCGTACAAAACAAAATTCGATAAATATGTTATGTTAATAGACAAACTAAATAATAAAACAATTATGAATGAACGAAAATTTTTCACTTATTATACAATGTAGAATGTACAATCAGTCATTAGAATTATTTATGATAAATTTATCAGATATTTCAAATGAGCAACGATATTATGATATTTATTATTAGTGCTTATTTTCAAAATTGAACACAATGTAATAAATTTAAATAATACGTTTTCAAATTTACACGACAAATTAAATTCAAATTTCAACTAATTTTAAATTTATAGCAACAAATATAATAATTCAATTAAATAAAATGTAGTGATTAATTATTGCTTGAGAAAACTTTAAATAATATATTGATGTGCGTGCAATTAATTTCTTATTCTTATTAGAAATCCTAATTAGAATTTCTGCTATATTGAATTTACATATTTAGATATTTATTTATTAATAAGTAAAACGCACTCACGCACATATGTGTACAAACATTAAAACAAAAATTTATTACAATAATTTATTTCGCTCTTTCATTCTAAATGTAATTAATTAACAATTAATTATTATAAAACTTACATATCAAAATAATATAAGAAAATTCTTAAGGTACATTTAAATGTATTGCATTTTTTAAAATTTGTATTATCTATTAAAAAAATAGTATTGTTAAAGGTGAAAGCGTATAGAAATTATAAGCGAATACGTCCGTTATTACATGAATTTGTACGGGGAGAATTTTTATTACTTTTACGATACATTAGCCTAATAACGTTTCATAAAGGGATATTACTTATAGCTTAGAATATATGAAATTAATGTTTAGAACCTTCTGAACAAATAATAATTTATAAATTTCTTTTATCTATAAGAAAATTCAATGATATTTATAAAAATTAACATACTCGTATTAATAATTATTTAAACGTAATTATTAAATGAATTCGTACGTTTTATAAGTTCTATAAATAAATGATAATTACATTTTTAATTAAACATTGTTTTATTCTATTTCATAATTTTACTATTATTTGATTGATGTTTCATTATTTTAAACCATCGATCTGTATTATCAAAGGTAGTTACGATTTTTAAATATATTCGAATAAAGTAAATATTATTTAAACTTAAGAAAAATTTATTTGAAATTGAAATTTATTGAAAAATTTATTATTAAAATAACAAGAAAGCATAATAAATAATGTAAAAAAGGCTATTTATTTTTCAATAATAAATATAACTGGAATTCAAAATAAAAAGATCATTTCAAGTTGCGAAAATAAGATTTTATATAATTTTTAATAGCCCCTCACTCATACATATATATATTTTATGTGTGCATGTCTGTCTGCGCGCGCGCGCGCGCGTGTATATGACTATTTCTATTTTATTTAGAATAATAAAAATAAAATTTCACTTAGATAGTTAAAAAAAAAATTATTGATAAAATTATGAAAAAAATATTAAATATAAAGGAACATAAATATATTTAAAATTTTATCTTTTTTAAATTCTTAAAATTAGGATTTTTAGTCATGGGGTCAATAACATGGGAATTGATTTATATTATTAAATTAAAAAATTAGTGAAATAAATTTTCACTTTACACATTCTATTACATACAAATTACACTCTAAACTGTAATAAACCATATATAATTATTTGGATGTGATTCCTTTAATTCGGACAATGTTGCCATTTCAATAAGATCTAAGATATTATTGAAGAGCAAAAAAATTTCCATGTCATATTAAAATGTGAATGCAAATATTTTAAATATAAATTCTATACAAAAGAAAGTCAAATATATAGATTTCTATATGATAGAAATTTTCTAAAATTATATATATAATTTATAGAAAGATTTATATACGTAAAATAAGATTGAACACCAAACATCTACAAAGTATAAATAATATTTTTTATATTACATGTTTAGAGTCAGATATCGATATTGAAATCCAGCAATTATGAAATTATACCACGATGAATATGAAATTATATCGTAGAAAATTAAATAATTCGGTGTAAAATAACATAGGGAGTATCTTATTTAAAAATTTTCGCTTATTTTCATTAAATTCTTGACACTTGAGCCATGAGATTTTAGGTAGAACAAATCACAAGAAAAAAGTTTTAAGAATTTTTGTTAAAATATTAAGATTTTGCGCTTAAAAATTTGAGTTTTATGCCATTATCAGAGTACTTATTTCACAAATTTTTTTTAATTATATATTTACTCAATGGCCAAAGTTGTTTTCTTAATATTTATATTTATCGAGATTTTGTGAAATTAAAAAACATTTAAAAGAAAATAATTATATATGATTGAACTTTCATTTTTACATTAAATAATCATTATTTTTAAGTAAATTAATGCGTGTAAAAATACACAGAAAGAAACCTGCGCGATCTAACGTAATACTGCAGTGGAAGAAATTATGAATGAACTGTAATCATTTAATATTCAAATGTTATTGAACACAATGACATTTTTATTACAAAGCTGATATTAATTTTATTAAGAAATTTTCTAAGAAAAGAAATAAAAATCCAAGTAATATGATGCATTTATACGTAAAGTTAAAGTTACGAAAAGAAAATTTTTAGTGTTAGTTTTATCTTCTTTTTTACCATCTTATAAAGAATTATATTTTCTCAGGGTTTAATTTCAAAAATTAATTTTCTTTAGAAAAATGTATATTGAAATGGAAGAATTATTAAATATATTACATAAGATGCTCGTTTTACAAGTAAATAAAGTATTTGAAATATAAAAAAATGATATCTCAATCCTTTTTACATTTTAATGATTTTTTCAGGCTTATAGTTACATTTATAGAGAATATTACACTATTTTCGATATATGATGTATTTAATAAGGAAAATTAGTAGGCTGGATTATTTATTATACTTTGTAGTATTCGAAATTTTCCTTTTTAACTTTGAAAATCATTATCGATCAAATTTTCACCATTTCATATTATATGAAAGCTTGCATAACTTCGAATTACGATCGTATTATACCTTATTACTTCCAATACTTATTTTAAAATAACTGTATATTTTTCGAAATTAATTGCAAAATCTATCAATAATACACTAAGAAAAATTATTTGAATAAAGAATAAAGAAAATAAAGAAATTCTTTTCGAAGAGTTTACTGTAGAACGATAAACATTATTTTATGAAAATTAAAAATTAATTTTCATAAATATAATAATTTATAATTAAATCTTATAATTAAGCGATTAGTGTAATTGGTGGCTATAAACAATTGTCAAATCTTTAAAAATACTATAATAAATTCGCTATTTTTTTTTATCTAAATTATAATACAACATATATTCAATTATCAATATAAGTATAATAGAATATAAATATATTGTGTGTACACCAATACTTTCTTTGATAAATAAGCTAAAAATTACTTCATTTTGGAATTTAATATCTTTAGTAAAAAAAAAAAAAAAAAAGGTTTACAAAAGAAACTAAGCTTAACTATGCCTTTTTAAAAAATAATTAAAATTATATTTAATATTTTTTTTTTTTATTTCAATATTAGAATTATTATTCTGAATTTATATTTGTGTATGTAATTTATGTTTAAATATTTTGATGCAATCTTACTTATCTACATTGATGTATTGTAGAGGCTATAATAGAGGATATAATAAACAAATTTTCATCGATGAATGTCTAAAATATTAAAAGAAACATGACATTCATCTTATTCTCCGGACTACATCATAAACGAAACGAACGTCAAAAATTATACGAAGAACTTGGCCTCTGATGCTTATTTTTCACCTTTCGATATCATTAAGCATTTCAAATACAAAATTGACGAAACGTCTTTGCGTTCTACATTGTTCGAAATTTTCTGATTTTCTTTTATATATATATAAAATATAATATAAAATATATAAAAAAAACATACATTTATTCATTTTATTAATGAAAATACCAACTTCGTTGTTATCCGAAACTTCATCCACTATCAAATAAATTATTAGTTCATACAACAATGATGCTGAAGCGCTTTTTTTATCGATGTTATACGCACACACATGCACGCACACACACACACACACACCAGTAATAATAAATATCTAAAATGCATAAAACTAAGGAGACAATGAAAATCTGTTGATTTTAATGAGTGAATAAATCGGTAAATGTAATAGTGCAACGTAAAGAATATCAGCATTATAAACATTAAAGAAATGTCTATGTGGTATTAGAGAACTCCAAACACATTGAATAACCAAAATTCGTTAACAATTTGTTTATTAAAATTTAATTCGACAATTTATTAATTTTGATTTTTAACGTAACAACATCAGATTTTTACATTGATTATTCATTTATATTTCTTATATCTTTGCACGCATCGTCTCTGTTATATTGTTCTTTGTTCTCATTGTTCTCATTTTAATCTTCGCTTCTTCCTCTCCATACATAATTCCTGTATAATATACTGTTTATATTTACACTTTTATTTATTTATCTATTCAATATTGCTTCCACACTCTTATGCAATGATTGTGTAACCATTGTTATCCGTACTGGGCGGACTATGTGCCAAATAATCTAAGATGATACATATATTCGCATACATGTTTTTATTATATTTTACCGAAATATGATAGTTAATAATGTGCGTATCACTTCAAATGTTAAATACAAGTAATTAATAAGTGTACATTTAATTTTTAGATTTATCGTTTAGTAGAGTTCACGTGAGATATTTCGTTTTTTGTTCTGCAAGCAAAGAATATTAAATAAGATGTGTGAAATAATTATAAGAAATCCTATAAATCTATTGGGATTACCGATACAGGAAGCTCTTCTCCTTCCCCTCACCAATACTGATGAACACTCGTGTTCGTATGAGTAAATCCATACATTATACATTTTTTTAATAAAATAAGCCATAAAGATAGTAGGAAAGTTCTTTTATTGTTTTCCTAACCTTCAGTCATCCCTGTAAACTCTAGTAACTACAAGTAATGTTCATCGTTTGATAAACTCAGCAAATAGAAAACATTTTGTTATTAACGCAATTTATATTATAATAATTTTTGCGCATTAATTGTGTTAAATCGTTAATTAATGATATTGTCATATTAATTGTCAAAAGAATTCTTTTGTTTACAAATTGATGGAAATGATAAGTAAACACTTTATACAATATACATGGAAAAACAATTCATTGATAAGAATGGCAAAAAAATGTATTATCTATTCCTAATCAGGATTAAAAATATTTTTTTATTAACAAATTAACTGAAATTATTGGTAAATATTTTTTATAATATATATATATATATATATATTGAAAATCTATTTGTATTAAATAATTGGGATAAATAATTTATAAGAGAATCTAATAAATTATCATTAATCACAAAAATACTTGTTATGAATAATCAAACATAGAATCTTTAAAGAATTTTATGCCACTTATAATGTCCGATACAAATAGTTCAAATTTATTAATTGGTACACCCGTCGATTCATATATAAGCGACAATGAAGATTATTGCAATAAAAAAACATTTAAATCACCATCAAGTAAAGCGCAAAAAGAGCCGCCTTGTAAATTGAACTTGAAATCATTAGATTTTGACAACAACTTAGACGGATGGATTGATTCTACAGAAAATGATCCGCTTATATCAGCTAATACATTTACAGTAAGTTAAAGAAATAAATGATAAAATTTAACTGACTCATAAGAAAAATACTCTTCAATGTATAGATTACATAATTATTTCAGGTGACGAAAGATAAATTAGAATTAGATAGAACCAAGTTAAAAGATGTACAAATAAAAATATTGGAAAAATTTTATACAATAATTAATAATATTCCTGTTTCTGTTTTATCAAAATTTTTGCAATTTGATATTGAATCGTATACAAAATTAAATATTTTATATCAAAGGATAAGGTCAAAAATACATCAAATTGAAAAAAAATTACTTACATTTGATTTGGATGAAGAACTGGGTGAATCCATTTCTAATTTAGATAAAGCTATTCATTTCTCTGAGAATCATAATGATTTTGTATTTGAACCATTACATGGTGAAAATGAACATATTTTCACAAACTGTATTGAAAAAGACGAAAAAATAAAAACAAACATTAACAAAGATGCATCTAACAATAATAATAATAGCAATAAAGAGGAATTAGATGTAAATTATCCTACTGATTACAATGCGACAAAGTTTTCAGATACCTCAAAATCAGATAATGTAAAATTAAAAACACAGATGACAAAATTAAATGAAAAAATAATACCAGTTGAAGTTAAAAAAGCAAGTGTATTTAAATTAAAAGTACCAGTTAAAGCAACAGTGTCTCCAGAAATGTATAAAAAGTTAAAAGAAATGACAGAAAAGAGTCGTCAATCTAAATTTTATACAAATAGTATAAGCAGAGAGAAAGATTCGTTAAGCCAGCGTCGCTCCATTCCTAATTTAAATGTTTCTAGTCTTAATAAAACTAATTCTAACACATTAACTCAAGATACGACTGCTGTTTCAAATAAACATAGATCAGATATAAATAAAAAAATTGATTTACAAGACAAAATAAAGAATAATGACAGAATTACAACTGACCTTGAGCATTCATTGAATAATTATCAGGATAATTTTGGTTAGATATAATATTTTATATTTTGGTCCAAACGATCTTCACATTTTAATTGCTTATTTTCAATAAAAATTTTGTTTGCAGAAAAAAATATAAATAACTTTAATGTATCACATAAATATCATTCTCAAGATTTAGAATTAAGCAATTGTCCACAATTTGATACAAAGAAAGAAAATGTAGTGACAGTTTCTCCTATTTACAATATGTCATCAAATTATTCTCAGACTGATAAAATTATATATAAACAACCAAATACAGAAAATAATTTATGCGATTCAAAATCGGTAGAAACTCTCAAAAATGACAATAACGAATGTAGTGACAATATTAAATATCCTCATTCTCAAGAAATGATAAATGTAAATATTTTGTATGACTATGTGCTAGTGAAGTTTTCCTTATAATGAAACTTAATCATAATTTACTTTCATTTTAGTTGTTTAGAAACAAATTTAAACTCTCCAAGTTTCGGCCAAATCAATTGCAAGCAATTAATGCAACTATGCTTCAATTCGATTGTTTTATTTTGATGCCAACGGGTGGTGGTAAATCTTTATGTTATCAATTACCAGCTCTGTTAAGCACTGGAATAACAATAGTTGTTTCACCGTTGAAAAGTTTAATTTTGGATCAAACACAAAAATTATCATCATTAAATGCAAGTAATTCTGTAAATAATGCTGAAAAAAAACTTAATTTCATAACAATTTTTAATTATAATATATTAAAATTATCTAGATTCCAGCTGCCCATTTGTCTGGCACTTTAACTATCGACCAAACCGAAGCAATATATAGCCAACTATCTAAAGAAAATCCAATTTTAAAGTTGTTATATGTAACGCCAGAAAAACTCTCGGTTTCTCAAAGATTATGTAATTCTCTTAAGACTCTCTATGAACGCAGACAATTAGCCAGATTTGTTATCGATGAAGCTCATTGTGTTAGTCAATGGGGTCATGATTTTCGACAAGATTACAAAAAATTACGAGAATTAAGAAGAAATTATTCTACAGTGCCTATAATGGCTTTAACTGCTACAGCTACACCAAGAGTTAGAACAGATATTTTATGTCAATTGGGTTTGACCTCTCCTAAATGGTTTGCATTAAATCATTTTTCTTTTAAATCATAAATATAAATTCGTATAAATGGCTTAAATAATTCAATAGAAAATAATAAATATTGGCACTAATAGAACTATTATTTTATTTCTTTTAAATACAGTAACATTTTTTTAAGTAATTTATTGGCAATTAAATTTATCAACTGATTTGTAGAATAATCTAAATTTTTTATGGGGTTGATCGTTAAATTTGGTTACATTAGTTAGTTTAGAAACTTAAGTTAAAACTATTTTTCAGGTTTATTTCAAGTTTCAATAGGCCAAATTTACGTTATAGTATTATAAATAAAAGTCATAAAAATTCATCCGATGAAGTAATTGGATTAATAAAAATTAAGTTTAAAAATGATTGTGGTATTATTTACTGTTTATCTCGTAAAGATTGTGATGATTATGCTCGACAAATGAAAATGAATGGAATTAAAGCACTGAGTTATCATGCAGGGCTTACAGATAAGCAACGAACTGAAATTCAAAATCAGTGGATATCTGAAAAGGTAAAAGTACTACACTTATCAGATAATTATAATGAATTTATATATATGAAATATTTTACAGATTAAGGTTGTGTGTGCCACTATTGCTTTTGGAATGGGAATAGATAAACCTAATGTTAGATTTGTTATTCATGCCATACTTCCAAAATCAATCGAAGGTTATTATCAAGAAAGTGGTAGAGCTGGAAGAGACTCTAAAAGTGCAGAATGTATTTTATTTTATAACTACAAGGATATGTATAGACATAAAAGAATGATAGAGACAGACGCAGCATCTAATAAAAATACTCAGAAAATACACATTGATAATCTTAAGCAAATGGTGTCTTTCTGTGAGAATACAAGTGATTGTCGAAGAGCATTACAATTGAATTATTTTGGTGAAGTATTTAATCGTAAATTTTGTATATCGAATAAAGAGACAGCATGTGATAATTGTAGAAATCAGGTACATTCATTTTCAAAAACACTTTATATCCATTTGTGGCTACTATTTTATTTATTTATTTGTTATTTATAGGGACAATTTCATAATTTAAATATTACTGAAGATGCAAAAGCACTTGTGACTATCGTTCAAGATTTGACTAAAAACAATAGATTAACAGTTTTACAAATTGTTGAAATTTATAAGGGTAACAGCCTTACTAAAATGAAAGATTCAGGTATTAAATGAAATAAATGAATTAAAAATTAATGTAATAGTTTTAATTAAAACAATATGTATTTCTGATATTGACAAGGATACGACAAACATCGATTTTATGGGAAAGGAAAATCATTGGCAGAACATGATATCGAAAGGTTATTGCATAAATTAGTAATTGAAAATTATCTTGAAGAAACCATGTATGTAAATAATGAAATTACTTACGCTTATCTAAAACTTGGTTCAAATGCTAAAATATTAATGACTTCAAGCACGCTCAAGGTATTATATGTACAATTGATATCTTAAAAGAATATTATGTTATAATTTAATTATTTGAAAGATAATTAATATTTATTATAAAGTAATATAATATATCAATAATATGTTTCTAATTAAATTAAACATGCTTTAAATTATTTTTTCAAATAAAAATACATTCATAAAAAAACTTCATTTAAGTAATAAATATGACTTTAGATAATTAGTTCATTGCTTATATAAACTATTTGTATTGAATAGTTAATCTATGTAAATATATTCTTGTAGAATAATAAATGCTATTTTGATTTTGTAAACTTAAAAATGCTTATTTAATTAGAAAATGTATTGATATTCGGTTGGTCTGATATGTTAAATAGTAATTTAAAACAATAATCGGTATACAATATAAACATTTTTTAGCTATATTTACAAATAAGAAAAACAATAGATAATTCATCTGCCAGGGCAACTGTTTCTGCTGTCTTACTCGCTGATAATAAAGCTTTGACAGAAATACAACAACGTTGCTATACAGAATTAGTTCAAATTATTAGAGGACTAGCTAATGGATTAAATATTTCTATAAATTCTGTCATAGATTTGGATGCGCTTCAAATTATGAGTAAACAGTTGCCTGAAAGTGAAGAAGCTATGTTAAAAATAGATCGTATCACAAAAGCCAATTATGATAAATATGGAAAAAGTTTACTTAATATCACTCAAAAATATGCCTTGGAAAAAAATGGTTAGTAGTACATATGTAAACATCTATAAGTATATTGCGATCTATCTTAATATTGTTAATATTTACAAAAATTATTCCTTTTCACTCAGAACTATTGAAAAAATGTAAATCAAGTAAAACATCTTATCTTAACAAAAACTCAAAAGATAATCATTGTATAAAATATACAAAGGCTGTAAAAGGAATAAAACGAAAGAGAGCCACAAGAAAATGTAGTAGTAAAACGAAAAAATATAAGTACTCTGAAAGTTGTAGAGAATGATCTAAGTTTGTTCAATTTTATATTATATATATATATATATATATATATATATATATATATATATATATATATTACAATTGAAATATTTTAAAATAACGTAATCAATATTTCAATAATATTTAGTTAATCATGCAATAATAAATAATAAAGGAGCATCATCAAGCAAAACTTAAAATCCTAAACTCAAATTGTCTCAAAAGTAATATCTTAATATTCCACAATATTAAATTTTAATATTATAGTGTCAATATATAAAAATAATTTGAAATTAATTAAAAAATTGTTGTATAATTTTATAATTAAATTAACGTGCATTAATTAATTTAATTTTTATTAACTAATAATTACAGATCTCATACGTAAAGCTATATAAACAGTAGTGTAAAGTCAAGTGAATTTATTTCAAATAAATGTAGAAATATACAATTTGCTTTTGCAAATATTTTATTATAACTTCCCAAGAAATACAAAGTTATGCAAATTATTTTCTTGCATTAATTTGTAGTCATAGTATTTTAAAATATAATTCAGATTCTAACATTACAAGTAAAAGATACTTATTGTGGTATTATAAATTGAAAGATATTGTTTTAAAATCATTCTCCTAAATGAAAATTGAATATTATTTTAATGAACGTGTCACTAGCCTATGTAAGATAATGTAAATAAATATTTATAAGTTATATGTATATATATATTCATATATATTAACAATTTACTATTATAAAATACGTTACAAAATAATCAGAATAAATATATGAATTATATAAAACATTGAAGTTTTCCTAATAATATAAAAGTAAGTTTTTATTAGTATATAAGTATAAATCTTTCATTATAAATATTAATTAAATGGATAATTATTAAAGAAGAATTTGTATTTAAACATAAGTAAATATAAAATCAAAACTACTTCAAAGTAGTTCCCTAATTAATTACTATGCTATCAGTGAGTATATACAAGCAAAAATATGTATTAATTTATTCAACGACCAAGCAAAATTATAATAAATTTAATTAACGATCGCACCAAGTGATTAGATAACAATGGTTTGTAAAATTTATTTATCGCGATAAAAATCTTAATTTAATTGACAAAAATTGTATATATTTTTAATCAGGAGAGCTCAAGATTAACATTGGGTATTTACATCCTCACCGCGATTAAAGCTCTAATGTACCTGATTTATTGACAATAGACCGTCTGTCAACTACATTATTAATAACAATAATAATAAAAAGCCCAACATTCCATAAATGATTACCCAACATAATAAATAATTGTAAGAAAAGTATACTCGGTTCTATTATGTTTTAACGAATTTTTTCTTTATGTATAATTTCATTTACGTAGTCTGAGATGGAATTTTTTAATAGTTCAAAAAAAAAAAAAAAAAAAATTAATAACGATTTTAAGTTCATTATTATAACGAACATATAGAAACTTTATTTATTTACAATGGCTTTTAATTTTAGGCAAATAATTCTATAGCGATTAGCGTTGTTTATTAATTAATACATCGGCAAATGAAATACAATTTTGTCAGACACCACATTCGTAAAAATTAAAAATTGTAATATATTTTTTATTATATTTTTATGTAAATATTAAAGTCATTTATTTGTAAATCAATATATTTAATATGTAATGTCTTAAATATCATAAAAATTTAAGGGAAATAAAAATAATTAATTTTTCGGAAAATACGTTGTTATTACATATTTACCTCTTTAAATCCTAACTGTAATAAGTAACTTGACATTATATTTATATATGAAAAATTTTTTCACGCTCCCTGAGCATGACATTGTGAGCCAATAAGCGTAGACCTCAACCACGCATGTCATATGGGCAAACTATCAACATTTTTTGATTTTAGGTTGCCGATTATTTCATGTGGGCTAATACATCAAATTTGCCTGCTTTACGAGGAATTATTTTTAATTCTCACTAATATCCAATAATCGATTTCATAGTTTAACATGCACGCGTGTGTATTTAATATTTATGCGTTCGATTTTCTTTTGCATAGTCAAATTTTCAATTGGTATTATTCGAGTATTAGCTAATTTATCAGAGATTTAATTACTATACAACTGGTATATAACATTGATATATTTCTTATGTACTCCCCAATTTTCTTACATTTTATCGTAGACATAGTATTAAATTATTGTTTACTTAATAGATTCTAATTATTTATTCTCTTATGTCTTATCGTTTATGTCAATAAACTTTGTATTTGCAATGCTGCAATGTTTATCAAATCATCCATTATCTATTGTTTATGTTCTTTTGTGTTTAGTTTCTTTTTTTTTTTTTTTTTTTTTCATTTATCTTTTGACGTTTAGAATTAAAGGAATTACTAGTGCTACTAGAATTACTTGTAATTTAAAGTAATTGAATATTAACATTTTTATGAAAGAATCTATTAATAACTTATCGTTGTTGGATATTCAATTATTTAGCATTGCTAAAATTAAATGTTATTAAACAATGTAAGTGTATATTATATTTAATAATTTAATTAATATAATATACATAATGGTATTGTATGATAATAGTATTGCATCGATATAATTAACTTCTTATTTCTAATTATAATGAAATTTATTCATAAAATTAAAATTGTTTTAAACTTTACAGATAATATATGAATCCAAAACAAAAATGGATAATTTATCTAATTCGAGTACTAATTCGAGTACTTTGGAGAAATGGCTAGAATATAATTTTCCAATTTTAATCAACAAAATTAAGCCCGACGTCCAAAACGATGATATGGAAGCTACGGAAGAAAATTTTAAAATGCTTTCACTAAGCTTTTGTCTTCAAAGTCTTGTAATACCAAAAATTGAGAAATATATGAGAATTATTATTGCGCCAAAATTTTGGTCAAAATTTGTTAATGTTAGTGAAATTGATGAAAAACAAGGCTTCCAAAATTTTACAACCTCTGTAAATGAATTATATACCGACTCGAGTAAATTATTACCAATGTTAAAAAAATTAGAATTAGCTGGATCTTGCAAAGATGAATATTGCATGTACAGTCAAGTTAATATATTGGATTATTTTAAACTTATAATAAGAGGCACTTTATTAAGTCAAATTCCACTGTATCATACAACTATTATCGAACACTTTTATAAAACTGCATTTAATGTATTTTGCAATATTGAAGCATCGTCAACGACGGAGGATTTGCATAATAATTCGACGATACTCTGCGAAGGCTGTAAACAAGAACAGAGCAATTGCCAGTGTCAAATAATTGTAGATGTATTTCACGAAACCAATAAGAAGCTTATACAGTTAGGTTTATTAGAAAGACTTGTGGGTAGTATATTAACTTCTTTGATACATATACGTATTGAAAGTCACGTACATCGTGTATGTAATCGTACATTTGATTCGTCTCAGTTGGAACCATTAGAATGCTGGCTGGAGACTGTAGTAATGAACTGGCTAATTCGTATCTATTCGGGTGGATCATCTAGATCAATGTCTCTTGATTACAAAGTGAGAAATGCTATAAATACCTTCAAGCAAAAACTCAGTTACTTTCTATATGAGACTTATACTAGGGAGAGAATCGATCAACTTTTTAACATAGTTATTGAATATCCTGATTCTCGAGCTGCGGTAGATGATCTTCGTATCTGCTTGGAAAGAACGGATCTTCGAAAGTATTTAATTAGAACGCTACAAGAGGCTTTGAAAACAAGATTGTTGCATCCAGGCGTAAGCACTCCAGATATATTAACAGCATATATCGCAGCTATAAAAGCCCTAAGGCAATTGGATCCTACTGGTATGCTTTTGGAGACAATAACAGAACCGATTAAAGTTTATTTAAGAAGAAGAGAAGACACTGTGAGATGCGTAGTTAGCGGTTTGCTGGACGAATCAAGTACCAGCGATCTAGCTGATGAATTAGCCAGAGGAGGTGAGTCGATACAGTTAGATGTAGATGGTGGAGCATCTCCGCAAGAAGATAAAGAAGATTGGGAAAATTGGCAGCCTGATCCTGTAGATGCAGATCCCACCGAATTTATGTCCACAACCCGGGGCCGTCGTAGGGTCTCGGATATTATATCTATGCTTGTTAATGTATATGGTAGCCAAGATTTATTTGTCAACGAATATCGAACTTTATTGGCTGATCGCCTTTTATCACAACTGAATTATCAAACGGACCGAGAAATTCGTCACTTGGAACTTTTGAAAAGACGTTTTGGGGAGCATCAACTGCATCACTGTGAAGTTATGATCAAAGACATTTATGATTCTAAGAGAATTGACGGGAATGTCCAGCTTGATAAAAAATATAATTCGGAAAAGGCAAACTTTTCCACTTCAGCCCTAATCTTGTCTGCACAATTTTGGCCACCATTTAAGGAAGAATGGAAACTCGAATTACCTGTTTATGTGCAAGAACAACTCGATAAATATGTTAAGGCTTTTGAAGCATTGAAAGGCAATCGAACATTATGTTGGAAGCCACACTTAGGAAACGTGAACCTGGATATTGAGACAAGAGACAGAAAGTTGAATCTAAACATCTCCCCCATTCATGCAACATTGATTTTGCATTTCCAAGACAAAAATGAGTGGAATTTAGATGAGTTGTCGGAGTTGATGCATGTGCCGACAACGGTGTTGAGGAGGAAGATCGGTTACTGGGTGTCGCAAGCATTGCTAGTTGAAACATCTCGTGATACTTTCAGTCTTCAAGAGGAAATAGCAACCAATAACTCGAGAAACATTCAAACAACAATCGTGACGGATATGATCGATGATGAAGAAGTCGAAAGTGCAATGGCTTCGGCGAGTGATCAACGCGAAGAAGAACTTCAAGTTTTTTGGTCATACATCGTCGGAATGCTAACGAATCTGGATTCCATGCCTCTCGATCGAATACATCAAATGTTAAAAATGTTTGCTTCACAGGGTTCCGGCGCCGTTGAGTGTGGTTTGCCCGAACTCAGACTTTTTCTAGATAATAAAGTCCGGCAACATCAGTTGCTTTTCTCCAGTGGTTTGTACAAACTTCCGAAACCTTGAACGGATTTTACTTCACTTCCAACTTGTTCAACTTCAATTTACTATGAATTATATATTCATGTAAAATATAAATTTTGTCTACGAGTATAAAAATTAGGTGAATTTATTTTTTAAATCCACTTCATGGTCTCTTTAACAGTAATTGTATTATTTAAAATACTAATTTCAATTCCAAATTACTTTTTAATAATTTAAATAGTTTTATTATAAAATCAATTACAATATGTAATTTAACGAATAAATTTTAATTAATCATATTTGAAGAGTATAAAGATAAATACTATTCCTGTATTTTTCTATTTAAACAGTGCGACGTTATAAGATGTGCTTAATTATAGGAAAATATTAGCTTTAAACAAATCGGCATTAAACAATCGTTTTCTGATGTAATTGTTGTAATTAATGCAATCAATACATTTCCAAATAATTTAAAATTTACATATAAAAAATACCACGATAAAAAAAATTCCTCCACTTTGAACTAAGTATGTATTTCCATACAACCGAAATAATTTAATTTAATGTAATTTAATAAGGAAACTGTATTTCTTAAATAATTAATTGATTTTTCTTTATTTGAAGTAAACTTAATTGTTTATAGAACAAAATTAATTAATTTGATTTCAAAAATTATTATCAAAAGTTTTCTAAGTTAAGACGTAAGTAACTAAAAAATGAAAATCAATATATCTTACTTACAATTATTATAAATAAATCCTAGAATAACTAAAATTGAGTTTTTAAATCTATCAGAATGGTGATTTTTCCAAGTTTTGCAAGTAAAATATTTATTTTTATAAAAGAGAATAAAAATGAAATAAATAATATTAGCACGATCTCTCCATCACAGATATTGGAATTAACAATATTGTAAAATAATTTGGAGAGATGAAATGGCTGGCATTTATCAATCTATTATAAACAATGTAGTTGTAAATTACAAAAGCGAAAGTTTTTTGATTTAAATTTTCCAATTCAGAATCTTTAATACAAAATATTTATAATTACATATTTATGTTGTAAACGATTTTTTTTTTTTTTTTTTTTTTTTTTTTTTTTTTTTTTTTTTGTTCTACTTTATTTACGAATGAAATTATTTCGACTCGTCGTCTTAAATGATTACAAAGTGAATATATTAGAATAATATTTAAGAAACATTAATTTATTAAAATTTTCATTCTCTTTACTTTGGTTAATAAAAAAATGAGAAGCCTTGCTCCAATGTAATTTATCGCGATGAAAAATGATTTTAATACTAAGAATTATACAAACTTTTTAAAAAGTATTTTATGCTATTGCTATCAAGATGTTATCACTTTATTCTTATCCCACATGTTGTTTGTTATTAAACTTTTGAATGTGCATATTATCATTGAGTAAATCTACTTTTTTCTATATGTTTTTATTATTGTATTAGTTTATTCATTATTAAATTCAAATTCATTTAAGTAACACAACAAAATCGATTTAAAATTAGAATATTGAGTTGCTGTAATCGTCTTACATAAACTTGTTATAAGCTGAAAATTATTAAGAAAAATGACATTCCTTTTAGTCTCTCTTCATTTGAAATGTTTTCATCAATCGCGTCTTCGTAATGATGTAGCCGCTCATCTTAATTCATTAATATCAAGACGTCTTAATTTAATTTTAATGTAAATTTCTATTTTATAAGAGCCTGCATATCCGGGATGAAAAAAATTATTTTTATTGTTTAAGTAGCAAAACATTATCTTTTATAATTTAGCTATTATGGTATTGTATTACCATTAGCTACATCCAACAAGTCTATAATATTTCGATAGCGATGATTAATAAACAATAGGATGTAAATTAGATATAAAAAAAAAAAGTCGAAACAGTAAGCGAAAACATGAGGCTGCATCCATAAAGATTGATAATCAATTTTAATATGATTGTCTTCTATAGCGGTGTGCAAAGGAAACCGAGAACTGTTCTATTTCAGTTATGTATAAAAATCGGTATCATACAAATATTGTATTTAATGTAAATATTGCAATTGTATATTGTTATAGATAAAAAAAAAAGCCTTGAGATATTCATAATATAAATTTGTAAAATTTATAATTAAATAAATTGTATATGTAAATGTATACATGTGTTAAAAATTACGTATTACTTTTTCTAGAGAAAGACAATATCCTGAGTTCAGATTGTCAAACGAATCAGATAATTTTCTTAATTAGTTTAACCAACTGATTATTTTCACTTTGAACCTTAATTCAATTTACATAATAACATATAAAAATATCAGCATCTGTAATCAAATATTTTATTAGTATAGCCTAGTACAGTTATCCAATTTAAACTTTAAGAAATACAACTTATTTTGATCCAAAAAATGCATTGTTTTAAAACATTTATTATGTTTTATTTTAAATTAGTTAAAAATAATTGTAATTATGTTTGTAATTATATGCATTAGTAAATTATTATTATCAATGATTTTATTGCAAATATTTTTATTTTTTTTTCGTGAATAAAAGCTAAAAAGCAATTTCTCTATAAAAATGAATGGCACCATTAGAGCGGTGTATAATGCTTTTTGCCATATATTTATTTATTTGCAATTCAAGTCAATGGATAACACTTAAGATTCAATTGTAAGAGAAACATGAACATTCAATATATAAGAAATTTGCCTTATGAATTATGTAATTATTCATAGTAATGATATTACTTTCGATTACTATAAAAAAAATTAATTTAATATGTATGTAGAAAAATAACAAATGAAATATTTTGTATTATCAAAATATTATTTTTTAATAGTTTTGAAATAATAATTAATATAAAAAATTTTATTATATTCAATCATCATTAGATAATAAAATTTTTTAATGAATATACATATGTATATATCTATACATATACTTACTTCTATATTTTATAAAGTTTACAACAATTTTACAAATCAAGATTAAGATTTCTTATATTCAAATAATAGTTTCTACTTGCGCATAATAAAAAATTATAAATTATATTTCAGATGGTTTAATTCGAAGTATTACTGGTACACTTGTGCAAGGTAATATAGCAAGTTCTGTAACAACTGCTGTTACTAAATTTGCAGGTGTTACATCATATGTAATATTAAGTAGATTAAGTGTTTTTTTAGTCTTCCAATTTGATAAACGAGACTTGATACAACTACCAAATGAGTTTGTAATAAGTTGATTAGGATCACCTAAAATTTATAATATAATTATACATTAGTTTTTTTTTACACGCGCGCGCATGCACGCACGCGCACACACACACACACCCACACAAATATATATATATATATGCATATATGTGTGTATATATATATATATATATATATATATATATATAAATATATATTTATACCTATTTCATTGTATACAATGGAATCTGTTTGTACACGTTCACAAGACTTATGAGTTTCGCAAGCTACAAGAACAGGTACATTAAATGCATTTGCTATCAAAGCAACCTGTGCGGTTCCAGCTCTCGACATGACAGCACCATTTGCTAAAATTGCATGTGCACCAAGAAAAACTTTGCTAACCTGAAAACATTTTTTTTTTTTGTATAAAATATTTATAAACATTCAGATATAAATAATTTATAAAATTTTTTATTTTACCTGCGGCATAATAAAGCTAAGAGCATTAATTAGTACATATGAACAGTCAATCCCATGTTTAATTAACCGTCTTAAAAGTTCTTTACCTTCTAACCAAGGTCTACCATCAACAATAATCACTCTAAATTGTTTGCCAGCAGTGTAAGCATCACAAAGTATTTTGTGAATTACAGAAGAACTAGCGCAGAAAAATAAATTGATTATTAATTTTTACACACTATTTTATCAATACTTACAATCCATAAGTCAATATAACATCTCCGTTTAATATCTTTTTTTTTATTGCATTTGATATTGCTTTATCAGCAAGTAATATTTGTTCCTGAATGTATGTGTCAATTGCATTTTCTAGTTTCAACTTTCCCTATAAATGTAATAAAGTATAGTATTATTAAAAAAAACATTAAATAATAATTCTATAACTATTATTATTATCTAAAATCAAAACAAACTTCTTTATCAGATATTGTAGAAGGTAAAGTAGACATCTGCCATTTTAAATGTTTTACAGCATTTTGCATAGAAACTGCAGACGGTCTACATGAATTCAAATATTTCAAAGATTGTTGAAGACTAGTTTCAAGTCCTCTTGTAAAATCAGCTTGCGATGGCCGTTCAAAATCTTCAATAAGTTGTTTTACAGCAGCAAGTAAGGCAACACATCTTGCATTACTACCAACAATCACTTTCTCAGAATACTGTACACCTAGCCTTAATATTGTTGGATGGAGATTAAGATTATTATTATTTATATGTTCAGATATATTCCTTTTGTTGATATACAAATGTTTAAACAAATTGACCTCATGTAAATTTTCTTTAATTTCAGATTTTGCACAAGTCGTTTTTACTAATTTATCTTTACTTGTTAGTGTTACAGATTTTTCTTGTATTTTTTCAGGTATATGTTCAACTGTTTTTAATTTATTAGTCAATAGGGCTTGTTTCGCAGCTCTTTGTGCTTCTTGCTTAGCTCTTCGTTCAGCTCGTAATTCTAGTTTGTTTTTTTCTTCAATTTTTTGTTTATTCTCTTTCTTATTTTCTATGAGTTGATTTTTTTCATCGATTTTATTTTGTTGATCAACAACTGTATTTTTGATTTGTTTTTTGTGAACACATTCATTATTAGTATCTGTTTTAATTTCTGACTTTTTTTGATTTTCCAATTTATCAGTTTCATTTATTTCTGTTAATGGTTCATTATTTATTTTATTTTCAATTTTTCCTTTTTTTTTAGCTGCAGCTTTGGCAATTTTTTTAGCTTCACGTTCAGCTTTAATTGTTTCTCTAGATTTTTTATTAGAATCCATTTTGGTAATTAATAAACTATATAACTTAGAGCAATATTTATATTACAAATAACTTAATAACAGCTTATTTTGAGTGAGAATTAACATCTTTTTATTTTAAATGTTAATGTATTTGTATTTGTAAACTATTGTTTGAAAAATCTTTCTGACTTGCCATTAAATTATAGAATAGATTGCAAGTTGTATGTTTCTTTTTAATTATTGATTAAGTTTTTCCCAATGTGTCTTATAACAGAATAACGAATATTAGTTTTAAGTCTTCCTGAAAATTTAAAAAAAATTAAAAATTAATTATTATACCGGAAAATCATTAAAAATAATTTTTTTTTCATCATTTTTTTATGTTAAATGTCACAACTGTTAATTAAAAATTTAAAGGTAAAAAATATAGGTTAATATTAAGCTTTTATAACTAATTTAATTTCCCCTATTATTGCATATTAATTTAAGGGCATTAAAATATATATTACACATAAATAATTAACAGATTTGTGATTGCTTTTTATATTTTTACATTCTTATATACCTGCTGATCTATAGTAAAATTTTAAATTGTAATTGTACATAACTAGTAATAAATAATAAAATTAATAGACTCATTGAGAGCATAAATACCTTTTTTAATATTGTAGATAAATTATTGAAACATATTTTATCAATAATTGAATTTGAAGCACTTTTGTACGTAATCTATGACAATTTTCAGGTTACGTTGCTTGCCAATACTCAATATTCTATTTATTTAAAACAAATAATTTCTTTCATATATACATAATAAAAACAAGGTTAATAATAATTAATACATCTAGATTTCGAATTTCTAAATTTAATTACCAATAATTTTATTTTATTAAACATATGTACATATGTACTAAAAATACAAATTAGAAACTTACTTAATCTTATGGTAAAATAAATTTATTGATATCTATACTTCTTCAACTATTAATAGAAAATATGTAGTTAAAACGAGTAAAAAAATAATAATTTCAGAAATTTGAGATTACCAAACGATATTGCCATCTAACATATAAAAAAATGACATGTTAATTTTGTGATCTATGCTTTGCAGAAGGAATATAAAAAGACTTAGCCACATCCAATGCATCTAACAAATTTGTACATTATACAAAAATTAAAATGCTAATTTTAATTTTCTTCATTATTAGACCTCTAATATTAAATTCTTGTATAATTTCATACGACATAATTTTTTTTTAGAAAAACAAACGCATTAAATAGATTTTCTAAATTTCAATCTTATTTGGACATGATTTCATTTGATTTTTTATAATTGAAAGCATAGTTGCCGATGACATTTAATTTGCCTAATTGAAAAATCCATTATAATGTTTAAATTTATAAAATGAATATAGTGGGAGGAATCGAAAATAATAATCTGACAGAAATTAGTAATTTGTAAATTATTTTTTATCGATTCAATACATATTACAATTCGAAAGGCGCTTTGATTGATGATAAAAAATATTTCACCGATAACCATCAACATTAAAACTACGCATATGCACCTTTAGAGGTAAAAAAAACAATGGAATTAAATCTATAAATACCAGCGTAGCCTAAAATCTTTGTACTGTATTCTTAGTCTGTATATAAATATCATTATCTCTAAAGGAATAGAATTATTTATCTTATGTGCGAGCAATCAAACGTGACAAAATAAATAAATACAAAGTAATTGCAAACTATTCAATTTTATTTTTGTTTTATAAAATTTTATTTTCCGGTAATTACAGCCTCAAAGCTCGCGAAAATAAAGTAAAACGGTGCTCAAACTCATTGCAGGCGCTTAATGAGAAAAGTTAAAATAATAATACAGTCAATAGAAGAATAGGAAGCTGATACGGTTAGTGGCATTGAATTTGCCACACTTTTTAATGTATGTGAATAATAATGAAAACAAAAAATATATTTCACAATTCTTCGATTTACGTAAACAAGTCATACAAATTTAAATAACAATCAAATTAACGACATTCGAATGTTTTTTGAATGTATTATGTGTACACGTTCGACGGAAATTACAAGTCACATACTGCTTATTGATGTTAATTGTTTTAAAGTTTAAATCCGTTTTTTATATTGGATATCAATATTTTACAAAAATTAAGTTTTAGCCTCAACGATTTTTTTTTTATATTATATACATATACATATATATATATATATATATATATATATATATATATATATAATAGTTACATAAATTAAAATAACTATAATTTAGTTAAATATTTATATTTTACTTTATATTAGAATTTTGGTTCGTGAAAAATTTTTACTACCAGTTTCTATAAAAATCGTATTATTAAACGGACTAATAAAGTCCGTAAAAATAATTTTATTTTTATATAATTTAAAATTGGCTGTGCCATGTAAGCTTTAACTAAAGCTATAATTTTTCCTTATTTCCTTATTCGTCATTAAAATGAAAAGTGTTTCGATTCGATAGTAGATTACTTTTGAATAATATAGTTACTTTGTTTTAATTATCTGTAATTTCTTTTATTTTTATCCAATGAAGGTAAAGTATTAAATATGGACAAGAAGCATTTTTTTTTTGCTTACGAGTGTCTAAATATGCAATAAATTAAAAAAAAAAAAATACATAAATTACTCTAATCGTCCTATATTTAAAATTGATAATATCCATTACAGAAGATATTGTTTTACCACAATTCTATCTAGGAAAATGAAAAATACAAAAACAATAGAAAAGGAACTGTAATTATGAAAGAAATATGAATATAAAAACACTGTAATTTATCAAATTTTATATTCAAATATACAAAAAAATTTCTTTTTAAATATATTCAGTATTATGATAATTACTCTCAGCGGCTTGGATACACAAATCAGAATTTCTGAAATCCAATTAAATAATGAAATGAACAACAATTTTATAACAATAATTTTTTATTTCAATTTGAATATATAAATAGAAAAATAGAGAAAAAAAATTCGAATTAATTTTGTAATGCAAATTTCAATTGATATTTTACATCTTAAAAGGTACAGGTCTATGATAAAAATTTAAATAAATTATATATAATTTTTGTTCAAGATTTGAAAAAAGTACTCCACCTAAAAATAATTAAAATAGATTAGATAAATAAATTATTATTTATTTTGAAGATTTCACCTCTAATAATCCATCATCCGATAAATCAGAACAATGAACAGCATTTTGAATTCTTGTCTTTCCATATTTAGCACGTAATGTATTTGGTCGTAACTGCCTAGCCATTTCCTAAAAAAAATATTATATATTAGATAAGTTTTTTTTTTATGTTTTATAAAATAATATTTGAATAAGTATTACAGGATCCATTGGTCCACAAAATTTTCTGAATTCTGATACAATATCTAACTGAGCATCGCTATGCGTAATTTCCATTGCAAAACAAACTCCTGATTGCAGTTCACTGACCATTGCCTGTAAGCAATATTATTTTCTAATTATAGGCATTAACTAATTAGGCATAATAATTGTAATAACTTACAGCATAATCAGGCAGAACGCCTTTATATACTTCTAAAAATTCTTCTGAATTTACAGAATTTATATAAAATTGCTCTACTGCTGATATGATAAAATTAGCTTTTTGTATATCAATAATTATGGGTCCAAACAATTTAGCTTGAACTGCATGAGGCTTAATGATACAGCATGTGCAATTTTGTAATTTAGCTGAACTTTTTATTTTTTGTTTTATATTTTCTTCGGATGAAAAGAAATTTATTTCCTAAAAATAATCAATATTTACATAATTCTAAATAACAAACAAATGTTACATTATTACTTACATCTTTATTATCTGAGATATAAATACCGTTGCTTATGGAATTTTCTTCAAATGTAGTAGTTAATTTTTGCAATCTAACTGTAGTATCTTCGCTTAATAATACAAGTAGAATAACTGGACCAGCAATTATGCATTCAATCAATGTTCTAAAAAATTCGATTAATATTTTTCAATTTATAATTTACATTGCTTAATATATTATTTTTAAAAATAATTAATATAAACATTAACTTATCGCTTGTTGATTCGAAAATTTCATTTGCATCTTCAAGATTAATTTGACCCATTCTGAGATTTGATATGTGAAAATCATAATCAGAAATAGTTTTTAAAATCTCACCCAATTTGTTGATTATATTTGGTTTTAATATTACATATGTTCTTAAATAAATTATATTAATTAATGATTACATCAAACAAAATTCCAAGACATTTCTATTATAAATATATAGTCCATGTACTTGACTCTCTTAGATGATAATTTTTTTTTTGTTGCTTGATCAGCAAAATTTGTAATTTTTATGTTCCTAGAGAATATAGTAACCATTGCCCCAACGTAAAAATCTTTAGATTCCACTCCATTGCATTTGGATCTTCGTAAAAAAGTTTTTCTAGTTTTTAAATCAAACTAATAAATAAATAATTAAGTTTAATGAAGTTCAGAATTTGTTCTATATGAATATAAAAATTATACTTACAAGTTCTACACTATTATCTGATGGAAAAAAATATAAATAAAATTTCTTCAATGTAAAAGAAACTTTATCATACCATTCTGCTTCAAAAATGTATCTTTCTGAATCCGCTGCCATTTTTAATTTTTAAATATGGCAGAAAATGAGCATTCTCGTTTCAAGTGTGTAAATGAAATTTTGTAAATATATTAAAATACGCATTAAAAGGTTACATTAAAGCTATTTGGCGACCATCTAAATATTTCCATAGTAATCCTCCCTCCCTTTAACATTTTACCGTACCAAGTTCCTTGTAGTAAAATATTATATATTAATGTATTATAATAAAAATAATTACATGCGAAATAAATATTAAAAGTTAATTTAAATATTTTAGTTCCAAAAATGTAGGTGTAAAAATATATTTTTAAAGTCTTAACTGTATCAATTTCAAACTATATGGAATATTTTTTATTTATTATTTATTTTTTTTTTTCAAGCGAATCTGTAAAATTCATAATTTAAGTAAAATAATTCATGGAAAATAATATTATAAAATTTTCCTATATATAAAATTGCAGAATAGAAAATCGAAAATGAACGAAATTTACAACACTTTAGGGCAATATGATAAATAATTTAGCACTATATAATATCATATTCCATATTATATCGTTATTTATAAATAATTAATTCAATGATTATAGTGATACAAATAAATATTATGTTAAAAAGCTCAGCATAATTCTTATAACAGAGAGCACTAAAAATTTAACTCTTATAATATAAATGTATTGTTGAAAAGAATTCATTACAGCTAGATAATATGTTTTATTTTAACAATATAATTTTAGTTTAATTTATTAATTATTTAAAATTTTTATTATATTCAATGTTTATGCATTTTAATTATTTCGCTAATTATTCGAGGACTTTACACATATATTTCGTCGTTCTAATTTTATTACACTTTCTAATTATCTTATAGTTTAATATTTAACTTTTCAATTTTGTATTATTTTACGTTCAAGCAGAATTAAGCAACAGAATCAAACAACATTTATGAAATACATCATAAATTTGAGATGAGTATATATTTCTCATTAGCTAAATATGAGATTAAGATCAGAGTGGCGTGAAAATTGATCAAACTAAATCCATAACAACGCTAAAGGGCTAAAGGAAAGAATTGTTTGTTAAATAGGAAGTTAAAAGCGTCTTCGCATCTTCAATAAATCGGCAGTCACTGTTTTCATCCGATTTTATATCGAAAAGCAATTATGTGTATTGGAGCTCAATTTTTATCTACCTTCTTCGTCTACAAGAATTAAAATGAAACTATTGAAATTTTTATTACGTTTTTTTCCACCCGGTGAGTATACGTAACCAATCTTTGTATCCATTCCAAAAAAAATTCTCACTCCCTATTTCTCTCTCTCTCTCTCTCTCTCTCTCTCTCTATTTTGTCTTATTCCCGTCTATATATTTACTTATTTATTATTAAAAATAAAAATTATTTCTCTATTTTTCTCACATATCTTTTCTTTATTTTAATTTTTTAGGAATCGCCTTGGAATATACGCAAGGTGGTGATGTCAAAACAAAAGTAATAGATCTGCTAGATTTGTCTGACAAGTACCGTTTTTTTTTTATATTATTATATACTCTTGAAAATAAATTCTAACTTATTTATGCTTTTAAATTGTGCATAATTATTGCTTTTTTTTTTTTTTTTTTTTTTTAAATTTTTAATTTTGAATTTAACGTAATTATTATATTATATATTTTTTAACAACAATTTATAAATAATATTATTAAAATTATTATATTTAAACTAGATAAAAGACAAATAGATTATCTAACCATTTTTAACATATGCACTGACAATTATTATATCTATACTGAATAAAGTATAAAAGATTTTCTTTTGACAATATAAAATCTATTAAATATTTTTATCAACTGAATTAAGCTACAATTGTCGCGTGCTATTGCACGTGTAAGTTTATATTTGTCATTGAATATGTAAAGAAATGAAAACTAAACGAAGTTTTTCATTTTGAAAAGTTATTTTGGTCTGCACGATTTCGAGAACGAATCAATTGTCGATACTCTAGAATTATTTATATAATTTATAATTGATTTTCTTAAAATATTTTTAATAATTTATTATGTTTAAAAGTTAAAAGTTTAAAAGGATGTTAAATGTATAATTGGCTTATATTTGAACAGATTTTAGACTCCTTTTAACAATAATAAATCTTTCAAATTGGTTTGATCAATTATTGATTTTATAAACTTCCAACGACGATTTATTTTTCTAACTTATTAAGAAAACTAATTCAAATGGAAATAAATAAACATTCATAAATACCAATGTAATAATGATAACGCACTTCCGGGAATTGTCTTTATTCGTATTTTAATGAAAAGTCTTGCTAAAGATAACCCTAATAAATATGATTTTCCTAAGCTTACAATGTAATTTCTTATAGCATCGAATTAACAATAATCCTTATATGATTTTTATTAATTTTCTATTCACAGTCTAAACGACGTTGGTCAATATATCTTTTAAATGAACATAAATTTTTTTTAAACGTTATTTAAAACTTTTGAATTTATTTTTGTAGACCAAGCTTGACTATTTTATGAGATAAACTGTCAATTTCTAAATTATTCAACTCTACCATGCTTATGTCTAAGAAAATTAGATATTAGATACATTGGTATGAAATTATCGTCATGTTGAAATTATAAATTTGTATGATTCTTTAATCGATTATATGTGAAGATAGTCCACACACATTAATGATATAATCACACAATTCAAAGAACATATCAAAATTGAATTCACCGGAAATATTATCCTTATCCATACAGATTGTAACGAATGAATAACGAGAGATATTTTCATAATAATTTTTACTTTTATAGTTGTTATTTAGAAAATAAGCAATTTTTAATTTAGTAAGATGATATCATAAGTGTAAGAAGTCGTGGAAATGATAGCTATCAGTCCAAATACTGAATTACATTTTATGGATATCAAATTTTGCCTTTTTGAAAATTAAATTACTATAATTGAACTATATTAGAGCTATGAAATAATAATGAAATTATAACTGAATTATTTTCATATTTATATAAAAACAAAATTTTTTATTTGCAATTTATAATTGATAAGCATTGACATTTGGTAGATTGCTATGTTTAATATAGAAAACTTTACCCGTTGCAAACTACTGTAAAATCCAGTCATTCCATTAGTAGTGAGCAAATTTCTAGAATCCTTAATTATTATTATTAATCTTTAATTATAGTTATAGATCTTTACATTGTTGCGCATTTTTCAAACAAATTTGTTTGGATGAACATTTACATTTAATATCGTTATGTGTATGCCAATGAGGTATAATAGCAATACGTTGTAACAGTCTTTTGTTACGTGGTAAAAGAAGGCTTGAATATGATACTTGAATATATAGAAACATGGCATTACCTAAATTATTAAGAAAAGTTCTTGATATATTAAAATTGCTAATTATTTTTAGAAGTTCATATTGCTATTTTAATAGGTTTAATTGAACTTCGAGTCTAATGGGTAATAATATTGTTAGATTAATTTTATTAAATTATATGTGGTTCATATTGTCCCTACAGAATTGTATCGTTATTGTTTTTACTTTTCAATTGAGTTGGATAAATAATGATGATGAACTAAAGCGTCGTTGTAGAAAGAGTAAAACTTCAATAAAGTCACGAGGAAAGTAATTAGCTGAGTATTGAGGAAGAACAGCAAGTTATTATTAGTAGTAAGGATAACGTTAGATGTAATATAAAAGGATGTGCATTCAACATCAATGGAAAGAAAAGTATAACATTGTGGCAACTACTCGTTTCAACTTACGCAACTGCTATTGAAGTTTAGAAAAAGTGTAAAACATCTCGATTTGAAAAGCGTCAAAACATATGAAACTCATATGCATAATCCCGTACAGACATTGTCTGGATTTATTCTAAACTAAGTGAATGCGCTTTCAGAATTATTTCATATATATTTATTGCTGAAATTCACTAAATATTTAAAATGAAATATTATGTATAATGTAATTATATTTACATTCAACATAATTACATCAATAAAAGTATTTTTACTCAAATCAATAAGAAATAAAAAGTTGAAACCTTTAAAAGATAATTATATTTTTACTACATTTAATACAAATTGTAACGGTATATTTATATTTGAAAATAATGATTTTGTACATAGAGTCTTCGCTTCACTATACAAATTTTGATTTAACGCATCTGGTAGACATTATCTAAAATAAATAAATATAATATAAAAATTGTAGAAAACATTTTATTTGTATTAGATTTCATAATATCTAGTTAAGTGCTTATTTTGCGTAGCCGCTAGCATTACATAAAATAAATAAAATCCTCGAATAGAGAAAAAACAAAAGATGAAAGCATACTATAAAGTAATAAAAGTTCCATCTTCCATTCCACAAATTCATGTAAAATCAATATACGTATTTGTAAATTTATTATATATATATATATATATATATATATATATATTTAATTTTTTAAATATAATATTACTGTCATTCTATAACAATATTATAATAATACTATATTTTAAGCATAATAATACTACATAAAAGAAAATAATATTACGTTTGTTGGCCAACGCTATTATAAATAAAATAAAAATTGTTTAATATAATATAATACAAAATCTTAATAAATAATAAATATGTGAGTAAATAACTATTACTTATGAAAAAATATGAAACGTTCAAACATTTTATTTTTAACCTCGGCCAAAGATGCTTAAATATATTTCTGCTTCTCGAAGGCAAAATAATTGATATAAAATAAAAATAATATACGAATTTTTATTCTTAAAAATGAAAATAATAAACACATATCTTTTTATTGTTTATTAATATAGCGAGTAAAATGAATTTTATTTGTAATAATTTATAATTTGTAATTTATAATTTGAGGATAAACTCCTTTATTTATTTAAACAAGCTGTCGTGCATTTTTTATTTTGAAAACAGAAATTTTCACAAACGCAAATGATATATTATGAAAAAGGATACCACTTCATGTATTTACACTCAATCAAACTTTGTTTGTATAATATTTTAGTATTATGATTAAATAAGTTTGAGTAAAATAAATTTTTAACAGCTGTGTTTTACTTTTGTTAATTACCATAGGTTATAGTAAAAATGATTGAATTTGTTCTTTCAATTATAAGTAATTAATTAAATCTATCTTTAAACGTGATAAATTTGTATCTATTTTTTTTTGTTTTTGTTTTTTTATACTATAATATTACATGACATAATGAATTTTAATATTGAAAATTATTATTAAACGATAAACTTTTTTAATACACATTTTGAAATGTCTTCATACTGTTTTTATTAAATGTTATAAATGATTTATTAAGTATCATTTTCCTAGAGTATTTTAAATCAGTAAGATAAGTTAATGTTTATTACAGTAAATATATTTAGACATTAGTCACAAATAATTAGCACTATTTGTTCACTTGTTAAATCAAAAGATGTTTTTTATTTGTGTTAAAACGATATTGCATTTCTTAATTATTAAACAATTCATTTGTGTTCGCATGAACTTTCTTTATTATTACTAGAATCCACCATTATTATGAGAATTTTAAAGTGCATTTCTAACTATATAATTTAAACTTTCTATGGTTTATTCTCATTATTATTTTAATAATTTAATTTATTGTTTTTTATAAACATATTTCTAGTATTGTTAATATTGCTGTAAAGTTAATAAAATCAATTCAATTATTCGCCTTAAACTTTAAGATTTATTTAAAGTATTATTGAATTAATTTAGTCAATTTAATTTATCAGATTTGAAAATATAAATTTTTTAACTTTATTTAAAAATTTTTAGAGTAATTTCATATAATTGATATAATACTGTTACGATAAAGACATTGCGATGACAATTATAGTCAATTACATTTACTATAAGTAGTTACTTCGATATATTTATAATTGTTACTATCTTTCTTTCTCATTTTAAATGTCTGCTGCATCTTTTCTTTTGTACGACTCAAATTATGTTAACGATTACATTAACTTTATACGTATTATTATATTATATTTATTCTATAAAATTCTAATTATAACAGACAGTAAGATGACCAATTTCTTCAATATTTATTAAACAAATTTAATCTTTTACTAGCGTATGTAATTCTCATTGTGTATATTATATAATATATATTACACTGTGCAAAGCTTAATAATACTAAACAGACGTAAAAAAAAAATCAATTTTTTATTATTTTAATGAATGAAAAACTGCTTTTTGTATTTTAAAGTAGAAATATTTAAAAGTGTTGAACTCGTAATAGAAAAGGTAAAGCACCACCCATACTTTATATATTGTAAACAAAATATGCAAAAGATTTTTGTTTTTAAATATTACATACATTTAATCTATATATACATAGTACTCGAGTGTATTAATATAAATTATAGTATTTCTTATGTAAGTATTTTTTCCATTTTATTATATATTGTTTGTACGATGTTTAAGTACATATGGAACGCCATTTATTTATTTAATGTTAAATATTTCAAAAAATTGAAATTTCTATACCGTATATCTATTGCAAAATCTTACTGATGTTTAGAACAGATATACGTATTTTGGCCGAGAACATAAAAGCACGTGAACCCATAATCTCGGATGGAGTTATGGAGCAGCTTATCGAAATATTACAAAGACTACAAGCAACGTCGTGTTGTGACGACGTCAAGCCTTTTTACAAATACAAGAAACTCAAAACGCATCTTCTACCGATCACGAATATAGCTTTCGATAAATTAGGTAAAAGGTACTTTTAGTTTAAATTACTTTACTACTATTTATATCTTACAAGGTTTTCATCTAACATTTAAAGAATAGAATCTTGTTTTTTTTTTCAACCTGTTTATAATTAAATTCTCTTCTTAATGTCAAAGATCGTAGGTCTTATTTATATAGCATGTCTCCATTATCAGTACAGATGAAAATGATAGAACTAGAAAACAAAGAAGTGATATAACAAAAATATTAATCACGTTTAATATTAAATTACTGTTATGCTGCATTAGAAATATAAGAATTTATTGCTACCATATATTCTCATATGTCACATTCTCATTTGCTTATTTCGCACGATCTTCAATTTTTGTCTCAAAGATTATATTTTGCAATTTAACATACATTACAAGCTTAAATAATAAAAAAAATTACAAGATATCAAAAATAAAGAAAATTGCTATGCAATAATTATTGGAATTATTATTACAAATAAAAATTTTAGTAATAGTTTTACTTGGACGCAATAGTCTTAATAAATGAGAAAAAAAAAACATAAAGAAGCATTTCATTATTTAATTTTATTTACTTTGAAATATTTCTATAATTCAATTATAAATATAATTAAGTGAAGGAGAAATTTTTTGAAAACTTTGTACAAACTAATTATATATAGAAATTTGTGATAATACAAGTGTGTCAACAATTTTAGATGCTTAACCGGCAGCTATGATCGAACGTGTAAAGTATGGGATATTGAAAATGGAACAGAACTGTTTACTCTTAAGGGCCATAAAAACGTAGTATATACCGTGTCCTTCAATAATCCATGTTGGTAAGTTATATCATTAAAAATCATTAACAATAAATGTTTACATTATCTACAGTCTGTATCTATTCACTAAATTGAAGCTATATATTTGCAAATCTATGTACAAGCTAATTTTATATATTTATATTATATTATTATCTATATTATCTTTTCGCATTATTTTTATTCAATTATTGTGCTACTTTGTTCATTAGAATTATCGGAAAAATGATTAAATTATTGGCCCAATGGATAATATTCTTAATGCTGGTTATACGAAGTCTCATTGCACTTAATGTGTTTGATAAATAAATAAAAATAGAAGAATAATTATACGAACAAGATTTTCCTTATATTTATAAATAAATTTTATTTTTAAATTATTTTCTTTTAAACCGAATTAAAAAATAAAAAATAATAAATATAACTAAATATTAAAATAAACGATAAAAATTAATTAATTAATATATATGAGAGTTGTAATGTACTTTTCATTATTTCAGAGAGTTTTCTTATGTAATAATTTCTTTATGCACGTTCTTACAATATCCTTAAGTTTATCTATTTATTTATTTATTTATTTATTTGTATATATATATATATATATATATATATATATAAATGAAAATAAAAGGCATAACTAATATTTTATATATATATTATTTAATATAAATTACATATATTCTTATATTGTGCAGTGACAAAATTCTAACTGGATCATTCGATAAATCTAGCCGCGTTTGGTGCTCCAGAACTGGTTACTGTCTTGTCCACATGAAAGGTCATAATGCAGAAGTCGTAGCAGCGCGCTTTTCACCAATGAAAAATAAAATTGCAACGGCTTCATTGGATACCACCACAAAGATTTTTCATATTTCATCAGGTAAAATCAATAATAATTTCAACAATTTAAACAACAATTTAAACATAATTTCAGATATATAAATTTTATTTAAATAATTTATTTGTAAAATATATATTTTACTAGTTCATTTATCCGAATTTCATATTTATTCGAATTTTTCGTTTATACAGATTTTAATCAATCTCAAATATATTAGTACAAATTATTTTTTATAGGTCAAACAATGGCTACGTTGAGAGGTCATACTGCAGAAGTAATTGCACTGCATTATAGCAAAGACGGTAATGAAATCATTACAGGATCTTTCGACAAGACGATCAGTATTTGGGATACGAGAACATATCAGTGGGTTTTCGTTTAGAAATGAAATAAATATATTTTTCTTTTTCGTTTCAACGATAAAATAATTATTTGCGTGGAAATTCATGCATGCATATAGAGTAGGAGTAGGTGCACGTGCGTATGCATTAGTTTCTTTGCAGACACTTCTAAATTCCGCTAACATTTCATAATAATTAATTAATTTTTGTACAACGAATATAACTAATATAATATAATTCAGTTAAATAAACGTAAAACGATCACTTTCCTTCGCTAAAATATATCACATAATTTTATATCAATTTATGTTCATCCTATAAGAATAAAAAAGTATGTTCAATTTATCTCAAAAGATAATAATTCTATTAAATAGTGCAACCATACATATTCGCAAGTGTACATTGTCGTTCTTTTACATTTACATACAAAAATATCTTGTTTAACGACAACATAAATACATATTATTATCTAAAATTGTGTAAATATGCCATACTCAGCAGAAATATTTGTGTTATTCGATTACTTAGAAGAGCGAACGTTTTAGTTGGACACCAAGAAGAGATTTCTAATTGCCTTTACAATTTCGACGAGTCCTTAATAGCCAGTTGTTCATTCGATAAAACTGCGAAGATTTGGGATACACGAATGGGAAAGTCGTGTCTGGTGACTCTTACGGGTCATGAAAATGAGTTGTTGGATATAGTTTTCGATAATAAAGGAAGGAAACTTGCAACCGCCAGTAGCGATACAACCGCTAGAGTTTGGGATTTAACTAACGGGGATTTTCAGCAAGTAGCTGTTATGAAAGGACATAAAGACGAAGTTTCCAAAGGTAGTGCGTAAATTTATGCCTTCTTTTAAATTTTATTGAATTATAATAATTGAAATTATTATAATTATTTGAAACGTGATAGAGTGTCAGTTTTACATATTAAGTATTTCTCACAAAACATCAAAGTTATATAATTGTACAATTTATTCCGATAAAATCTACGATTAATAATTTGAAATTCTGAATGTAAGTAATATATTGATAGAAACAAAAAAATAAATAAATAAATTAATTAATTAATAAATAAATAAATAAATAAATAAATAAATAAATAAATTAATAAATAAATAAATAAATACTGGTGTATATAATATATAGTATAGTTAAGATAATGAAATATAACGAATTAATTAGAAATTTGTAAAATTTATCAGTAAAAGTATAGAAAAAAGTAGTCGATCAAATACATGAAAGAGTTGTTTGTTTACTACATGAATTTGTTAATTATTTACTTAGATGGCAAAAGAATGAGAAAATAGCGCAAGAAGTGTTATTTATTGTAAACTCTAAGGTAGCAGTGACAGAAACCATCTTTTTCTCATGTACGCACAACCCCTTATTTAACTCGTGTCGTCTTTTCCAAAGGGCGTGTCTTGTTCCCAAGCATAAATCATGATCCCTTACTTGTACGCAATCCAACACAATCCTTCAATCGTAGCGGCTACCTTTCCACATGAATAAAAGAAGGATATTCATTCGCATTCTTACATTTATGAGAAAGGGAGGATTAAATATATTCGCATGTAGGAAAAATCTATATTTATTCCTATATTTTATATCTAAATTTTATTCATGAAAAAGTATTTTCTTTTTCAAGATATACAATTTTTACGGGACTTTGAAAAGTCCTTATTAGAAAGAGTTATGTTTATTTTATGAAAAATTATACTTATCAATTCTCAGCATTAGTTATATCTTCTTAATACGAAGACTTTAAAATTCGAATAAAAAATAAAGAATTTATAAATCCAATGTATCGAATTTATGTATCCAATTATAAGAAAAGAAGATAATTTATTTATCTAAAAAAAAAAAAAAACAAATTTTATTTTATACGTTTACATTCACTAACAACAATAATCAATTTATCTGCGCATGTAACGAATCTGCACATATACATATAACGAAATCAATGAATTATTCAGTTTGTTTCAGTCCAAATGGCCAACAAATTTTGACCGCGTCTCAGGATCAGAGTGCGCGTCTCTGGTCCATCGACTCCAGTCAGTGTATCCAGATTCTGAGCGGCCATACAGACGATGTCTTCAGCTGCGCTTTCTCATACGTCGGCGACACGATTATTACGGCTAGCAAGGATAGCACCTGTTTTATCTGGAGGTGACTCGATTGGTTTCAAGTAATATCTTAGCTCAGCTTCTTTTCTTCGACCGTCTGTTCTATCTTTATTCTATTTATATTGTTTCTCACAAACTGCTGTGCTACGAATGAATATGCATTATTCATAAATAAAAGCAATTATACTAAATGAATGATGAGACGAATTTTAATCATTCAAGTTTCATTATTTCTTGCAATTTAATTACAATTAGCAGGTCAGATAAATTTTTATTTTGAAAACGTCAATCTTACGGATAAAAATATATGACTGTAAAATAATTAATATATTTGATTATATGATCTAAAAATTTCTAGTATTTATTATAGTATTTAAAACTCATATTATTCGATATGCATAAAGATTTAAAGAGAAAATAATTAATTAAATATACCATAGGTAAAAAGGGCCATAGAATTTTGTTTGTCCGTCATAAAAACGACATACGGAGTAAAACTAATCCAGATCTGTTAAAGGCGAAAATAACATGTAATTTAAAAGCAAATAACTTCCCGTTTCTACTATTCGTATCATCTGATTAATTTCTATTATCACGATGAATAAAAATTCTTCGCAACGGAATATATAACAAAAATACTAATTATTTTAGTTAATTTCAAAATACTTAATACATAAAGTGCTTGATAATAAAAATAATTGTATATACAAACTGTTGACTCGACATCCTATGTATATATAAATGCTATAACAGATTGTAATTTATAACAGAGTTCCTAAGAAATTAGTACACTGCACGAAAATTGTAAATGTATATTGTTATAAAAATCACAGCTCTAAGCTCAAAATATATTAATTAAGTTACATATTTAATCAAATAGCAAGCATAGTAATCTAATAAATAATTCACTACGAATAATCCATCTTATTGTATTTAGTTAGATAAAAGTTAATAAATTCAATAATCGCGTGCACAGCAATTAACTCCCCATTTTATCATAAGTTTAAATAATTCGTAGATTAGAAAACTATTTTCACGTACTGTGTATCACAAAAGATTTTCCAGATGCTTTATTGAAATATTTAAACAATTTTTAAAATTTCATACAAATACTTTGTTTATAACACATTGTCCAATGATTCAACGCTGCAAATTATTATAATATAATAGTTTAATAATTAAATAATCGTATTTGAATGCTATTTGTTTGAATCATTTTTATACGAATGTGATTGAAATTTATTCCATTTCTGTATAAGAATATATATTCCATAGGAAATATTCTGGAGTAATAATTATTAATACAATATTGTATACAATTATGCACTTCACATTTTTTATAAAAAAATTTAATTAATAAATCCTTCGATCATTAAATTTTATTTTCATGCTCTATGTAATTTGCTTTTGAAACTAAAATATTTTTAAATTTTGTAAATAAGAAAATTCTAAATAATTCTTTTAATTATAATATTTCAAGATATATACATACATACATATATATATATATATATATATATATATATATATATGTTATATATGTTAAAGTACAGTGTGCTCATAACTTTCTCGAAATAATGAAAAAATAATAAATTAAGTGAAAATATTTTTTATTTTTATTTTATTCATTTAAATTCCATTAAATACAATTTTCATTTCAGTAAATGAATATGAAAATTCAGCATACATTGTATTCATAATGTATGAAATATTGAATGTGATTTGATCTGGAATGGAATGAATTAGTAAAATAGAAGTTATTTATAGGAACGACCATTATACAAAATCTTGTTTCATATAATTTAATTAAATACGCGAAATGATTAATTCTTAAAAAACATAATAATATTGCAAGAATTATATTTATATATATATATATATATATATACATAATATTATGTAAAATATTTATTGACTTATTGATAATTATATGCAAATTTAAGCAGATGGATTGAATTAATTTTATTAAATTCTTTTAGATTTAAAAACTTTTAAAATAATTTTTACTAATTTAAAGACTGATTTATTATACTTATAAATTATAGATAGTTTATAAGTGTAGTTGTATATTCTGTTAATAAAAGGGAATAGGTTTATTCATATAGATTGAAACTGCCGTGTTTGATCATTTTAATTTCGTATTTCATATTTGTATGATCGTATATGAAGTAGCGTATGACTAAGAAATCAATGAAAAAAAATTGTACCGGAGCATGCAGAATATTACAAAAGAAGAATTTTTAATATCTTGCTCTGCAACCGTTGCGCAAAATCATTTGTATTTATAATAATAATATATTTGATAATCAAAATATATGATGAATGCAAATATTTGATGTACCGTTTGAAAAGAAATTTATTCATAAAAATCAAAGTATATATTCTATTTAATAATTCTATTCATTTTCGAATAATTAATGAAATTTTCGTTTCTATTAAAAAATTGCTGACATGTATTGCAAAATACAAAAGCAGAAATTATACGCTACCAGTATTAGAACATAAACTGCACTCTAATGTATTGCCGCAATTATAGAATTATTTGTAAAAAGAGAATAGGAGAGAAAATGTGAGAAAGAATCGATTTGAGCCCAAGTCAGTTACAATTTGTCACTCAACGGCTCGAATACATTTTGCAATTTAGATCTTGTCGACTGAATTTTATCAATATTGATGAAAATGTATTAAAAACTAGATATAATAGTCAACCTTATAAAGAAAAAATATTTAATAATTAATATTTAGATATAAACACATATATTTCATAATTTGTGCAATGATTTTATTTGTTAATAAATGAAATGCGGAAAAGTATTAAAGTATGATTTATATATATATATATATATATATATATATATATATGTAAAATATTTATTGACTTATTTTATTGTAAAATATACGTAACTCTTATAAGAATACAAATTGATGTCGTCTACTAATATATAGAGCAGGTAAGTCTTAAAACTATCTTCTACCGGATATCATTTATTTATATTTCCTAATATTTCATAATATTCCTAATATTGAAATAATAATGCATAAATAATTTGGGCTAAAATTTAAAATATAATAAAAGAGATTATATTAATGTTGAAATTGAATTTTTTTCTGAAATACTTTAAAAAAGAAATTTATCATTTACGCAATAAATTACAAAATAAACGTTTCATACGTTTTCGAATTTATACGGATAATCAAAATTCTATACCTAAACGAATATAATAATATTAGTGTAATACTATACACGAGTATATAAAATGAATGTTTATTTTATTTGAATATTTCATTATTTCAAATTTAAATAAAATTTTAATAAATTTTTTTTTCTAATAAATGTTAAAAAATTATAACTTTGACATTTCAATGTCATAATATATTTTATACCTACTTCTTCGCAGCTTTTGTAGTTTTCATCTTTTTTTATGGTCATATCTATGCCTTAATTTACTCTTCAATACTGTGCTTAGTAATCTAAATTATTTTTCTATCAAAGAAAATTTGACATACAGTATCATTAATTACGAGTGTATCGTATTAATTATTCAACTGTGATTTACTTATTGAATGTATAGAGAAGCAACAAATAATCATCCCATAATCAATAATGTCGTAGACGCAAAAAAAGACAATAAAACGTACAATAAAATTTTAATAAGTGATTAATTAAATTAAGAATGATGTGTTTAAAAATGATAGAAATATATCGGTATCATTTAACAGTAATTATAATAAATTTAATATACATACTTTTAAAAACATTTTTATAATACGCGATAAAAAACATTTCTGTATATGTGTATGTATCCTTGGTAAAACACAATTTTTCTTTTAAAATTTTCTTGGTAAAAAATATTTTTCTAATAAATATTTTTCTTTTAAAATTTTCTTGGTAAAAAACAAAAAAAAAAAAAATATTTTTCTTTTAAAATTTTCTTGGTAAAAAATATTTTTCTAATAAATATTTTTCTTTTAAAATTTTCTTGGTAAAAAATATTTTTCTAATAAATATTTTTCTTTTAAAATTTTCTTGGTAAAAAATATTTTTCTAATAAATATTTTTCTTTTAAAATTTTCTTGGTAAAAAATATTTTTCTAATAAATATTTTTCTTTTAAAATTTTCTTGGTAAAAAATATTTTTCTAATAAATATTTTTCTTTTAAAATTTTCTTGGTAAAAAATATTTTTCTAATAAATATTTTTCTTTTAAAATTTTCTTGGTAAAAAATATTTTTCTAATAAATATTTTTCTTTTAAAATTTTCTTGGTAAAAAATATTTTTCTAATAAATATTTTTCTTTTAAAATTTTCTTGGTAAAAAATATTTTTCTAATAAATATTTTTCTTTTAAAATTTTCTTGGTAAAAAATATTTTTCTAATAAATATTTTTCTTTTAAAATTTTCTTGGTAAAAAATATTTTTCTAATAAATATTTTTCTTTTAAAATTTTCTTGGTAAAAAATATTTTTCTAATAAATATTTTTCTTTTAAAATTTTCTTGGTAAAAAATATTTTTCTAATAAATATTTTTCTTTTAAAATTTTCTTGGTAAAAAATATTTTTCTAATAAATATTTTTCTTTTAAAATTTTCTTGGTAAAAAACAAAAAAAAAAAAAACAAAAAAGAAACAAAAAAAAAAAAAAAAAAAAAAA